TGACCTGACAAATGATGATTGACTGAAATTCAACAAGAGCGAGGTCATCCCACCCTCTTCCCATGTAATACTAACCTTCCTCCTCCCACTCTCTCCCTTGTCTTAAACACCAACATTGTATTTAACCAACTTGTTTCCGATCCTTTCAAGAAACTCATGTTTCCTTTTTCTCACAACAATAATATCATCGCCATCCTCATCACCAACAATAACTGTAACTTCATCTTTTAATATGTTTCAGTTAATTCCTGTTTCTAATTTAATTACTAGTTTAAAAAGGAAATAGTCTTTTTTTTCATTCTCATAGTTACACAATTCTGAATGAATCCCATGAAAAAGGGCAAAGGATTGTAATGATTTAGTCTAATGATGAAAATTAAATTATCATCATTAATATAAATCTTATCAATGTTAACATGACGACTTTTTTAAATCAAAGTTGTGAAAATTGTCATTAATCAATTAGATGATAAATGAACAGGATGAGAGAGAGAGAGAGAGAGAGAGAGACAAGATGATGACTAAAAAAGCATCAATTAGAATCTTCTGTATAATAGTTAGAATGATGCAAAAAAGGATGAGGATGGAAAATGTTATCTAATATCTTATTATTAGTATAATAATTATTATGATTAAGGTGATGGTGTTGATGATTAGGTTGAGGTTATTGTCTTTGTGTGAGTGTTTCTTTTGATAATGAAAAGTAACGAGTCGAAGAAAATAAAAAAAAATCATCTTCATCTTAGAGTCAAAAGTAGTATTAATGATGATGATGAGAAGGAATCACGATTATAAGTGAGAAAAAAGCTCATCATCTTTATTGTCAAAGACGATCTCGATTTTTTTGTTCATCCCTCATCATCATAGAGAAAGATGATAACGTCAAGTATGAAAAAAAGCTTAACTCATAGAGAAACATCATTTATTACATCAATGACAATCTACTTTTTTCTGTGTTCATCTCCATCCTCATCCTCATCTTCAAGTAAACTTGAAATCCTCCTCCTTTCAAACCAAACTTACACTGTTAATTAAAGATTCTGCCTCTAAGACTGAGTAAATCTTTTGTTAATTAAATGTGAATTGCGGAAGACAAGCAAGAGAGAGAGAGAGAGAGAGAGTTTCAATCTCATCTTCATCTTCATCTTCATCCTGATCATCACCATCACCTCTTAATTCTGACAATCCTCTTGATTGCTTGTAATTCCTTGTGGATGAAATCAATGAGATCACAACAGAGTATTTATACTCAGGGTATATTATCCTTCATGTTAACCTCAGTTTGGAACTTTTCTCTCTCTCTCTCATTCTTTGATTCTCCACTTGAATTGTAACTTGTCAACAAAAGTATCAGAATTAAATTGCAATTTGATTAACCAATCACCTTGATCTTGATTACCTTCAATCCCGATCCAATGATAATAAGCATTAAATCAAAATGGTTTAGCACTGAAAGTTGTTGAAATAGTTTCTCCCTCTCACCATATTATATCATCTTCATCATCTACATCATGTTTTATCATCATCATCAATTTATTTTACCCCAAGGGTTCAATTACAATTGTTTTTAATTACCATTCATTGAACTGAATTGAATTAGTTTTTGAAACTTTTTTTTTCTCTTCATCATTTATATTACAAACTTTTTTTTTCTATTATTTATTTTTCATTTGCTACTTATTGCAAACACTATTTTAATCATGATGATGATGATTAACTTCGTAAATAAGTTGTCAGATGAATTAATTAATTGATTTGAAATGTTTTGATTATACCAATTAATAATCAAGTTGATTTGTTAACTAACAGGTTTACAAGATTAATCAAAAAATTATATTTTCCTCAATCAATCGTAATCAACACAAGTGAATATATATTTTTCATCCTCATCATTTGATTACCCAAATGTTATATCACTTTATCTGTTAGTTGATTAAATTGATTGTATTTATGATGAAGATGATGATGATTTTTTTTGTTATACCCTGATGATAATATTTAAATTGTATTGTCAATTTAAATTGCAAACCACTTCAATTATATTGCTCTGGGTAACCTGTTTTTGCATAGAGTGAAAGTCTTGTCAAAAAAATTGAATGAATGTCTATTGAAACTTTCTAGAAATACAAAGGGAGGATGAGGAAAAGATGAGGATGACTTTTGATGTATTAAAATAATGATTCTAAGGAGGAGAAGGTAAAAGAAGACTTTGGGATGATGATGATGATCATCATCTTCTCTCTCTCTCTTTCTCTCTTTATGCTTTGCATCAAAGGTTCCATTCAATTGTATGAGGTAAAAATTCACTTGACAATAACATTGGAGTAAATTCATGTTCATCTTGAATTGGAATAACTTTAAGAATAAATCGAATTGAATTTTGCATACAAACCTCATCTCAATCTGTGATCTACAGATGATGATAATGATGCTGATGATGAAAATGGTCTCCTCCTTTTTATTTATACCATTTAAATGCTACATGTTAAGGTGTAGGTTGTTGTAGGATGTGTTTAGTTTGCAAGGACACTTAGTTACCAGCATCAGTTAACTATCATCTCGTCATGATGATCATGAGAAATGATGCAAAAAAAGAGGCAAAAGTTGAAAGATGCAAAGTTAAATCATCTTCTTGTGCTTTTTTTATTATCATTATTATTATTCTTGCAAATATACATCACTAAAGGTCTGTAGATTACCCTGTGTGTGTGTGTGTATTTATGGTGATATGCAAATTAGAAGTTGATTTGAATGGTTGATTGTTTGTGTTCATAAGCTGAAGAAGCTGAAAAGTATCAACAACAATCAACATCAGTTGGGGTAGGAAAAGATTTACAAAATTGCATATAAACACTTTGACACAACTCTGTTAGTCCATCTTGCTTCGTACATGTTGTTGTCCTCATCTTTTATCTTCATCTTCATCTTTTATCATCTCATCTCCATAATCTTTATCATGACTCTGTTTCTTATCTTGATTTGATATTATTATTACTTTTTCTTACTCTCAATGAGATGATAAAATTGCAACTCATTTCCGTTTCTCTTATAGTTTTTAGCTTTTCCATGTAAAATTCAATGCCCTAGATTATTTTTCATTATTATTATCGTATCACTTTGTTATATTATGTTTTTATATATTCACCATGATTCCTAAGTAATATATTGATTACATGGAGAGAGAGAGAGAAAATGAATTTTCTTCAATGTTTTTTTATATACAAAAAATTTTCTTATTTTTGATAGACTTTTTTTTTCTCATTTTGTTGAGAAAATTTTCCTCGACAAATCATTCAAATAACCTGTCAACACTTTGGTATGTCAACTACATACAGTGTGCACCCTGACACCATATTAAATATTATAATATTCAACATAGATGAGAGATGCTGTATGTTAGTTTTTTTCCTCTCACTCAGGGTGGGAGAGAGAGAGTGGGAATCATTTCATGCTGACAAATATATGTAATAGTTTTGCATCTTACAGAAAAAAATACGTTTTCATCATTCGTTTTTTTTCCTCCTGTTTAATGTTATTTGCTATATGGATTCATTCATATTTTTACTTGTAATATAAACTGTTCAGTTGATTTAGTTACTTTTAACAACAATTTAAAGTTTAAATTATCATAATCATCTCAATCATCATCAAACATCATCATCTTGATGCTTCTTCTTGTACTGATTGTTGTTTATTATTGTTGTTGTTACAAGATCTGGTTGCCCTTTAGCTTTGGAGCATCTTCCGTTTTCATCTAACTTTATTTCTCTATCATCATCTTAGCCTCATCATTATCATCTTTCTATTGCAATTTTATGATGCTAAACGGACATTGCTAACCGGAAACAGAGGGAACTCTTTAACTTTTACAATGATGATGATGGGGATGAGGATGATGATAGGGATGCTTGATATGTATAACTGTCCTTGTGGAAATTTAACTTTGAAAAGGATGAAGAAGATGATGATACAGAATTGGAAGATTGTGTTTAGTGAGAAAGAGGAGGAAAAGGAAGGAGAAATAGAGAGAGAGAGAAAGAGAGAGAGGGAGGGAGGGGAAGGTGAGACAGATGATGTTAAGGCGATGTTATAATATCTCAAGTGATGGATGGTTGTGTCCATTGGTCGAGTAGTTTAATAAATGAGTTTTTACTAGCCTTAAAATATTACGTATCCATTTAATATATATGTATGTTTGTTCAGTATTTTCATGATAATCATGATGATGGGTGATACATACATTCAGGGTGAGTATGAGAATCAGTGAAAGGCGAGTGGGTGGATAAGGGGAGTGTAAGAAAAAAAATAGGAGACTAACATTTTTGGGTTGATATTATTGTTAAATGTTATTATCATTATTACCCTTGCCTTGATTTTCATTTTCATCATCATTACTATTATCATCATCTTGTTGTTCATTATAATCATTATTAATCTTGCTCAATGAATCTCATATTATCATGAGTATCTTGTTCCTGTGTAACTATCCTAATAATCATCTACATCATCTCAATCTCAATCTTTATCAAATTAACACCCAGAGTCCGTTTATTTCAATGTAAATGAATAGAAAAAATTTTCATGATAAACAGAGCGAGAGGAAAACAATGAGATGATGATGATGATGATGAAAATGATGAAATTCCTTCGGAAATTATATGTTACCATGAAAGATGAGGATGAAAAAAGCTAAATTCTGGTAAAATAATCATGTTAACTTCAAGTTTTAATTTAATTCACTCTTTCAGGTTATTACACCTCTTTGGGTGTTTTTTTCCAATTACAATTACAATTAACTTTTTCTAATTAACATCGGTCTGATTTTTTTTTCTTCTTCTTTCTGATCTTTACATGTTTCTCATCATCCGCATCATCATCATGATAAATATCTGACATTTACTCTGGCAACTGATGTTATCTATCAACTATCATCTTGGAAACAATTAACTAATACTTTTTGTCTTATGCTTAATTTGGATTAATTAATTAACTGATTACAGTTTTATGCAAGATGTAACCAATTCAACTCCATCAATTTGTGATTCATCAATCGGTTTTAAAGATCAGAAACTGGTCTGGGGACAGAGTGTCCATCTTTCCTGTACCGGACGATATCAAGATATTGAACCGTTAATTAGTGAAACTGGTCCGATTAAATGGTTTCACTCTCGAAATGAAAGGTCAACACCTTTTGAGGTTATTCCTCGACGGGATAAGTTTATTGTTACAAATGATAATGGACTGGTTATCCTTGGAGTGACCGATCGGGAATCAGGTCGATATGAATGTAAATTAGGCTCAAATACGCTAAGTCGTCATAATATAACTGTTGATGCAAGTAAGTTATTCGTGTGGTTAATTTTGATTACTGACCACTTGACATATATATTATCATGGTCAAGCAGTTTTACTAATTGTTTTTCTTTTACCTGTTTTAATCAACAGAAACTTGTACAGCCATGAATGAAGCTGAATATCGTAAAGTATATGCTGATTGGTGCCATGAGTTTGAAAGGTACAAAAGCGCAATGAAATCTTGGCAAACTAAACAAAAATGCGCTCAAAGAGTGAAAAGTTGCCGCGATAAATGTGATGCAGCGGATTTCCAATTAACTGGACCATAGGAAACAATTAACTTAATCATCAGTCCCACCAAATGATTAACTATCAACAACAAATGCAACTCGATGCAAAAACTTTGAAATATCATGAGACACACAATCTTTTTTTATATTATTATTATTATCCAAGAAATATCAACACGATTGATATTGTAAATTAACTAATTTCCCATCCCATTGATCAGAATTCTGAATGTAAATTATTGTAAACAATTTAATTGATCACAAATTGTATAAATTTAAATTTTTTTTCCTTGTAAATATTATCACAATTGAGAATTGTCAATTAATGTGACAAAGAAACGAAGAGATTTAAAAATCAACTGTAACAATTAATTACAAAACTAATTCATTTCTTTGTTTTTTTTTCTATGCAAAAACAAATCAACAATTTGCAATAAAAAAAAAACGTAAAAACAATTAACTAATTACCTTGAATCTCTCTCTCTAATCAATAACAACAATCAAACAATTAATTATTTACCAGAATGAAAAACATAAACAAAGAAGAAAAAAGTCAAAAGGTTAAATAAAGTCTAGTTGATTAACTAATTACCAAAAGAAAAGATAAAAACAAATCAATTCTAATCTCAGGTAAACAATTAAATTTAATTCCAACGAAGAAGCAAAAACAATTAGAAAACAAATAATTACTGATAATATACAAGAGAATTTCCTTCCTTATGTAAATACAATTTCCAATCATTAAAATCAACTAATTATCGAACAATCAACCAGTAATTAGTCATATTAACCAAGAAAAGAAAAGAAAATGAGTTAATTGTTATGATTGAAAAGTTTTCGAAAAAAAAATCGACGTTTTAGTGACTTTTCCCTTCGATAGATGGCGACACCTAATGTACCGTTTTCGAAGAAAAGAAAAGAGAAAATTTTTTCTCTCTTCTCTTTAAAGGAAAAAGATGTTTAAAGTGAGCGGGTCACCGAAGTCCCGAAAATCCAGAACCTTGGTAACGGTTTTTTCTACTTTCACTTTTTTTGTGTCTCACTTTCAGCCTTTTAATTGTGATTCTAATTAATTTTATGTTTTGTTTTCTCTTGTTACCTTTTTGATTTTTGTTCCTTAATTTGTTACAATTAAATGTAATCCAACTAAACCATTGGTACCCGAAGATTGGTTTGTTTATGTTACCAATCTCTCTCTAGTTTTTTGTTTCTCTCTCTCTCTGTCTAATTAGTAAATTAATTTTGTTCTTTTCTCTTTCAAAGTCTATTCTCTTTCTTTCCTCTCTTCCTTTTTAACATTATATATACAATCTTTCTTTCTTTCTTCTCTTTCTTTCTGTCCCTCTTTCCAATTTTTTCTTCTTTCTTCTCTTCTACTAACATACATTTTATACACTACATATTATATATATTTAGGTATACTATTGTTAACTGTATTGTTTGGTGTTGATATATTACAAGGTATATCTGGTCTTTTGTTGGTGTTAGTTTTGTGTATCTAATGATGATGAATGATGATTTACTTTCTAATGAAGGAGGAGGTGTAATTGGTGTTGTTAATGAGTTCCCTTCATCGTCCGAGTTGATACCTTCTGCTGTTAATTCAAGTACTACGACTATTAATACCAATTTAACCAATACCGCTGAGGAAATGAATGGTAAATCGGACGACGATATGGTTGAGGAAAATTCTGACGATCGTGAAGGTTGTCGTTCATTAATTTGTGATTCTAATGGTATCATTGTTGCCGAGATGGTTTATCGATGTATGATCTGTGCAAATGTGGTTGAATCAATTGCTGAGGCTCAAAAACATTATCGTGTTAAACATATCGGTGAAGAAATTATTGAACCATCACCTTTATCCTCATCTTCGTCTACCACTGCTGCTGGTTACACTTATTCTCATTCACCCTCAGCCAAATTTAACAATAGTAACACCAACAACAACAACAACACCAACAACAATAGTTATCATAATTCTGGAATTAATAATAATAACCTGGTTAACCATTCAATTCACAATAGTAATTCAATTAACAGTTATAATCATGGTTATAACAATTCATCAAACACATCATCCCTTGGTTTTACCGGTTCAGTAGCATCTACACCGTTGAAATCATCTTCATTATCTTCACCACCTAATAAGGATTCTGGTTCAAAGGTATCCAATTCATTAGCCTTAATGATGAACGGTGATGGAAATCAATCGGATGAGGCTGAAGATTATTCTTTTACTTCTCAAGAGATGCCTTTTCTATTTAATCACCATAACAACAATTACGATTATACCCCTAGTTTTATTAGTAATTTTGATGATTTCGATCCAACCCAATTTCTATCTCAAACCTTCACAACTGAACCTACCTCTAAAAAGTCAAAGACTGAATGTAAGTGGTCTCATTTTGGTTCACTTTCTTTTTAGGTTTTTCCTTCCTTTTCACTTTCTCTTTCTTTCTTTTTTTTACTTTCGCTCAAATTATCCTTCACTTTCTTTTACTGCTACTTTTAGGCCTACGAACCTAAATTTTCCTCCTTTCTCTCTATTACTCTTTTATACTCCTTGACAATTTAAAGCAATTAGACGATTGTAGCAAGTAAAAAAAAAGAAAAAGATAGAGAAAAGTAACCTTATATTCTGTATTTACTTACCGTTACATTTTTCCTCTCTTTTTCTCTTTCTTTTCCCACTTTCTCTTTCTTATCCTCTTTCTTTCTCTCTCTCACTCTACTTATACAGCTACTAATGGAACCAGCTCGTCCAGAGGGGGTTATGTTACCTGTGCCGTTTGTAATATAACCAAATTTTATGCCAGTGTCCAGCGTAGATATGGACAGTTTACTTGTATGGGTTGTGCCAAATTTTTTGGTCGTTTCCTCATGAAACCAAGACGCTATTATTGTCCTAATCTGGGTAATTACTGTTCTCCTTCATTTTCCTTTTTGGTTACTCTCCGTTTCCTTTTTCTCTCTCATTCTCTCTATATTCCATACTTTTCTTACTTAACCTCATATTCTTAATGTATCATATGCACTATCTTATCATATTAATATCCCAATTTACTGATTGTGCGAGTAATATTCCAATCATCTTCTCATCATGTCGATGAATTGTTTTTCCTATTACAATTTCTCTAACAATTTGACCGATCTTTTGTTTTTCTATATTAGATTCTTATTAGAAATTGATATCATTTTAAATTCTCTCTGTATACCATATGTTCACTATTATCCAATTATCTAAATTTATACATGTTTGATGAAGATCAATGAGATTGTTATATTCCTTATTTTAATTTTCTCCTTGTTTCTCTCCCTTGTTTCTATTTAAGGTACTTGTCCATTGGCCCAATCTCCTAGATGTAAAGCATGTCTCTTGCAGGCTTGCATTCGGACTTATGTTATAGATGACAAAAGAATGAAGATAGTAAACGCTAATAGGCCATTAAAACGCATGGGTCCTGGAGGCGGTTCATTACCTTCTGATTCTATTGAATCACCTCCTTCTCCTGTGGCTCCAACAACAGGAACTGTAACATTGAGAAACTCAAAAGAAACGATTAAAAAGGAGTCATCACTATTGGCAAGTTCAAATGTAACCGATACTCCAGAAGGAAGGAGTAAATCAACCTCACTTAGTAAAGACGATAAATTAAATTCACCCAATAAAAGAGGAAATAACAGTGTAAACAATAGTTGTAATACAATTAGTCGCAATTCACCTGGTAAAAGTTCAGTTGAATCAACTGCAAGTTCATCAACTCCAACCTCAACCCCAAAGAAAACCAATACAACTAATGGGACCAACCCAGGACGTAAATCGGCCGGATGTAGAGCATGTAGCGGCTGTTTAGCTGAAGATTGTGGTAACTGTCACTACTGTCGGGATAAGCCTAAATTTGGTGGTGCAAATACCCTTAAGAAAAAGTGTATTGCTAAACGATGTTTAATGCAAGGATATAAAATTAAGCCCAGTGATAATTTGAAGAAAATTAAGATAACCCGAAAATGAAAGCGGATTAGCCTAAGCTGAGAAATTAAATTTTTCCATCTTTATGCCTACTTCCTCTCTCTCTCTCTCTCTCTCTCTCACACACACTTTCTTTTCCTCACTTACTCTCTCTTCCTCTCTTCTTCTCTTCTCCTTCTCAAGTTATCATGAATAACCTAATGGTCGTCGTCGTTGTCGTCGTTAATCATCATCCAATACACGCCCAATACCAGCACCATCAACAATTATTACAAAGACACACCAAAAAAAAGCACCAAAATGTAAACACTAAAATCAACAATTGATTCAGCAATTATCATATCGCCAAATCAAATCTGAGTCAAAAACGAACATGGAAAACTATCTAATCGATATGGAAACTGACAAAATCGAAAGATACAAATATATATATACAACATATACCACAGATTTATAAATGTATATTTAACCTCTTGGTACACAAACTAAACAAGACCAGAGACACTTAACCTCTGGCCTTATATACCCGATAAGCATAAAAACTAAACTGCGTCAAGTCAAGTCTCGAAGTCAAGTCACATAAACACACACACACACATACACACATACAAAAACCCGTCAACCGAAAGTCAAAATGAAGCCAACAAGTCATCATGGGTTCAAAACGCGATTGCAAACGGATTACACACTTTATTTTTTTTCTTCTCGTCAAAAAATGGTCTTTAATCAACACAACAATTTAACGTTCAACATGAAACACCAAAATCTAGATGTAAATTAATTGTGAAGCCAAAATTATCCAACAACAAAGAAACCTAAATATGAGTGTTATTATATATACAAAATATATTATGGAAACAAAATTCAACAATTATATTTAAATATCTAAACAACTTATCTACACACAAACGACACATTAACCACACAATCAGTTGAGGATAATATGAGAATATATATTTATATATATTTACAATTAGTGACAATTAAATATTTAATTGTGTGTGTAAATCTAGTTGGTGTGTGTACGATAGGTGGTTTAAATTAATTGCATTGCTTTGCATGATTTAATCTTGTCATAAACAGAGAGAGTCAACTTGGTTAATTGTTATTAACCAATTTTGATTTTTCTCATTTCTTTTTCTGTTTTTTTTTTGATTTTCCGAACAATTAAAAACGCAATCAACACACACACACACATACTGATATAATTAAATGCTACTAAATCAGTGGCATTTAATTTACCTATTGTACATGTAATTAATATCTATACATATAAATTATAATCAAAATTAGTTAATATAAATTGTGTAACAATTTTGGACAATTAACTGATGATTAAGAAACTTATATAAATTTATTGTTTTGTTACCGATGCAAAATTTAATCTTAAACATCAGAACAATTAACGATTTAAATTGTAATACCTTTGTAAACCCTTAATTGTAACCTTTTTCTTTTCTTCGTAACTATTACGATTAGTTAATTGTTTCTATGTTTCTTTTTCTTTCTCTTTAATTGTAATCATTTTTCATTACCATCTCTCGGCTATAAATCCACTTGTGAATAACTAAGTGACCCCAACGTCCAGTCAAAGGAAGAAAAGGAAACACTGATTAATTGTCACGGCCTAAAATCTAGTTTTCACAATCACAATTAACTTAATTAGTTGAATTTGTTAAAAGAAAAGTTTCTTTCTATTTCCTTTTCCCATTCTTACCTCTTTTTTGTTTCCTATTTACCTTGAGTTTGAGGTCATCTTTTCCTTTTCCGTTATGTTGATCATCTCATATTAAATCCGATTAATTTTGCTTTTTTAATCGCTTACAATTAGTTAATTAGTTGCGCGTTTTCAACTCTCTCATGGTAATTTAATTATCGAGTCAATTTAATTTGGATAACCGTTTTGATCTAAAACTTTTCTACTTTAAATCCAATCTATGTTCACCTTGATCGGTTCAACTAACATTAATTACGATTTGTGATCAAATCAATTAAGTCGCAAATGAATTCTAATTGACATAATCAACAATTAAAATTACAATTCTCTTTCCGAATGATTATTAATAAAGCAAAGTATAAAATCAGTGAGTATTTAGATTTTCATCTTCGATTGACAATCAAAACCTTTAATCAAAATCTTCATCGTTAATCAAATCAATTCAATTGTCTTTGATTGTTAATTGTGACTAATTAAATTCTTGTCGAAGTAGATTAATGGTTACAATTAGTTTCCATTGGTAGGAAAATAAAACTTTTCTTTCAAGTCTTTTAAGTAGTCATTGTAATTGATCATTCGTTCAATTTGATTAACGAAATTAGTCAACTGGCTAATTGTTGGTCAACAATTAGGTGACTCATTAATTTAGGTCGGAAAAATTTTCTTTTTTAGTTTTTTTTCTATTCACTAGATGGCGCTGACGTTTTGTTTTCTTTTTTTTGTTGCGAATTTTTTTCTTTCAGTGAAAATCATGTTCGAATATGTTCATCCTGAGCTATTGTGCCTCAAGCACCAATTTCAATTCTTCACAATTTATTAGCAATCAGAGAAAATATTAGAAAGTGTTCATTGTTGTGTCTTCTTCATGTCAATTTCATTTCTTTCTTCTCACCCAATTCCATGATAACTCCGTCAGAATTTTCCTACATTATTCATCAACTCGGTGGTAATAACAGTTTCTAGAGAAAAATTAAAATGCGAAAAACATTAAAGGTAAAAGTTTCCATTACGACAGTTGAACATCCACACCAACACATAATCAAGATGATGATTTATCCTTAATCATTAACCTTCACTAGATTAAGTTTTTTAATCTCAATACAAAGAAACGAAATGATTTCATCATTAATTCAGTTTCACTTTTAAAGTGAACATTAGATTATCACTGTGATTAAGAATTGATTAAATCCTAGATGATTATTAGTATAATTGTGATTGATTAATTATTAACTTGATTCTATTATTTCATTTGTGGTTCTGTTGGTTCATTGGTTTTCTCAATTTTCATGAGCAGCATCTTAATCATCAATATCCTAGCAAATTGTCATCAATTTATCATCACAATCAACAACAACAACCTCGTCATCTTCATTGATTTCATCCGTGAATCCATCTTACATTGAGTTTCGTGATAGATCTCGTTTCTGGATACAGCGGATTCTTGTTCCATTGGTTATGATCATCGGTGTGATTGGAAATTCAATGACAATAGTTATCATGACTTGAGAAGACATGAGAAGCTCAACAAATTGTTATCTCGCTGCCTTAGCATCAACCGACGTGATGTATCTTATATTTTTCTTAAACATTATCCTGATGCAGATCATTCAAACTTTTATTACTATTGGGTTTTCTACCCATTCAGTTTAATGATTGTTGATGGTTGTTCCAACATATCAATCTGGTTAACGGTGACATTTACCTTTGAAAGGTTCATCGTTGTTACTCATCCGATTCGTGGTAAATTTGAGTTCAGTGGATAATTCAACACGAATCGATGTTCTTTATTCCGATTTTGGTAAAAATAAAATGTACAAAACAGTTTATTATTGGACAACGTCAGTGCTGTTCACTTTCTTTCCATTAACATTATTGACCTTTTTCAATGCTTTTCTCATCAGATCAGTTCAACTATCACGAAGAGCGCGCGCTGATATGACCCAGTCAAAGATCACAACTGCCTATTCAACAGTCGCCAAAACTGATCCTGATCCAAGTCCAAGGTTAGGTCGTAATGGTGTTACATCAACAGGCGGTGGTGGTGGGACATCAGGGAGCAAGATTGACCATTCAACTGAGACTAAAATAACGATAATGTTAATCTCAGTTGTGGTGCTTTTTTTGTGTTGCCAATCCCCAACAGCGATCATGTTGATCTATTCATCTGTTCGAGAATTCAAGAGAAACACCAATGAATATCATATGCATATCGCTCTGAACAATATTTTCAACTTTTTAGTGGCCTTTAACGCCGCAGGAAACTTTGTCCTTTATTCACTGCTCAGTCAAAAGTATCGACGCACATTCGTTCAGCTTTTCTGTCCCTGTATCAAGGGTCGACTTTCTCGATTACAATCTTACCAACAAACACTTTATCCTTCAAATGCAACAACAATTGGGTATTCAACCTCATCAGATAAAAGGTTCAATGAATTTCTATCAGTATCAAGTGACTCAAACTCTCGAGGATCAGCATCACCTCGAGTTGGATTACCTGGAAGTGGCTTTGATTTCGGTCGGCCAAACAGTAATTATTAATACAATCTTGACAACACACCGACAACAACAACTCCGGTTAATCATAACAACAATACATTGACAGTCAACAACAACTCTTTCAACAGTATTAACAATGTAATAAACGTTAACGATATTGAAATTAAATCGATTAAATTTCATCAAACTTGATTGGATAACAATTAAAATTTAATCTTAAACATCAGAACAATTAACGATTTAAATTTTAATACCTTTGTAAACCCTTAATTGTAACCTTTTTCTTTTCTTCGTAACTATTACGATTAGTTAATTGTTTCTATGTTTCTTTTTCTTTCTCTTTAATTGTAATCATTTTTCATTACCATCTCTCGGCTATAAATCCACTTGTGAATAACTAAGTGACCCCAACGTCCAGTCAAAGGAAGAAAAGGAAACACTGATTAATTGTCACGGCCTAAAATCTAGTTTTCACAATCACAATTAACTTAATTAGTTGAATTAAGAAATTTATTTGTTAAAAGAAAAGTTTCTTTCTATTTCTATTTCCTTTTCCCATTCTTACCTCTTTTTTGTTTCCTATTTACCTTGAGTTTGAGGTCATCTTTTCCTTTTCCGTTATGTTGATCATCTCATATTAAATCCGATTAATTTTGCTTTTTTAATCGCTTACAATTAGTTAATTAGTTGCGCGTTTTCAACTCTCTCATGGTAATTTAATTATCGAGTCAATTTAATTTGGATAACCGTTTTGATCTAAAACTTTTAAATGGTCATTATAATTGATCATTCGTTCAATTTGATTAACGAAATTAGTCAACTGGCTAATTGTTGGTCAACAATTAGGTGACTCATTGATTTAGGTCGGAAAAATTTTCTTTTGTTAGTTTTTTCTATTCACTAGATGGCGCTGATGTTTTGTTTTCTTTTTTCGGTTTTGAATTTTTTTCTTTCTCTTCAATTGAAATCACATTTTCTTAGTTGTTTTGATTATTTTTATCTATTATCTTTTAATTGTTACGATTAAAATGCTTGGCGGTGATGAAATTGTTCTTAATGAAGGTGAAGCCAGTGAGTTTCAAGAAATTCAACCAGATGATGACGACGGAGACGGTGAGTTAATATAAAGTGTTGATCTTTCCGCCAACAGGATAGATTTTCAATGTTTGAGTTGACGTTCAATTTTAATTGTTTCTTTGTTCATTTTTTATCTTTCGATTTGATTTATAGAAAATGTTGTTAAACTTAAGGAAAAGGTGAAACGTAAAAAGGGTCGTGGTTTTGGTCCAGGTAAGACGGAGCATTTAGTTCATTTTCTTCCTTTGAATCGCTTTAGAATTAGCTTTTTTACCGACCCTAATGATTATCTTTTCTTTAGATGGAACTGCCCGAGAAGCGATTAAGGAATATGAAGCCATGGAATCAGGGGACAACGACGAACAAGGGCCACAAAGATGTAAGAATTGCTCATTAGAAGAAGATTAATTAGTTGAGAGAAGAAAAATTATTTGGAAATTAAAAAATTGACTCGTTCTCTTTTCGCTCTTTTTAGCTGTTGAAGGTTGGATTCTTTTTGTCACTGGAGTTCATGAAGAAGCTCAAGAGGAGGATGTTCATGATAAATTCCGAGACTATGGAGAAATTAAAAATCTACACTTAAATCTTGACCGACGAACTGGTTTTCTCAAAGGTTATGCTTTGGTTGAATTTGAATCGTACAAATCAGCCAGTAGTGCATTAGAAAATCTCAATGGGTCGAAAATTCTTGGACAAACTGTTTCCGTCGATTGGGCTTTCATTAAAGGTCCACTTAACAAGAACAGGGGAAGAAGATCCCGACATTAAGAATGGCTAATATACCAAAAGTATCATTGAAACATTTCCGAACTGTTCATCTTTTCATCATATTTCCACCGCGTTGGTTTATCATCAAGTTCTCATGATAACAATCACCGAACTTTTTTTTCTTCATCTTCTTCAAAGAGATTAATTGAATTGAATCTTATTCTCTTTGTCATTTTCTTTTGTAAATCAACAAACACAGAACATGTTACCATGCGATAGAATAAAATTTCTTCAAATGGTATTTATGTAATTCTAATTAGAAATTATCACCAGAATCTTCGGTTACATTTAATCATATCTCTAACAGGTTAATATCTTATCATCAATGGAGGGATTCAATTACGTTTCCTTTGCTCCGGTGAAGTGTTTTTCCAATGGTTGCCAACATTTGAAGTAATTCTGATCCAATTCGGGTGCTGCTTGTGCCCATTGAGTGACCGCTAAACTCAAGGATGATTCAAACATGAAAGCCTAGAAATGGAAAACAATCACTTAATTACTAACTTGCAATTCGGATGAGAGTTAATCACACTTACCATGGTTCCATCGGCAATTCTTACTGGTTTCAGGTCACCTTTGGACGCTTTCTCGAAACAATCGTGATCAGGACCATGAGGGGTCATCATGCTATGGAGACTAGCCCCACCCGGACGGAATCCATCCTCTTTGGCCTCGTAACTGCCCTTAATTAGTCCCATGAATTCACTCATACAGTTACGGTGGTAATACGGAGGTCGAAAGGTTTTATCAGCGACACCCCAACGAGGAGGAAATATGACAAAATCAGCGATGGCAACACCGGGTTGAGTTGATGGGCATGTTAACACCGTGAAAATTGAAGGGTCCTTTTAATTAGCCAATTAATTGTGTTAGAATTTTTAGTTTGACAGTTTTGATTAGAAATCTTTTTGTATAAACTTACCGGATGATCAAATGAAACCGTGTTGATTACCGTGAACAGAGTTAAATCATATTTAGATGGATGATAATTACCTCTCCAAGCGACAACATCAAACGGTGAATGATCTTGAGTCGTTTCAAAAAGTGACCCTTGAAATTTATTGATCACTTTGTACCCGATTGAATCGATATCCTGATAATGAGCGCTTGGTATTAGGAAATCACGAGCGTTTGCCAAACCATTAGCACCAATCGGACCCAATGGAGGAAGAGAAAAGTGACCATTAAACACTTCGAGAATGTACCCTCGGGCCGATGAAGTAACATCGACCTTAAATTTAATGCCCATCGGAATCAAGCAAATCTCCAACGGAGCAACAACCATTTTACCAAATTCGCTGGTGATGTAAAGTGTTTCTCGCTCGGGAACAATTAAAAAATCACCGTCTGAATTGTAGAAACATTTATCTCCCATTGGACGATCACATCCATAGATGTAAATTGCTAAACCTGATCGGCACTTCGGGTCACCCGCTCCTGAAAGGGTGTTAATCCCTTGGATGAAATCAACACCCTTACCATCGGGTACATTGAATGGTGACCATCTTAGTTGATTTGGATTCGCCTGGCATGATGACCAATCATTGGAAATTCCAGTTTCTTGAACTCGACGGAAAGGACGATGGACAACCGAAGGTCGAATACGATAAAGCCAACTGAACAATTAACAAGAAGACTTAATCAACAATTCTATCATCAAGTGATTAACAACAATTTACCTTCGTCGGTTGTGTTCACGAGACACAGTGAATGCAGTTCCACTTAATTGTTCACCGTATAAACCATAATTACATTTTTGTGGATTATTCTTGGAAATTGATTAGTTGGAGTTAATTACTTCACTTGATTGGAAAATTAACTAATTACTTACTTGACCGTAGGGTAAAGCCTCAGGGCATCTTGGATCTTCAGATGAAAGTTCATTACCTAAACCTGAAAGATACTTTTACCACAATGGGAACAATTAACAAATCACTAATTTAATTAGTCAATTAATTTGATTACAAACTCACCTTTAAACCTTCAAAATCCTTTAAATTCATGACAATTGACAATTTAAGGTTAATCTTAAACTAACCACTAATTGGAAACTGTTTTTTCAACAATAACAATTTGATTTAATCAAGAGACACTTTATTAAGATAATCAGTTGATTACTTGATTAGATTAGATAAATTTGATTCTTAAGTGAATTAAGATTAACTATCATTTGATGACAATGTTATTAATTAATAGAAAATTATTATTGAGATAAAGTTAATTGTTTCGCAAACGATTTCATTATCATAACATTTACATTGGAAAAACAATTGACGCGATTAAGTTAATTAGTGTTTTCTTTTGACTTTGATTAGAGTTAATTATTGGGTAAGTAAATCTAATTATCGGACGATTAAATGTATTGCATTTTAAACTTTTGAGATAATCATATGAATCTTTTCAAAACAATTACAATTGAAAAGCAGGATAAGAGTTACAATTAGAATTGATTGTTACAATATAATTCAAACTTTTTGATCTTTTTTTTTGTTTCTCTGATTTTTTTAGCATTTTTTTTGTTATGTTGATTATGTTGATAGTTAATTATATATTGTACACATTTACAATTAAAGAAAATTAAAAGAAATGAAATTGGCCCCTCCAAATACAATTGTCTTTTTGATTAGCACAATCAAAAGCCAGAACAGAAATTAACATTACTTAATTGTTATAATATATAAATCTTTCAACTGGTGTGTGAGTTTTTTTTTGTTGATTTTCATGTTGCTTATTGATTTAACTCCAATGTATTATAATTGAAAAGGTTGAAATCAAAAGAATGATTAATTAGTGATGAAGATAATTAAATATGTATTATTTATATAAATGTTGAAAAGGAAATTAATACCAGGGCTGATTATTAATCTAACTAGAATCCCAATCATATAACATGTCATCATCATCATCGTCTTTAACTTTTGATCCGGTTGGATTATCGGTTAATTTAGTGTCCAGTTTTTTCATTGCTTCGGTCACTATATCGTCCATCATTTCCGTTTTTACCCATTCTTCTGATCCATCTGATTGTTTGGTTGAATCGGATGCTGGTGAAACTCCGCCACTGGTTAATTTGTTTCCTTCAACACCTCCAATTAATTGATTACCTTCAGTCAAAGTATCAATTGAACTTGTCATGATTGTTGAACCAATCAATGAACTAGTATTGGTGCTAGTGGTTGTCGTTGAGGTTGTGGTGGTGATGTTGGATGTTGTCAAGGTTTTAATTTCCAAATCATTAACTGGACTTGATTTTTTCAATTCCAAATTGGTGTTACTGTTATTCCTGCTTGGTACTGATCCTGGTGGTTTAATTGTTTCCTTGATTGTGGTTGATACCGATTCTTTTTCACCAATTTCCTTCTCGATTCTTTCCTTTTCTGCTTTAATCTCTTCAGCCTTTTCTTGTCTTTCCTGTTCCTCGGCTTTGGCAGCCAATCGCTGGAATTCAATTTGTTTCAACTGGTGAACTTTATAAAAATAACGATGCCAAAATTCATCAGGAGTAATTGAGTGTGGAACCAGTTTCTCATAGAAACCCTTTACTACTCCATCTTCACTGGAAAGTAGTTGATCAATTTTATAATCATAGTCAATCAGGTTAAAAGAGATCAACCAATTCTCATAATCTTCGGGTGGACCTTCAGGTTCATGACAATAGGTTTGTGGATCAGATTGAATGGTTTTCATGAGAAGATCCCATCGACCTCTTTCAATGGAGACAATTTTGTTTCCTTTAACAAAACAAATATCATCATCATCCTCATATTCATGGGGAATCATAACATCAACAATACTAGAAAATATGGACTTTGCTTTGTTACTCAAATAGTTAATTAAATCGGCTTCTTTTTGATTGGTGTTACTTTTGTGTACTGGCGATGGAATCAACTCTTTACTTTCACTGGTTGTCTCTGGATCAGCCTCAGGCTCATCCTTTTCCTCTGGATTATCTGTCTCATCTTTAGGATTATTAAGCGATGATATGGTTTCACCAATGTAAGAGGTTGTTGTGTTAATTGCTGCACTTGTATTCAGTTGAACTGTATCTTTAAATTCAGTTAGATCTCTTTTCATAAACTCCAATGTTTTGGAAGACTAGAAATGGTAAAAAAAAAGAAAAGAAGAAAATTATTATTATCCAATACAATAGATTGTCAATCAAAAGGGAGAGTTAATCATCTATTTATCTTCAATTAACTACGGAAATCACTTGAGGTGAAATAATTGTTTGTCTTATTACCACAACGTTGAAGTATTAGATTGATGGAAAATGATAAACACTATTAATTGTTGACACACTGATTAGTTTAAACAGCAGTTGAGTATAAATGACAAACATAATCAGATGAACTAAAAACAAATTTAAATTTCCCTTTCACTTAAATTTCCTTTTTTTAAATTGCTGATTAAAAAGTAAAAGGAAAAGCCTTTTGGTAATTTTCTATTCTAAATAACAGATAACTTGATAAATTGCTTTTCTACAAAAATAAACAACCCATTCTAATGGAAGCTAGTAAAAAGTTTAATTGCTGGAAAATTGTAAAAATAACAAATTCACTACACGTTTAATCACAATGAAGATTGGCTAATAGTTCCTGGTAATAGTCACTAAAGTTACCTGAAAATATCAATGATAAAAATTTACCTTTTGTTTGGCAACATTTACAATATTAGAAAACCAAGAACCAGAAGATGATGAAGTTGGTTTATCTTCAGATGCTGATGATGTTGATGTTGATTGTATCTCAGTTTCCGACTTTTGGGTCTCGTCTTCCTTTACCCTGTAAGATGAATTGAGAGAGAAAGAGAGAAGAAAATTATAAGTAAATTATTAGAATAGAAAAAATAATTCTGCTGAACAAAAGATATCAAAATGGTTCAGATGACAAACCAAAACAAAATGGAGGAAAAGGAACATGGAAAACCCTTCATAGTATAAAAAATACATAAGCTAAAGAGGAGAAAAGTGTCAATATCAATTAACCTAATTGTAGATTAACTGGTGCAAGTTAAGAAATGACTCTGATCACTCGAGAATATAATAAATAGAAATAAATAATATCAACAGTAATAAGTAAATGGAAAGAAACATAAAAAAAGAAACAACAACAAAGAGAAAAGAAGAGAAAAAATTAATGATAATAAGATTAATCTACTTACTGAGTAGTTAACGATGTTTCTGCCATTGGTTGTGTATTATTGATTACGAACAAAGGTAAGCATAATGTGGATAATTAAAGTAATCGATGTGTACAATTAAATTTAATAGAGATTAACAATTTAAAAGAGAAAATGGTTCACAATTAAAAGGAATCAATTTCTTGACCAAAACAAAAGAAAAAAGAAAATCTGATCAGCTGTTTATTAGAATTCCAGGTGGCGCTTAGCTTGAATTTCTATAGAAATTCAGTCAACATTTTTTAATCGAAATTAACTAATTACCTTTTCTAATTCAATTTAATTGATCTCATTTTCTTTGTAATTAGTCAATTGATCTAGTCAAGTTCGAGTTTTTCTCTCTTATCTCGATTTGTTACAAATTCTTTTCTTCAATCGTTGGTTTTAAACTCGCAAAAGTGATTAGCTGATCATCACCTTGAGTTGTTTGAATTTTTTGCTGTTGATTAATTGAACTTAATTTTGATTCTTTTACCTGATTTAATCAGTTAATCATCGATTTCTAGTTTTTTTTTCATGTTGATAAGGTGACAATTCTCGGAAATTTGTGCGAAAACGATAAATCAAAAACAAGATGATTTTCTGCCTTTGTTATTGATTAGCCAAGGACATCAAGTTCACTTTTCTCTAACTTAATTGTTTCACTAATTGTTGAGATTCTTGGTTTGAAACATTTTATCTCATTCCACCCTCAATGTCGGAATACTTTCTGTTAATTGTCGCCTATTTACTATAATTGCTAATTATTTATGAATTTGATTGTGAAGAGACAAAAGATGAAGATGAAACAATTCAAATTTTCTGTAAGTCAACAATCAAAGTTTGATCCGATTAAATTAATTGTAGTCAAAAAAAACAAACAAATGTGCCAAAACTAATCACGCCAATGAAATTGGATTCAAATTAGTTTATCATCTGTTGACAATATCAAACAATTAACCAAGATTACACTTGACTTGATTAATATCTCAAAGATTATTACTATCAACCAAATTAGTAAATATCGTTGTTATTTAATTGTTGTAACTGTTTCATGTGTCGTTGATTAAATCATCAATTCACATAAATAATTGATCAGTTTACCCGATTGAAGAAACAGATTATCAAATACAATTATCGCATTTGATTTAATTAAGACAATTAACTTTGTTGAATTTGCATGAAAATTGTTTTATTGTTTTAATGTTAAGGTTATTAAATCAATTGTTTTGATCAAATATTAACTAAATCAATCTAATATCCTCCTTTCATCTAATTTCTAATTGGTGTTAATTATGAATTTTCAATTATTCTTACAATTAGTAGTTAACTAACAATTTCAAGGTTCATCTAGAAATCGGGAAAATCCTGATTGATTGGAAACAAAGTTTTATCCATACACGATTGAGAAACTTAATTAATATAATTACAATCAAATGGGGAGTCCAAGTTACCCAAAGTGTTATTTTGATTGTAAATCATGAGGCCAATAACTATTAGAATGATTAACTTATAAAGAGATTGTATTTTCCGCAATCAAAGCTCAGGCTATTCAAATTTAACTGTCAAAGTAATTAAGATACTTTCTCACTTGTTATTATGCTTATGCAAGTTGATTGGATGCTAAGTAAGTAATTAATTATCAATACAAATGATGAAAAGCAATCAGGCTGAACCAAGAAAGAAATTGAGAAAAAAATTTGAAAACAATCAGTTGATTGTATTAAATAGTCAACTTGATCTCAACTCGATCTACTAGTTATCAACGTTGAAAGGCCTCGAGCTATTTTATTTAATTTTCTTCGTATTTGATTTGCTTTTAATTGCCATAGATTTTAATGAGATGCATGATTAACTTTGATTTCTATGTTTGGATGATTTTGTTACGAGTAAAATAATCAACAATTACATGGACATTGGGAATTGACAAGATTAACGGATCGTGATTATCTTAAATTGTTGTCTTCGAGTTTAATTGTGCCCTTCAAGTTTTCATCTTTACCAAAGTCTTTGTTTAATAGTTAAATATCTCTGTGATTAAGAATCAAAAATACGAGAAATTGTCAAATGAGTTGATTTTCATCTAATTTCAATTGTGATTAAATTTTCATATTTTTTCGGTGATTGTACATTTCCTTTGGTTAATCAGTTGAAAATGGTTGAAAATATCATTGATAATCCATCAAAAGTGGCAGCAATCAAAAGTATTATAATAATCATGGTAAAGTTTCACTCTCAGTCAAAGCTGATTGTTTGAAACTTGAGTTAAATTCATTTGGTGAAACTCATCAAGTGTTCAAAGGTTTAAAATTAAATGTTCCAAGTGGCACAATATTTGGTCTAATTGGTCCGTCCGGGTGCGGCAAGACGACCTTTTTTCGGACAATCTTGGGTCGATACAAAGTTCTATCAGGAAATCTTCAAGTTCTTGGCGTCAATCTTAGTGCTAAATGCACTAAATTTGCACAACTCGGTTCGCAAATCGGTTATATGCCTCAGGATATTGCCTTAGATCAAGATCTTACCGTTACAGAGACGCTTTACTTTTATGGTTGTCTCAATAATCTTACATCAAATGTTATATCAGATCGATCGAATCAACTGATGAATATTTTAGGATTCGATAATTTCTCACGAAAAGTTTGTCAGCTCTCGATTGGACAACAACGAAGACTCTCACTGGCTTGTGCTTTACTTCATCGACCCAAATTGGCCCTTCTAGATGAGCCCACTGTTGGTTCAGACCCGATGTTGGTCAAGAGAATCTGGGACTATCTAAAAAGTGCAACAAGTCGAGGAGAAATGACCATCATCGTGTCGACTCATTACCTTGAAGAAGTTCGCAGAGCAGATCACTTTGCCTTCCTTTCTCAAGGGTACGTTTTATTTGCAGATAATCCTACTGATTTCATCAAGAACTCAGGATCATCGACCCTCGAAGAAGCGATATCATCAATGTATAAAATTAAGATGGACGAATCATCTGATCAGCCAACAGTCTCACTAAACACTCAGCCCGATACTCAATCTGAGCCATCAAGTGAAATCTTTCAACAATCAACAGTTAAACTAAATCAGAATCAAAACTTTTTCCATCTTTATGTTTGGCTTCTGTGGCGATATAAACATCGTTGGATGAAACATATGATTTACCGATTAATCGGAGTGGGTTTAGTTCATGCAATGATAATCACTTTTTGCGGTTTACTTTATGGTCACTTTCCCAAAGATTTGTCCATCGGTTTAATCAACTGGGACAACAGTTCGTCATCTCTACAATATATCGATTTGTTGAATGAAAATCCCAATAACTGGTCGTTTCCGCTTTACTCTGATGAAAGAGTAGCTCATCGCGATGTCGAATCAGGCCGATTACAAGGTTATCTATCGATTGGTTCAACATTCACTCTTAATTTGGACCAACTGATGAAATTGGGTTTGAGTGAAAATATCGATGATTCCTTACTGACCAAAGGTTTCATAACTTTAACTCAGGATACAGTTAATCGTTTGAAAGCTGATTCAGTTGAATTGACGGTTTACATTTATCTCAATCGTTTGTTTAAACAATTAACACAATATCATGAGATCGGTGATTCAGTTAACAAAACTTACCTCTCGAAACTTCAATACGTTACAATTGAACCTTTATTCAAGGATAATGATAGATTGAAAGATTTAGCACCAACCAACATAATTTTAATCAAATTTTTCTTTCAACTCATTGAAACGATAACTGTTGGTATGATAATCATTTGGGTTACTCGTGAGTTTCATGAGCCTACTGTTGAGAGACTCTCAGCCTCTGGTGTGACCCGACTTCATCTGACCTGTGCTCTAATCACAATTACTGTTTTACTTTTATCACCAATCATAATTATGTCTTGTGCAATCTTAACAATGACTACAGGATTTCCTGTCCATGGGGCTTGGGTTTTTGTGGTGTTGGTCAGTCCAGCGATTGTGATAGCAGGATGTGCTAAAGCGATCTGGATTGGATCAATAATCCCATCAACGATATTTGCTATCCTAGTGACAACTTCTTATGGATTTATTGGTATTTTTACAGGATCCATTTTCTGGCCTCTCGAAGGTTTACCTTATTTCATGGTTCCACTGAGAAACATTTATCCATATACAGAGTCCGGCTTATCAGCCGTTCGAGCTATGATCTATGGTGATAGTCTATGGTCACCACAAGTCTATGGAGGACTTTTTTATGCTTGGACTCAAGCGATTGTTGCATTTTGTTCAATATTTCTATGGTTTTATATTGTTGATTAAACTCGTCCTATTAAATATTATCACCTTTGTTCAGATGATGATGTTGATGTTGATTGTATCTCAGTTTCCGACTTTTGGATCTCCTCTTCCTTTACCCTGTAAGATGAATTGAGAGAGAGAGAAGAAAATTATAAGTAAATTATTAGAATAGAAAAAAAAACTCTACTGAACAAAAGATATCAAAATGGTTCAGATGACAAACCAAAACAAAATGGAGGAAAAGGAACATGGAAAACCCTTCATAGTATAAAAATACATAAGCTAAAGAGGAGAAAAGTGTCAATATCAATTAACCTAATTGTAGATTAGCTGGTAGAAGTTAAGAAATGACTCTGATCACTCGAGAATATAATAAATAGAAATAAATAATATCAACAGTAATAAGTAAATGGAAAGAAACATAAAAAAAGAAACAACAACAAAGAGAAAAGAAGAGAAAAAAATTAATGATAATAAGATTAATCTACTTACTGAGTAGTTAACGATGTTTCTGCCATTGGTTGTGTATTATTGATTACGAACAAAGGTAAGCATAATGTGGATAATTAAAGTAATCGATGTGTACAATTAAATTTAATAGAGATAAACAATTTAAAAGAGAAAATGGTTCACAATTAAAAGGAATCAATTTCTTGACCAAAACAAAAGAAAAAAGAAAATTTGATCAGCTGTTTATTAGAATTCCAGGTGGCGCTTAGCTTGAATTTCTATAGAAAATCAGTCAAAATTTTCTAGTCGAAATTAACTAATTACCTTTTCTAATTAGATTTAATTGATCTCATTTTCTTTGTAATTAGTCAATTGATCTAGTCAAGTTCGAGTTTTTCTCTCTTATCTCGATTTGTTACAAATTCTTTTCTTCAATCGTTGGTTTTAAACTCACAAAAGGGATTAGTTGATCATCACCTTGAGTTGTTTGAATTTTTGTTGTTGATTAGTTGAACTTAATTTTGATTCTTTTACCTGATTTAATCAGTTAATCATCGATTTATAGTTTTTTTTCTTGCTGATAAGGTGAAAATTCTTGGAAAGCTGTGCGAAAACGTTATCAAAAAAAAGATGATTTTCTACCTTTGTTATTGATTAGCCAAGGACATCAAGTTCACTTTTCTCCACTTCTTCAACCAAATTGTTCACAATCAACTTTAATTCCTCTGGTATCTTCACCATAACAAGTTACAAATCACAAAGATAGTGAGGTAACTATTTTAATTCCCTCTTCTTATCCCTTTCATCATCTTCCATCCTCTCTCATCATCATCATATAATTAGAAGTCATTTGTGAAGAGCAAATCAGTTTTTCTGTGATTCTCGATCAAGTGTCTCTTTCTCTGTGTTAATTTCTCCATTTTAATCAACTTCATTTTTTAATTGTTCTTTTCTATTTTCCAATAGTCAATCAAAATGGATGATGATCATTTGGAAGACCCTGAATTTTTGGAGATTATAAATATCGACACTCAACCATATCAAGATCAAAAGCCTGGTACTAGTGGACTTCGTAAACCAACCCGATTTTTTGTCGAGAAAGTTAATTACTCTTATAATTTTATCCATTCTATCGTTAGTTGCATCGAGGGTAGAGACTTGATTATCGTCGGTGGTGATGGTCGGTGTCATACACCTTATTGTGCTCTTGCAATCGCAAGAATCTGTGCTGGTCACGGATTCAAAAAGATCATCGCTGGACAAAATGCCATTTTATCAACACCCGCTGTCTCCAATTTAATTAGGAAATACAAAGCTAACGGTGGATTCATTTTAACTGCTAGTCACAATCCCGGTGGAATCGACGCTGATTTCGGTATCAAATACAATGTTTCCAACGGTGGACCAGCACCCGAAGGTTAGTTTCCAATACTAATCGTTTTTGCTTCGAGAATATTTTTGATTGACTAGCTAATCAACCTAATTGTTCACAGTTAAAACTACTGTCAACGTTTATATAACCTTGAAAGTCAATTTCTATCTTATCTTCTAGTGATAATTTAAGCTCTTTAACTAGAATTGATTAGTTATCAAATTGTTTACCCTAATTATTTTATTCTTTTAGTAATTAACTTTGGTTTTTTTTTCTTTCTCTTTCATCTTTAGCATTCACTGATAAAGTGTTCAGCTTAACTAAGACCATTGATAAATTCAGAATTTGTCCTGCATTGTCACCCGAATGGGAGCAAATTGGAACCACCGAATTCAAAACAGAGGCTGGTTTGGTTACCGTCGAGGTTATTGATTCGGTTAATGATTACTTGGAATTGATGAAAAGTATTTTCGATTTTCCCAAGATTAAAACTCTTCTTGACAAACCAAATTTCAAGATTCGAATCGATTCGCTTAACGGGGTCATGGGTCCATATTCAAGACGAATCTTTGTCGATGAGCTTGGATGTTCATCTGATTCGGTTGTTAATGATATTCCTTTGATTGATTTCGGAGGAAAACATCCTGATCCTAATTTAACTTATGCCTCGGAACTTGTTGATGCCATGAAAACGGGAGATTATTCATTCGGTGCAGCATTTGATGGTGATGGTGATCGAAACATGATCCTTGGTGCTAAAGGATTTTTCGTCTGCCCCTCAGATTCATTAGCTGTCATCGGCGCTAATCTAAATTCTATCCCTTATTTTGTCAAATCGGGAGTTAAAGGATTCGCCCGTTCAATGCCAACCGCTGGTGCGATTGATATTGTCGCTTCCAAAGCTGGTCTACCCTGTTACGAAACACCAACCGGGTGGAAATTTTTTGGTAACCTTATGGATGCTGGACTTTGTTCACTTTGTGGTGAGGAAAGTTTCGGAACGGGCTCAGATCATATTCGTGAAAAAGATGGATGTTGGGCTGTACTTGCATGGTTGTCAATTCTTGCCGAGAAAAACCAATCGGTCGAAGAGGTTGTCACCGAACACTGGAAAACTTATGGTCGAAATTTTTTCACTCGATATGATTACGAAAATTGTGACGCTAAAAAGTGTAACGAAATGATGAGTCGACTTGAAGAGTTGATTGCTGATAAATCACTGATCGGACAATCATATGGTACTTATAAAATTAAACTCGCTGATAATTTTGAATACAAAGATCCCGTTGATGGTAGTATCACCTCGAATCAAGGAATACGGATTATCTTTGATGATGGATCACGAATTATCGTCCGTCTTTCGGGTACTGGTGTTCAAGGAGCAACAGTTCGTGTTTACGTTGATTGTTACATTGATGATGCAACTAAATTAACTGAAAATGCAGCGGTTGTCTTACAACCATTAATTTCAATCGCTCTTGAACTATTTGATATCGAGAAATATACTGGACGAACAGCACCAACAGTAATTACTTAATCATCTAAATTAATATATATATCACTATAAATGATTTGAATCAGTTCTTGTTTTAACAACTTTCAAAACTAATCAACTTGCCATCACTTAATTATAAATTTGTCGTAACAATTGTATTAACATCTCAATGTTTTAGAAAATAAATAATTTAAATCTTAAATACGTTTCATTGCTCAATTTATTTAATCACTCACATTACATTTTTCTGAATGAAGATAATGAATCATAATCATTTAAAAAGTCTAACTGAACCGAGGGAATCGATTCTCTGAATGCAAGGAATCATATTGATCAAGAGTTTCGTGATCAAGTTTGAGTGGTTTTTTGAGTTCGTTTACATTGAGTTATCGTCCACCTTGTCGAGCCATATCGCCGAGAACCTTCAAGAGGGTTTGAGCGAAAGCAGCGGGATCGTCAAGTTCGTTGAGAAGTTGGAGTGGGTTAGCAGCTCGAACACCACGAGATGGGTAAGCTAATAGAAAAGAAAGTCGAGTTAATAAAAATTGTTGAAAAAAACGAAAAAGAAAAAAACTAATGAGATGATGGATTAATTACCCATTCCAAGTTCCTGTTTATATGCTTCTTGAACCTTTTTGTTAAAATCGTCGGAATAATCTGAAAATAACACCATCCAATTAATCAGAGAATTTGATATTGAATCAATGAATTAAAATTGAATTGAAAGTTTTATGAAATTTACTCACAATCTATTTTTTGAATTTCTTCCGGTGACATTTTCATAAGGTCATCGAAGAAGCTTCGTTTAACCAACTTAGATTCAGCAGATCGGACACCACGAGATGGGTAAGCTATTAATAATAGAAAAGAAAAGAAAATCGAGTTGATAATAATCGTTGATAAAGAAAAACACCACATAGATTATTCGTTATTTACCCATTCCAAGTTCTTGTTTATATGCTTCTTGAACCTTCTTGTTGAAATCGTCGGAAAAATCTGAAAATAACACCATCCAATTAATCAAAGAAAAGGACCAAAAAAGTAGTAATAAGAATAAATTGTAACCGAATCAACTTACAATCTATTTTTTGAATATCTTCCATCGACATTTTCATCAAGTCATCGAAGTAGTTTCGTTTGACCAAAGAAGATGCAGAAGCAACTGATTACATAGAGATCCAAAAAAGGGACAATTAGATTAACATTAGTAATTAATAGAATGGCAAACAATTAACTTACCTCCTAAGAAGCAAATAGCGAGAACAATTGAGAAACGCATCTTGTTAATCGTCCAATTGATTGATAAATTCAAGTGAATCTCCGCATCAAAATAATTCCCTTTAAATAGTCATAATAATCGTTCGTATTGCGTCGTCAATACGTTGGTCGTTTCCGACGAATTGAGACCAGATGATGATTATTATTGTTCGAAGTTGATTGATTGTCGTGTTGACATTAATTTCCAAAAGAAATCATTTCAATCAAAAGAAAATGTATCAATGACACAAGATTAGATCGAACACCTTTACAGAGATAATTAATGATAATTAAAATCATTCGACAATTAACAAAGATGATCGACGTGATGTACTTATTAAAAGAAACAATAGCGATCAACGTGATGAAGAAATTGAGTTTCTTTCATCAATTGTCTAATTGTTGCCAACGAATTGCATTTTGTAGCTAAGAATCATATTAATAAAACTAATCATTAAAACTATAATCAATTAAAATCAAATTGTTCCAAAGAAAATCTCAAGAGTTTAATCAGGATCAGTGCTAAGTGTGAATATAAATTAGACTCTAATTTTGATCTGCTATGAATTCAGTGATTGCTTTCTGATAAGTTAACCACTAGAAAACTTTATGTTCACACTGATACATGAAAAAACCATTCGACATTCAGAATCTATATGGATGATCAGAATCAGAACTTTCTCAGCAAATGATCGCATAGAGGAAATAGAAGACCATACAATTTATAATTAGTTTCTGTTTAGAAATTAGTCAACAAGGAGAAATAGTAAATATAAATTCCAATGGATTTTGAAACAACAAAAGTTCCTATGAAAAATGAACATCTTTGTATTAACCATTTCATGAGAATGATATTTTTCCTGAGCCGATTATGGATATGTCTGAACAATGTGAATGTATTGTCTGCTAATGTCAGTCAAATTTAATGAAACATTAGATTCAACTGAGTTTAATGAAGATCACCATGAAACTATAACTCCATCACAAGAAATACCTGAAAATCTCTTGCAATAATCTGATTCTAATTACATTAACACACAAGATGAAGACTGAAAATCCAGCGTATCATTGACTTTCCATTGCTTCTAGTAAACTTAAATTCCAATAACTTAGCCTGTGAATTTAAGATCAAGTCGATACCGAAACCATGATAGTTCAAAAGTTCCTTCATTTGATTTTGTTATTCAAAAAAACTGAGACTTATTATTGAGTCGTAATAACTTCAATCATTTAAGTTTACTTGATAGTTTGATACGATTTCCAATTCTCTATATGAAAATTACATTTCAATTTGCTATTGAATTTCTCATGATATGTGCAAACTGATTTAAAAAGATACGTTCATAATTAATAAATTGATAGACTTTAGAAGATGTAAATTTTAGTTCTATTTTCTTTCTTCATGTATTAATAATAACTGATGAGTTTACTGTTTTTGGGACTAATCATCACTTTCGTCTTGACGTATTGATGCAGTTGAATTGTACCTTTGGCTTATCTAAATAACGGTCTTTCCACTAATCAGATTTACAAATTTTACACATTTTGATCATTATTCATTTGTAAATTTAACGTGCTTACTGTAATCTGATTTCCCTTGACGAAGTTACCTGGTGTATCTTCATCAAGAGAATCACTGTTCCTGAAGTCTCAGAGATGATTCTTGTCACGAAAAATAGTAAATCAAGTCCGAAGTGTGTCCACCTCTGTGTCGATATTTTAATATTGTTATTTTAGAAAATAAATAATCTACATGTAGATTTGAAATACGTTTCATTGTTCAATTTATTGGATCAATCTTTCATTTTTATTCTGAATAAAGATAATGCATCATTTTAATTCAACTAAATCAATGGAATTGGTTCTCTGAATGCTAAGGAATCATATTGATCCGAATCAACTGTTTAGAGGTTCAGTCTGAGTTATTGTTTGGTATTCATTTAGATCGAGTTATCGTCCACCTTGGCGAGCCACATCGCCGAGAATTTTCAAGAGGGTTTGAGCCAAAGCAGGGGACATCAAGTTCGTTGAGAAGTTAGAGTTGGTTAGCAGCTCGAACATCGCGAGATGGGTAAGCTATAGTTTATATACTACCTTGAACCTTCTTGTTGAAATCGTCGGAATAATCTGAAAATAAGATCACCCAAATCAATAAGAGAAAAGAACCAGAATGAAGAAAGAAGTAAACAAAAACAACAACTTCTAACCGAATCAACTTACAATCTATTTTTTGAATATCTTCCATCGACATTTTCATCAAGTCATCGAAATAGTTTCGTTTGACCAAAGAAGATGCAGAAGCAACTGATTACATAGAGATCCGAAAAAGGGACAATTAGATTAACATTAGTTTTAATAGAATGGCAAACAATTAACTTACCTCCTAAGAAGCAAATAGCGAGAACAATTGAGAAACGCATCTTGTTAATCGTCCAATTGATTGATACATTAAAAGTAAATTCGAGTTGATTTCTGTTTCGAAATAATCTCTTTTAAATGTTCATAATAATCGTTGGTAAAACGTTGATTAATATGTCAATCGTTTCCGACGAATTGAGACCAGATGATGATTATTATTGTTCGAAGTTGATTGATTGTCGTGTTGACATTAATTTCGAAAAAAAAAATCATTTCAATCAAAAGAAAATGTATCAATGATAAGAAATGAACTGAGCACCTTTGCCGAATCAACAATGATCATCAACAATATGCACTCGAAAACAATAGCAATCAACATGACAAAATTAAGTTTCCCTCATTAATTGATCAATTTTTGTTCCAACTCAACAAATTGGAAGTGAAATTCACTTAGTTTACTAATTGTTTTCCGATCATGAAGATTAACTTTTGATTAAGAGACAAACAATTAACCCAAAAATCCTATGGCATCTTTATTATGATCAAAATATTTTACACCAATAAATTTGCTATTTGATGATAATCGTTAATTGTGAATTATATAAATTGTATGATTGGGATTAGAAATGAGAACAAGAAAATTAATTGCTTAACAATAGCTCACAATTAAAATCTTACAATTGATTTTGTCGATTAGTGAGTTTTTAATTGTTGTGATTGATTATGAAGTTGGATCTTAATGGTTGATGTATTAATTTGACCTCGTAATAGTTTTGAAGGGATTGGCAGTTAATACAATTAATTAATTGAATTGCAAATTTCAAGTTCACATTAATGATTAGGAGGATGAAGATGATTTTATAAATTTTATGATGAATTAAAAATTTTGTTGATTGTTAAGTGATTGTGATGATAATTATGATGATGATGATGAGACAAAAGGATTTACAGTTAATTGTTTAAATCCTTAATGTTTAATCAAATAACATCAACACTGATTGGCAATGAAAAATTGAAATTGTGATAATCAAAGAGTTAACTCTTAATTTGATTCTTTTATGTCCACTTTGATTGATCAATTGATGAAATAATTATAAATTTAAACTGAATATATAATTGAGCTTTATCTTTGAGAGTCGATCAATTAATTATCAAAAACCAAACCCAAATTGTTGCTTAATTGTTGTTTCCCTTGATAATGAATACGAAAGCTTGTTGACTTAACTACTTAAATTGTTTAGTAATAATTGTTGATTCTAATTTTGAGATCGAACATTATTTCGATATCTGGTTGTTCGTCGACGAGCAGAGCTACGATTTCTTAATTGTGACCTATTATTTGCACGACCTCGAGACACTCGAGCAACTCGATTGACTCTTCGTGCATTTCGAGGTGAGTTGGATCGTCGGGGTGATGCGGCTACTTTTCTTCGTGAAGATGATGATCGAGATGATGACCTTGAACGAGATCGTGAACCTCTGGATGCTGAGGATGATCTAGATACATTTCGAAGTCGAGAGTTTCGAGCTGGAGATGATCGTCGATTTGAAAGTCGATATCGTGAAGCATTTGCAGGTGAGGCTCCTTTGACTGAACCATAACTAGCGACATTACCTCCGTTTGTTGAAGGTTCATCGGCTGGGGTGACTTCAGTTCCTGCAGCGGCTCCAGCGGCTGCTGATCCGCCTTCGGGAGTACCTGAACCATTGGCAACATCAGTTTCAACGTCAGCACCTAATCCAGCGTCAGAGCCTGGAGCGGGTGAAGATGATGATGATGATGAGGGATTACCTTTGGTTGAACCGGGAGTAGATCCACCATTTCCTTGAGAAACTGGTGAGTCTCCGCCAGATTGTGGACCAACGACTTCACCATCGGCTGAATATGAGCCAACACCTTCAGTTGCAGTTTCAGGTTGACCATCGACTCCAGAATCGACTGAACCATCGTCCATGTTTGAAATTGGACTATCAGTAACTCCTTCATCAGAGTCAGCTGAATCTCCTGAATCACCGCCCATTGAAGTACCAGAATCACCGCCGATTGGAGCATCAGGACTAGAGGTACTTCCAGTACCACCCATAGGTCCAAGACCTGATCCAGCGATTTGTCCACCATCAGCACCAAGATTATTCATTCCACCATCAATACCACCCATTGATCCATCAACTGAGCCCATGCCCGGTTCACCAGCACCAGTTCCTGTTTCACCCTCGGCGTCATTAGGCTCACTTGAGCCACCACTTGTTGATTGACCATCAGCTCCGCCAGTTACTGGACCGGAACCAGAGGTTCTATCCCCATAACTTGCACCAGTTCCAGTTCCAGAGCCTGAACCTGAACCTGAACCTGAGCCAGTACCTGGACTAGCGTTACCATTACCAGCACCTGAGCCAATAGATTGACCATCATCAAGTGATCTTCCAGCAGGAATCATTGCTTGACCAGTTCCTGAACCTGAACCTGAACCAGTTCCGGATCCACCTGATCCTCCTGTGATTGGGTTTCCTTCAGCATCTGAAAAAGTTTCAAGTAATAAGATTCGAACAATTTAAACTTCAATTAAAAATAACAAACCTTTGTAGAGTTTTTCATTGAGATTGTAAAGTGATGGAGCTTGACTACAATCAAAATCGTACCACCAAACGCAGACAAAGTTACGTTGACTGAAAACGGTTCCGTTAGGACATAAGAATGAATCTTTTCGTCCATCCATTTGACAAATGTGGAAAACTTGACATTGAGCATCAACATCAGCATAGTAACCAGGATAACCGACATCATCACACTTGAAGGGTGTGTTTGGAACTGAATAAAGGATTGGATAATCTCGTCCGGGTTCACCTCGAATAGCATCTCGTAGCCAATCAATTGGGTTACCACTTCCATGGTGACCTGAGTCATGTTGATATTGACCATCATCTCCATGATGACCACTTGGTGAACCAGAACCACTGTAGCCAGAAACTCCATTTCCTCCGTTTCCAGATGAACTTCCAGGTTGAGATGAGCTTGGACCATTGGGAATGTTCATTCCATTGGCGCCATTGCCCATGGATGAGTCGATTCCACTGGTTGGTCCACTTGGGAATCCAGAGGATGGACCCATTGACGATTCTGGGAAGTTAATTCCATTGCCGTTGGAGAAACCATTTTGACCTGAACTTGATGAGCCCATACCGTTGGTGGCACCATTGGTTCCAGGGTAAGTGATTCCATTTCTGTTACCATTTCCTATCGATCAATCAATTTAGTGGGATTAGTGAATCATCAATACAAAATTTAACTCTAGTGGTTAATGATTAAAGCGACTCACCATTTTTTGACCCATTACCTTGACCATTAGTTCGTGAACCACCATTTCCATTGATTGGACCAGCATTACCATTTAATGGACCTCGGCCCATTCGATTACCACTTCCAACTCCATTGGCACCACCATTGGAATAAGTAACACCGCTTCCACCATTTTGTCCATTGTTTGCACCGCCATTACCGCTATATCCTACTCCGTTTCCATTTCCATTTCCTAAAGATAAATTAAATCGAAATTGAAAAGTTCAGAAAGTTTAGAACAAAAAGTAAAAATCAATTGATCGTAATGTTATTACCGCTCAATCCAGATCCTGATGCAGGTCGAGATCCAATTCCATTGGTTGGCCTTTTAACACCACCGGCGTTACCATTTGTACCAGAATAGGCACTTGGGGTAGTACCTTGAGTTGGGAAACCAGAGATTGTTGATCCTGGTAAATTTGATTGATTAACACCATTAACTCCAGAATCAGATGTAGGATTTACTCCTTGAGCGGGTTCCTCAGAATCAGCATCATCGGTAGCGGGTCCTTGTTGATCACCAGTTCCTTGTGCGGATGAACCAACAGGTCCATTAGATTCAGTATCATCAACTGAACCAGTGGATGTTGATGTTGGTGTTGGTGAAAAAGATGAACCATTATCAGAATAAGATGAACCACCGGTGGGCTCATCTGAATCACTAGAAGCTCCAGGGGATGAAGGAGAGACAGGAGATAATGATGATGACCCACCACCAAGTCCAGTCGCAACTGTAGTTGAATCTAAATCACCTTCAACCACTTTAGGTCAAATTAAAACATAATAATACAAAAACAAAGTAACATCAAAGTGACAAATACACACAAACAATTAGAGGAAAAATAAAGTAGAAATAAAAAAGAAAGAGTAGTAATTAATTTATCTCACGATCATAAATGAAAAAGATGAGAAAGATAATCTTCTGTGAGAGAAGAACAAGAAATTAAGAAATTATTGTTTCTCATAATCATCATTAAGATGAAAACATTTGATACTCACTTAATTGTTGATCTGGTCGAGGAGCATTTCCGTTAATTGCTCCTCCATTTCCAACGGGATTCGATCCACCGTTAATAGAATTAGGTGAATCGGTCAACTGTTGTACTTGACCATCATCTTCTCGAGGAGCCTAACCAAAAAAGAGAAAACAAAAAAAAGTGAATCAAATCAAATTAACTAAAACAATTGCGAACAATTTAATCACCGACAAAAGTGTCAACACTTGAGAAGAACAAAAAAAAAAGAAAGCGGATTAATTTTCGCGGGTACGAATTGTTATTAAGAAACTAACCCTTTTCCCCGGATTCGAATAACCGAATTGACAATTTTTCTAATGAGAATCAAAAGTAAATTAACTGTTAATTGTTTTTCTAAATTTAATTGTGATCTTTTTATATTCATTTTACTTAATTTCCATTCTCTTTTGCATTCTGATTAACTTGTAATTCATGGAAATTAACTAAACGATTACCATATTAATCATCTTCTAAACTGAAGATTAGTTTTCTGTTTGTTGTATTAATATAATTTTCTCTATATTTTGATTACCCCTTTAATCAGTGATATTATTTTATTTTTTTCTTCATTTTCTACTAATTCTTTGTGTATACAATATTTAGATTGTTGTTAAATTGTTACCTCACGGCGTAACTAATCAGCTCATCACACACCCACAAAACAAAAGACAGTAATAATTATATCTACTACTTTTGCAACTACTTAAAGTAAACCACAACAAATAACTTGATTAGAGAGTTAAATTATCATCTACCTTGGTGAATTGTTGAACAATTTAACTGTTATCCATTCAAATGATCAACTTATTTTCATCCTCATCATAATTACTACATCTTTTCATGTTTCTTTCAATCGACTGTACAATTGAGAGTAATAATATACTTCCATCAATTTCATCAACATTATCAACAGAAATATAATCAAAATGGTTCTCCAACTAAATTCCACTTTTCTTTCAATGTAAATCGTCATTCTTAACCTGATAACTAACGGTAATAATTAACTAATCATCTTTAATCAGCGTCTCACTTAATTAGCCTTTGATATTCATCGTTATTCATTAAATTATCGGACCAAAGGTTTACAGGTACAGAACTTTTTTTTTCTTCTAATTATTTATCAGGAAATCATTTTACTATTAATCTGATGTTCTTTTCTCGCTTCCAATTTATTAATTGTTTGGATTAATTTTTCTTTTTCTTTTACAGTTAATTACTTACAGTTTGGAAACGGACACCTCGTCGGTAACCATATTGTGGTCTGGATCGAGATCGATATGTTAAGGAACTTGATCTTCGGCCTGGTGAAGGTGGATAACGATTATCATAATAAGCTCCTTGAGCTTCAATTTCATTCACAATTAAACCTGTTGGAAAAGACAATGACAATTAGTTAATTTCTACAACAATTAAGAGTAAATCTTTTAACCTAATACTCTGGTAACCCTTTAACCTGTCAACGGTTTGTTACTTAAACAATTCTAATTCTTATAAGAAGATTAGTAAATCATCAAATTATTGATTGAAATTATCATTTTCTTAATCAAATCTAATTTCTTCAAACAATTAACTTATATATTATACAACTAATTCATTATTATTGTTTCTTTTTAATCTTCTTTTTTGCCTCCTAATTGACAGATATGAACTACTTTGGATATTAATCACGATCAATATAATGACGATTTTTTAATTAATCTGATGAAATAATTAATCTATCAAATTTTAATCTGATTGTTTATGAGAAAATTGAAACAATTGATAGATTTGATTACTCACCTAAAATAATAAGGAATCCAAATGTAATTATCCTCATGGTTATGGAAAATAAGCTCGATATGAACAATTAAAATTGAACGAATTGATTATTGATGGATTATGGCGATGATTAAGATAATCACAATTAATATTCCGTTTAACAATTAACAGTAATTATGTAAGTTGATTTACTTTATATATATTATTTACTATTAACTATGAACGAAAAAGTTTTATCGTTGAAGCTTTAACCATATAAGATTGTTGTTATTACTTTGATGGCGAAAAACTTTTCTAATTCACTTGATTGTTTGATGATTCGAACTGATGATCAATTTAAATTGTTCTTCGTACTTATATACTAATGATGAGAATTAAGGTGTTGGTTTTAAATGAAGAATCGATAAGAAACAGAGAGAGTAGGCTGAGTCTTAAGAACGAAAGAGAAACATCTTATACTCTTAAGTACAGTTCGAGTGAAAAAGTATCTTCGTTAAGATGAAACGAAGAAGATAAAGGAAGAAAGAGAAGATGAGAAAGAGAAAGTGAGTAAAGAAAGAGAATATGGGACTGGACAGTACAAGTGACCAGTCGAATATAAAAGAATACCTTTAATTCACTTTCACCGTTCGAAAGAAAGTGAAATTTTCTGGCCTCTTTCTCTCTCTCTCTCTCTCTCTTTCTTTCTTTCTTTCTTTCTTTCTTTCATCATCATCTACATCATCTTCTTCTGAAGATGATGAACAATAAGCTCCACCAAATGCAACAATTTACATTCGAACCTCCTTAAATTAATCATTCCAATTCTAATTTTCTTTTTCTTTTTTTTTCTTCATCAGCATTTACCTTGATTCTAATAGATGATGATTGTCATTGGATTAATCAAGATGATTATTGATTCTCTCTCTCTCTCGTCATCATTGGAGTTTAGAACTTTAATTATAATGGGTTGAAATAATTCGAAGGTCCATTTGGTGGCGATCTGATTAATCCAATTAGAGAAAACAATGTTTCCTCCAATGATGTTGATGATCTCACAATCTAAATCTAAATATTACAATTTATTAATTTTCCACGAATTCACTGAAATTAACTGATTGTATTTGCTAACAATGATTATCTTGTATTGTTGCAGTTAAGTACAACTATCATCATAATCGTCATCATCATCATCACAACATCATCTTCATCATGGTCAATTATTATCAACAATTAATTTCACTTATCATCATCATCATTTCAATGGCCGTGAGATATTTCATCATCAATTAACTGTAACAATAACAACAACAATCTGATTACAACAATTTGACTGATTTACTTATTTGTCACAATCTATTCCTGGACAGAATGATTAACTTAATTACAATCTAACAACATCCTTACGTGTGTTTGTTTAGTGTCAAAAATTAGTTACAATTAGTTTTAATTGGAGTCACTGTTAAATTAATCATTCTGTTAATATCTCATCAACTTTTACTTTTAATTTACCAGAAAATTGTTAATCACTTTTGATGATGATGATAAAACTCATCTCTTTCCTTACCTAATTATTTGTATTATAATTAACTAATTTTGATGAATATTATGTTGATTGTTGTAATCTAATTTAATTTTGTTTCTTCCTAATCAACACTTCGGAAAAACATAATCAACTGAGTTATCACTTATATTTAAATTTCATTGTTAAATTGTTAACTTGATTGCGTGAGGTTCAGTTTTATTGTTGTTAACTTTCATTTGATTAGTTGATTAAATTACATTAGTTTATTAAGACTCGTGTTTGATGATTAAAAAGTAAAACATGATTAGTTTGATTAGTTTGACTTGGAATTAAATTTCTTAATTTCATTTTATTCATCTATTGTTGTTGTTGTTTTAACAACAATTCATCTCGCAAATCAATTTAAATTGCGTGTAAAATGATCAGCAATTAATTTGATTATAACAACGAATTAATGTTAATTGTGTTTTCTTTTTTAATTTTGTTTCTTTTTCACTCTTTTTCAACCTTTTAATCAAATTCGAAACAATTTAACTTATTGATTAACTTTTCTTTGATTATTGTTGATTATTTTTCTCCTTCTCTTCATCTTCACAATTAAACTTAATTGTTTCTCTACAATTTAATTAAAACATTTGTAATTGTAGATTAAGAGACTTACTAAGTTTTAATTTGTTTTCCTTGTTGATAGTTGATTGTTTTGCTTTTCATTGTGATTTAAATACTTTGCATTTTAATTTTAATTTTGCTGTTAATTTGTTAATTGTTAATCATGGACAATACATGGAATCAGATGTTAGAATTGTTTAATTTTAAATAATTAAATTGTTGAAATTAATGGTTACCTTTGTTTCCCAATGAGATCATTCAACTGGACGGTTTAGTATTCATATTGATTGATATTCATTATTATTTTAATTACTGATTAATTGTTGTTCGTTTTCATTTACAATTATTGATTGTTAAGCTTCTCACATCATCAGGCCTTGTGGTTTAATTTGATTATCGTGATTTAATTGGTTCTTTATTACAATTTACAGGAACGATGTTGATATTCAACTAATGCCTTAAGGGAGTTTTGATTAATTGATTTCTGATTTATTTCAAAATCAATTGATTCTGATTCTTAATCTTCATCATCATTCCCAATCCATGGAAATACAATTAATAGATTTCTGGTAAACAATTAACCCTTTTCATGAGCAATTAACATTCAGATTAATCTTAAAGGTGTGACCATTGAATTTGTCATCATTGCACTTTGAAGGCAATTCAATTGTTTATAATCAGTTGATTTACCAGTTTAATTATTAAGATTTACTGATTACTTGGTTTTCCCGTTAATTGTGTGTAACTTTTTAATCATCGCTAATCAAAGGGTCGACAATTGATTCTGATTGTAATGATCAGTCTTTGTTGGTGAAAATATTCCCATAGTTAAGGCAAACAGAAACATCGTATTGACCTTATATTGAGAAAAAGGTATTATTTATGTTTATTGTTGATTTTAAATTCGAATTATTTTTTATTCTCTTCTATTCTTATATTATTAATAATATATTATCCTCATCTCTCTCTCTCTCTTTCTCTCTCAGAAATATCGTAAAAACAACAATCTCTCACGTTATTGTCAACAAAGTATCCGAATGTCAAACAATCGTTGAGCTTGATGGACTCTTGAAGCCGAAGTACCAGACAATAAGAAAAGAAGAAGAAGATGAAAGGATGACAATGATGAAGAAAAGAAGATGAAGATGAAGATGAATATTCAGTTGAGAATAGAATATTTGGAAATGATGATTATTCGAAAAAAAGAAAAAAAAGTAAAAGGTGTTCAACAAAATTCCAAAAACTCTTGAATTCTCAATAATATTCAATCATCTTGATAACTTGTTGATAACTTTCGGATAATAGTTACAGATTAACAAGTGGATTTAGTGATTACCTTTTGGGAGTCATTTAATTTATCCACTTGATTATCTACCTGATTGTTGAATCTCTCGTATTGATTAACCTTGATTGTGACAAGATTCACCAATTCAAGTTGTTTATTTGTCATAATGATTATTTTAAATTCTTTGTTCATTTTCACAATTAACATTCATCTCTCTCTCTCTCTCTCATTACCCTTGATTATCACAACAACAATCAGAAAAACAATACTAATCCTTTTTAATTTGATTATCGTTCTTATGATTTACTAATTTTCACCAATTCAGTTAATCGTTTTCACTTTTCTATTTCCAGTGTTAATCTAATGATAAACTCTTGACAATTTATATTCAAATTGTTTCTAATTTTGGTTGTTGTGTAGGTTGATTGTGATGATTAGTTGATTGTTTCGGACAATCAAAGTGTCTCCTTTGATAATTCCTCTGGTAAAATTAGTAAATTGTTGCCCAAAGTGTTAAGTATCATTGACTCTCGAGGACAATGTTAATTTTGTCACAAGAAAATTGAATTTAAATTGTTTCAATATAATGTTAATCATATTGACTACAATTGATGAAATTTTCAGCTTAATTGTTGATTAAATGGTTAAACTTGATTTTCATTTAATCAATTTCTTTTGTTTTAATTGTAAAATTAAATTGAAAGTCAAGTTGAACCTTTTTGATTGTAAATTATGACTTGATTGTTGAGAAATTGTTTCTATCATTTTGATGATGATTAACTAAATGATGATGATTCCTTAATTGTTCCGGTGCTACGGTCATCCCAATCAGACCGAATAATAGTTTATGATATAATTTAAGATTCGGTATATTAATTGTAATTACAAATCGTCAACAATTTAACAGGAAATGGACAAGAAACTGTGATGATCACGATTTGTAGCAACAATTAACTTTCATCATTACAATTTAAGTATTTGATTATCATGATGATAGTTAAGTAGAAAAGGTTTTTTTTTCAATCTAATCCTAAATTGCTGTTGATTAAATCAAGTAAGTGAACTAATACCGTTAATTGTAAAGCTAATTCACTTAATCATCTTATTGATACCGTTTTTAATAGCGTAATAATTAATATATTATTACTTTGGTAATCTAATTGCTGTTACCTGTTGTTTCCGGTCAATTTAATTTAATTTATCATTTTCTGTCAAATGATTATCATTAATTTTGATTATTGATTTTTACCTTGAAAAAAATTCATTTAATTGTTTCTCCCTTTAATCACAATTACATTTACATTTGTAGTTAAATTTGATTGTTAATGGTAATAAAGTGTATCCAATGTATCATCAACCATGGACCAAGTGATTAACTAATTGTGAACAATCAAATAGTGGCTATGATACTTGATTAATGGTTTGTTAATTGATTAAACATTTTTGATTGTTACTTTTGTGGTTTATCATCAATTAATCTTAATCAGATAATTGAATTAATTTAAATTATCTTTTAATCTAAGAAAAATTATTTATTCATTGGTAACGATTGACTTAATTGTTGGCCAAATTTTCAGGATAATTAACAATTAGCAATGTTCAGATGAGGACTGATGATTAATTATTGTTGATTAAATATTAGATTTTCCAAAACTGTTAATCAAAGGGAATCATTAATATGTTGATTGAGTTGTTAACCTTTGATTTGATTAACAATTAACAAATTGGAATGTGGCAAAAATCAACAAAATCAACAACAATCAAGACAAATTACGATTTCAATGATTAAATAATTAGTTTTGATTGTTTTTTTTTTGGTTAATTATTTGTAATGTTTTTAATACCATAACAATTTGATTGTTGTTTGGGTGCATATGATTATTTAATCAACTATAAATTGTAATTAGTTGAAAGGCAACACTCAAGTTAATTAATATTACAATTGATTATTTGTTTTTCTTTTAATGAGAATTAACTAATTTTTTTCTTGTTATTGTTGTTGTTTTAATCTCTCTCTAAGTTAATTAGTTGATTTGATTTCGTTGGTGTTTGATTGACGTGATCATGAATCGTTAATCAATCACGTAATCTGATTGTTTATATCCACACTTAATCAAATTACCAATTACAATTAACTGTAGATTCAATAATTTGTAATCAATATTTTATAATAAGTGATGATTTTTTTTTGTATTATGTTTACCTTGATGATTTAAAAAAAGGTTAACATTTGAAAATCAATTAAGTTAATTTTTTCAATTGTTTCAGTCGTTTTCGTAGATGATTAACTGAATTGACAATTAATCATTACAATTTACAATTCACCTAAGGCTTTTAGATTTGCATCTTTGTTATTAATTGCAATTTCTCCAGTGAGTATGATTGTTAATTGTGATGGAAAATTAGTTAACTTTTGGTGTAAAATTAGTTGATTTTCAGGCCATTTTGGTCAAGGATGATTGTTGTTGATTTATAATATAAGCAACAAGGAAGGATTCACAATTAAATTTGTTGATTATCTATGATATAGATAATTAAACAAAATTTTTTCTTCTTCATGATAAACCAAATGAGAAACCATCACCATCAAAACAATTAGAATAACACAATTGTAATCAAATGAGAAAGAAAAGTTTTAGATGATGATGATAATCAAATTGAAGGAAAAGAAAAGAAAAACATTTTCGCCAATAAATTTTCTTGATTCTTCTCTACTTTCAACAGCAATTGTGACCAGTTGAAGAGAAACAATTGTTTAATTAAATTAAATTTGATGAGCATGTTGATCATCTCTAATGGTGACTGTTGATCCATCGTTTTGATTGAAGAAAACCCGAATAATGGAAAAGCAAAGCAATTAAATATCGCAAAGAATTGGATCCATCACTAATAAAGAGAAAAAGAAAAAGATAAATTATAATTATTAGAATAGGAAGATGAAGATTAACAATTGATTATGAGTATAATGATTGAGAACAATTAGTTTGTATGAAGATAAAGATTAATGAATTAACTGTAAACACGTAATGTTGGAAAATTATGTTAATCACCAATGTTTGTTGTTGTTTTTGTTTCTTGTTCATGTTTACAATCAATTACAATTTGATGATTATAGTGTTGATGGTACGTGGCAAGGTGGTTATTACAGTTGATTGTTGATTTAGTTAACTGATAGAAAGAGGAAACAAGTTAATCAGTTAATTTATGATCACTAATAAATCACTTGAAATATGTAATTACCTTAAATCAATTGAGAGCTTCTTGTTTTCAATTGTTATTGATTCCAAGGCCTAACCTATAGGGGTAACAGAAATAGAGACTTAATCATCATCATAACCATTGTAATTAACTTCCGATGGTAGCCATTTTTGGAGACACAATTACCTGTAGATTAAAGTGTTGAAAGAATAAAAAATAAATAAATTAACTCGACAATCAATTAAATCAACAACAAGTAATCAAGCTTACTTACCCAGGACAAGAAATTGACCAAATCCATTGGTGAACAAGCAAATGTGTTTGTAGGCCTAAAGGCGTAAACATAATTACACATTTTTGATTGAAACTATTTACAATTCAATTGGAACAATTAAAACTCTAATTAAAGTTGACCTTTGATTGTTGGTGAATATTAATTATGATTGAGAATTAAATATCTAAAAGGATGTTAATTGAGAAAAAGAAAAATTTATTTTCCCTCTCAGAGAAAATGAGAAATTAACTGTTAGGTGGCGACAATAGAAATTAACATATGATGAGATTTTTTGTTCTTTTCTCATTTTTTAATTGTTACTTTATGGATTTTCGTGGTTAATTAATTGTTTCTTCGAAAGCCTAACCTTATCATTTAATGTTCTTTTCTCTATTTTAATGTTGATGGGAATCTAGTGACCATTTAATTAGTTACTTACATTACCGACAATTAAGATTGTTACTGTTAATTGACAACAAACACCAAGACCGTTTGTGTGTCTATAGACAATAACACCTCCTATTCAATCATTTTGTTGTTTTTCTTGTGACAATTAACCTTTAATTGTATTAATTTCTGGCATCATCATCATCGTCATCAAGTGTATATATTTTAATAATTAGCAAAATGAAACAATTTAATTGGATTAAAGTTAGTGACGATAAAATAATCAAGTGAATCAACAAATTGAAAGGTAAGTGTTTATAGAGAAATAGATTAACCTTTTTCCCTTTACACTTTGTATCTTAATTGTGATTAACTATTCAATTAATCTGGGAATATTTTTAATTATTTCAGTAAATTTCTTATAATCGTATGTTTTATTAGTCTAATTATTAGTCTAATTGTCTATTGATGACAATTTAACACGTAATTTATGTAGTCTCTCATGTTGCTTTTTTCTCGCATAAATCATATTCTCAATAGAAATTTGGATTTTCTTTAATTGTTGTAGACTATTTTTTTTAATTTTCTATTAATTGTCTTAAGTTTATTTTCTTTTCACCTTTTCTCAGATTACCTGTGACCTTAACAATCAAATTATCTCTCTCATTCTATTCTAATGGATCAATTGGATTCTCTTTTCAGATTTGGTAACAGTTTCTCCCGGAGAAATAATCAAAGGATATTAATTGTCATTGGAATTAAATTTAATTAAGGAACATATAATGATGGTGATCGTATAATTGGATTGAATATGATATCAGCTCAATTTCCTGATTGTTATATTTCATCTTCTCCTGATCATGATCAAGTTATTTTCGATTAACTTGAGAAGGTCAATAACAATAGAATCGGAATATCAATATATCATCAGAAGATTATAATTATCATGATGATGATTAATACTAATCAAGTTTTCCTTTTCTCTCTCACTCTCGGTATGATTACTTGTCATCATTATCATCATCATCATCTTGGTGTTTGTTTACTTGAAACTTTCAAAAGTATCGTGATCATTTGATTTGGATATTGTTGTCAATTGATTGTTGAACATCAGGATAATTGATTATCGTAAAAATTTCAATTCCAATCTGATATAATCAAAAATGGAGAAGCAAAAAGAAAAATGAACAATCTGATCAACAATCAACATCAATATTCAACCAACAACAATTAACTTGATGACATTTGATTGCGTTACCTCCGTTGAAAGTAATAAGTAACCGAAAGACAATTAAATTAACTGATTTATTATACATTCAATTATCATGTAATCATCACCAATCCATATAACAACAACAACAACAACAACATAAAATGAATACCTGATACAATTAACATACTCAACAATCAATAACCTTCAGCAACAATCAAGGAATCACAGGAATCTTGTTTAAACAAATTTACCTTGTTAATCACTAATTATACGGAAAAAAGGACATCAAACAATCAAATTTAATTTCGTACAATTTAATTGATCAGATGAAACTAATACATTTACTAAAAGGGAACAAGAAGTTTCAAGAATCAATGATGAATTAATCTGCAAATTGTCAGGTAAATGAATCAATACAATTTCTTGTGACGATTTGTTTCAAACAACAATTAACTGGTGATTAATTGACACTCACACACACACATCGAAATCAAGTTAATTTTAACAATTGAATATTGAAATGTTTGTAGTGATTAAATTGATGATATTCACTCATGACCCTGACATGAAACTCAATCTTTTCCTCATCACTTTTCCTTCATTCCAATTCTCATAAGGTTGACCATAAGAGGCTAACTTTTTCCCTTGACCAATTACAATCAAGAGCATAGGTCATCCTAATCATCATCTTTATCTTCATCATCATCCTTCATCTTCATCTATTATTATAATCTAATTGTTTCTCTTTCATTTCTTACCTTTATTATCAACAGGAAATTAGTTCAAGGACAATACGAAGATGATATTCCTGAGAAATTTAATTCGATTGTGATTTTTTTCACTAATCAATTAGTTGATTAACTTCTATGTTTTCTATCAGCGTTTTGTTTCTTCAAATCAAACAACAATTAACTCCTGGAAAGTTAATCAACATCGCAATTAATATTCACTGACTGTTAATCTAAATGACTGAAATTGCCTTCTAATCTGATGATTACAAAATTTTGCTCTTAATTTAGTTTCGTGATCAACAATTGATCAGAAACAACAAAAAGGTAAACAATTAAATCTGTTAATTGTTAATTTGATTGTTTCTTGTTGTATGTAACCTTTTTCATTTACAAGTAACAATAATTGGGAACAATTAGCAAATTAATCATAATCATGAATATTAAATCATGATCACAATTAACAAGTTTTGATCTTTGAATTTACTTTTACCCTTGAGTTAATTTTGTTATTTTAACTTTTTCTAATTCTGTTGATAACTTTTATTACAATTAACTGATTGTTTTAAATTGTTGAATTTTTCTTAACATGATGTAACACAATTAAATTTAATCATCATAACTTTCCCTGACCTTTATTAATTGTGATTAAACAGATTCTGTCAACAATCAGTTTTGATTTTTCAATTGTGAAAATCATTGAATCATCATTGATTTATTTTTAGATAATCAAATTTAGATTAGTATTCAACTGAAAAACTAATTATTTTGGTTGATATTAATTTGCTATAATTAAGCACAATTAACTGATTATTTGAAAGCCTACGCTCTCTATTGTTATGATTACTAAATCAACAGGAACTTTCATAAGTTAATTGTAGTTAATTTAAATCATTTCTTTGATTGTTGATCAACTAATTTAGATAAGATCTAAATCATTTGCATGGTTTACTTGCCATTAATTGTTACAATTAAATAGAGTTTGCAATTGATTTAATCTCAATTTTGATGAATTTTTTTCATCTAAAACATGATTAATAAATTGTTACGGAAGTTAAAATCCACAATTAATTACTGTTTCAATAGATTTGATTTCCATCAGCAATTAACACAAATATCGTGAAAATTTGTTAATCATAATGACGATTTAATAATGAGATGTATTGATTTCATTGATTGTGTATAACAAAATCGTGATTAATTAAGGAGAAGTCAATTGAATTAGGTTAATTGTTGACCCATAGATTTAATTGTAAAGTGTTGATTACAATATATTGATTGGAAATACTATTGATTGTCTTAATTTCAACCTACAATTAACTTTTCTCATCGTTAATCCAATGACAACTTTCAACTTTTTTTCCCAACTTTTAATTTTTGTTATGATTTATAAGCCTGAGATTTATTTAATCATCATCTTAATCGTCATCACAATTAACTTAATCTTCCCACATTAAGGATGAGGAAATTTTCAAGGGTAAAGATGATGATGATGAAGATGAAGGGGGTGGAGGTCAAGATGATCATCTTGATCATCAAATTATATGTATTTTGACCTGAGGAGGTGAAACTGGTTCTTAATTGTTAGACTTTGATTGTTACAATTAATTCATATGGTGTGGTCTTGACAACAATTAGTATCAATGATGGAAATGTTTAAGAAAAACTTTAAGACAATTTATAAATTGTTTTGATATGAAGCAACTTGTGACAACAACAATTAACTGAATTAAGTGTCAAAACTGTTAATTGTTTCCGAGAATATTGTTAATTATGATTGATTGATTATTGTTGAGTCTTAATCATTTCACATCAGAATTTTTCACCTTGTAGGTTTAAAATTTAATTCTTAATCGTTGGTAACACAATTTACTAATTGTTAACCTTTGTAATAGTTTAAAAGGTTAACTTAATATTTGCAATTGTTTTTTTTGTTAATTAGTTTATTTTTTTTCTTGATTATTTACAATTAGTTTTTCTCATTTGATTTCGATCAGGTTTCATTTGTTGTTAACTTGTTGATTAACTTTAATCATTAGGATTTTGATTGATGATTATCACGTCTCTAACAATTAAAGGTTAATTATTGCAAGGTGATAATCATTATCATCTGTTAATTGTGTTTAAATAATTAATCTACCATCATCTTATTAGTTAATTGTAATCAACTCGTTCAAGTTATGATTCAACAATTAGAAGCTAATTTGATTTGATTTTCTATCAATTTAATTGTGTTTAGTTTAATTATTAAGAGGAAACAATCAGATCAGAATATGGAAAAAATTTCCCATGATCGTTTTAATTGTTGTAACAATTAAGTTAATCACTTTTCCTCCATCAAGTAAATCCAATATTCAAATGTATTCAACAAAGTTCAATGTTTAAAATAAATTTTTTACACTAATTTACTAATTGTTACCAAAGATTATTTCATTTACTGGCCTTAATTGTTGATTCTTTGATTGGTTTAATTGTGATTTAACCTTGAAATTTTCATTTCTCAATAAATTGTTAACAATTAAACGATTTGGGCTTCTAATTGTTACCAAATTAACACAATGTAAAGGTGATCATAATTGTCTGGTCACTAATTGTTCATGTTAATTGTGATCAATTTCTGAAAGGTTGAAATCATCAGTTGATTAAGTTAATCAACTTGATCAACATATGTTAACATTGATTAACAACTGATTAGTTGTAATTTAAGGTACTATTTAAATCACAATTAACAATAATCATCATCTCAGGTTAACAATTAAAACATTTGGCCAACTAATTGTGTTGTTTTTAGTTCAAATTAATAATTAATCAAATCAAGTGAACAATTTAAATTGTAAAGAGACAGGGTCAACCTTGATCATGATACTTTAATTGTAATTAAAGTTGATTGTGTTGACTGAAAACATGTTGACCAAAAAAAAAGGTGATTACTAAATTGTTAGTGTTAGTTAATTGTTTATGTTTGTTATGATTTGATGATGTTGGTGAAACAATTAGTTTCATTTGAGTATTAATTTTAATGTCACTGGTTGGATTATGAGATGAGAAATTAAATTAAATTGAAATTAAAGGCTAACAATTAAAGTTTGTGTCATGTTACTGATTAAAATTTGATTGTAACGATCATGTTTTCATCTATTATCATGATAATTAAGTTAATTAACTGATTTACATTTGATTGTAAAGAATAAACAAAAAAATTTAATCTACTCCAAGACTAAACTTTGACCTGGAACTAATTAAGACCTTAATTATGATTAGTAATTAATTTATTGTCAACATTGATATTCATTAACAAGATCAATCATTATGTTTTTCAATGGCTGATTAGTAGTTTGATTTAATTGTTGATTGTTGATTGTCATTAACTTTGATGATTTGAGATGGTTTGATTGAGGATTTTTTTTTGTAAATCGTGATTAGTTAATTTCTTGATTGAAATTAGTTCTGTTTTAATCAAGATTATGTATAATTAATTACCTTTTTATTTGGGGAATAAATTGTTTGATGATCAACATGATTAACTTAATTGCTATTAAGTAAGATCTAAATCAACACCTCGCTTCATTTTGTTAATCATGATCAAGATGATTAACCTTGTGATCAGATCAACAACAATTTAACACCAAATTTTAGTGCTAATTGTTATCATTAATTTAGATTTAAACTTAATTGTGATCACGATGATAATCAAATCTAATTTTGTTGTTTTTTTTTCTTCCTTGGAAAAGTTAATTAAATCAACATTTAATTCAGTTTTAATTGTTACCAATTTCTTACGATTTAATTGTTAATAACTTCAAGGTCACAATTGATGATTTATCTGTGATTAACTTTTAAATTCAATGTAATTAGGACAATTTAATTATGATTAGTGGCAAAATTATCATCACAATGTCTAAATTTGTTGTTTTTTGTGGTTAATTGTTGCTATTAATCAACGGATTAACAATTTCCTGATTACAATTAAGATCATCTCTGACCATGTTTAATCTTAAAGCAATTAAAATTGATTTCTAAATCATCATCAGCATTAATTAAACTAATTAACGTTCATGTTTGATTATGAAAATTGATTGTTTACTCTCTTCCTCCTTCTTAATTGTAATTAACAAAATCAAGGTGTGTGTTGATTACGATTGGGTTAATCTAAATTTCATAAGCTAATTGTGAATCAGTTTAGTTTTTGTGACCAACAAACAATTGAAAAAATTAACCGATAACAATTAAAACAAAGGTTAATACAATTAAAGGTAAAGATTCAGATTGATTAATGTATGAGATTAGTTTTAATTGTTTGATTCAATTAAATTGTTAAAGATTATGACCATTGATTGATTAATATTTAAATGTTCATGATCAATGATTAAAAATTAGTCCTTGAATTGTTATTGTTGATTTAAATTAATTTTCTCTTCTTCATCCCCAACTAATTTAAATTGATTGAACGAGTTCATTGATTATTATGATTAATAAAATTGACTTGATGACGATAATCAATACGATTACAATGACGATCATCTTTGTTGTCTTAATTGTCTAACCTTGACAATTAGAAAATCAAATCATTCAATTTTACAACAATTTCCATGGTTATTTAATCAACAATTATTTTTAATTGTTCTCACGTTGAGAAAACTAAATCAAAATTGAAGCAAATTCAGTCCATAATCTCTCTCTCTCTCTCTCTTGATCACCTTGTCTAAATTGTTAATTCAAGAGTGAGGAATTACTACACGTTGTACACATAGACTAAATTAACTTAATTGTGATCGTAATTAACAATATTGACAAATGAGTTAAACTTTTCCAATAAACGGTTTTCTATTTCCAATTTCCTCCACCAGGTGACTCTCATTTTCTTTTGTTTTTTTCTCAATGTGGTGAACATGTGATTGGATTTTTTTTAATTTTGTTTGTTGTTGTTTCCTTTTCTGTGGACAATTTAGTTAATCACAATGAAGAGTAAAAGTATTTTCGAGGTTGTTCTTGGTTCTTATGAGAAATATTTGGTCGGTTATTCGCTGGTTCGAGACAAAGTGAACGATAGTTACAATTTTGTTCGTACCTTTGCCGAGGAAGCTCACAATGGTTGCATCAAGAGCGTTGCCACTTCTTCAACCACTTTGGTCTCCGGTGGGACCGATGAATGTATCAGAATATTTGACATGAAGCGAAAAAAAGATGTCGCCTCTCTGTTTAACCAAGAAGGAACCATAACATGTCTCAATTTTATCGATGATCAACATTTAATCAGCGGAAGTGAAGATAATTCCATTTGTGTTTGGACAACATGTAACTGGAAATGTGCTAAAACTTTATTAGGTCATAAAGGTCCAATTAAAGGTCTTTCCGTTCATCCATCTGGTGGATTAGCTTTATCCGTATCAAAGGATAAAGCGGTTCGAACATGGGATCTGGTTAAAGGTCGATGTGCCTTTATCTCCAATATTAAAGAAGTCGCTAATGATATTATCTGGTCTCCAAGTGGTAAACAATTTCTCGTTTTATTTGACCGTCGCCTTGATGTTTACGACACTGGTTTAGCCGCTCCGATTCATAAGATACCCTTTACCAAGAACGTAAATTGTGCCCGTTTCATCAATGTAAGAAAACTCTAATCACTAATCTGTAATCATCGAAATAATCATTTGTATTTACTTTCTATTTCTTCATCTCTCAGGAATCTATTGCAATGATTGGTTTGGACGATGGATGTTTAGAAATGATTAACGTGATGAAAAACAAATCATTGAAGAATCAGAAAATTCATGAGACCAGAATCAAGGATATTTGCTTAACTAGTAAAGGCGTTTTAACGGCCTCATCGGATGGAGTAGTTAAATTTTGTCGAGGTCAAAACTTTGCCACATTAGCGGAGACCAATTTAGGATGTAGAATCACTTGCATGTCAGTTTTCCCACCACAACCTGTCCAATTAACGACTAAATCAAAATCCTCAGAATAATATAATTTATATAATCACCTGAATGATATTTTGTACCCAAAGTTTTCCCCTTAATTGTTGACCATAAATTGATCCTCATCCCAACAACAAACATTATCATCGGTTTGGTTTCTCAATCCTTTCGGTCAAAGGATAAACAATACAACTTGACAATTAATCGATTCAAGGAACATTCAATTGGACGATATCATCATCTTAATGACAACGTCGATAATCAATATGAAGGAATCAGAATTGATCCGATGTTGATGATCATCATTACCACAACAATGAAGACTTTTGAAATAAGAGCAAATCGAAATTCGGAAATTGAGGAAATTTTTCTTCTTCTCTAATTGTATTTTCCATGGAAAGACTTTTCAACCTTTTGGCAAAAGATTGAATTTCTCTAACAAGTAATTCTCATTGAGATGAATTGAGCTTTTCCTGAATTCATGGGAGATAAACTCATGTTCAGAAAGAGAATCAGATTAATAATCTAATCATGAACATGCTCAATTCTTTGCAGGTTATACTTTAAATCTTGAACGATTTTTCCTTCATTGATTTTGCGCTCTCATCTCATTCCATTTGGTATCATCATGAATCTTTTCATCTTATCTTCATCCTCATCTTCATCTTCATCATCATCATTTTCATCTTCTCCTTCATTATCATCTTTTTCCTCAAATATTTTCTCTGTTTCCTTGATTTTCTCGGTGAAAAAAAAGATGAACGTTAAATTGCAATTTCTGTTTTCTTTATTTACTAATTGATTACCTTTTCTCTTTTACAATCAAATTGATTATTTTCCTCAACAATTAATGTTTCATTCCTGATTTTAGTGATTTTTGTTACCATTGTAACAATAACTTCATCATCAATGGCTATTGGAGTTCATCATCATCAGCATCTTCATCATCATCTTCATTATCTTCATCATCATTTAGGTAATATTTTCATTGAGAATCTTTTGTTTACTAATAGAAACAAAAATGGAGAACAACAATTTACTGATTGTAATTTAATTCCCCTTCTGATTTACCTTCCTGATTCCTTGATTTCTATGTGATATTAATAGCTAACTGATTGATCATTTATCGATTCCAATGGATGAACATAGTTGTTGTAATATTTACAATTCCAATTGATTTATTGTTTAGAAAACTGAATTTTAATTATCAATTGTTATTGTTATTCTCATGATTAGATCAGTTGATTGTAGGATTGATTTAGTTATTGTCTCAATCTTAACGATTCAAAGGTTTCTCAATCAATTCAATAGTTTGCTGTTTTCTTTTTGATTAGTTAATTGATCTCATTGATTGTGATCTTGATTTTATACAATTTACAATTCAATCATTTGACCAATTTATATATTGATCAATGATCAGTTTAATGATTAATTAGTCTAGACTTTAATCTAACCCTAATGTCCTTGATTTGATTAATTGTTAATTCGTTGACCTGATCAGATTGATAAGATTTTGATTGCTCCCAATTGATTATCATCAATTAATATGAGAAAATCTCTTTAATTGTCCTTTTAATTGTAAACAATTTGTCTAACTCATTTTGCTATCTAATTGGTTACAGGTTTCATTTTGATTTGGTTAATTTTAATTGTTGGATCGGTTTCCACAGAGGAAGAGTGTCTAAGTAAGAGACTAATTGTCAACAATCAACAATCACAATTTACTTAAATTTCTCAGCAATTTATCAACAACAAACAAGACAAAATCTAATGATCACTAGTCATGCAATTAACTAATCATCTTTGATCAATTGTGAAACTTTTGATTACGAAAACTATTGATTAATCGTTGATACAATTACACAGAGTAGAAGTGATCACGATAAACATTGAACTGAGAATTTAAGTTGAACACAGAAGTGACGATAATTATCATCTAATTGTAACAATTAACTTTTCTTGTCAACAATTAACAGAGAAAAAAATTTGGTGCTATGAATGTTCAACGGAAACTAATCCAAAGTGTGGAGATCCATTTAATATCAGTCTGGTTCGAGGCGAAGAGCGGGATGTGACCTTAAACCAATGCGAAGGTTGTTGTATCAAGATAGTCAAAAAGAAAGACACTCGTAAGTTAATTAACTTTAATTGTGAACAATTAACATCTTCTCAACTTGTTGGTCTCTTTTACCTTGTTGACAATTTTGTTGAATTGATTTCGTTGTTCATTCACTGAGGCTGTGAATTAATTTACTCAATTTTGATTGTTAAAGTTACTTTTTTGTGTAATATTTTTGATTTGATGCCAACAATTTATTTTAATTGTAGTTTTTAAACATTTTCCTTACAACTTTATTTAGTTTTACTCTTAATTTGGTAGACACAATTAGGGATTCGTTTTGTTGTTGATTAGTTGATTTCATTTGATGCCAAACTTATGACAATTGTGATTGTCGAGGTTTATATTTAGCGGTTTGATTTTTCATTTGATTTTCTTAATTGTTCATCTTTGCTTTTCTCTTAATTGTTAATTGTAGCTCAACAAATTATCCAAAGGACGTGCACGGGAAAGATTCAAATTAACTTGTTCATGGTTGATCATGTTTGCATGGAGGAATCGGACGGCAAAGGTCATATGTGTTTCTGTGAAAGCGATGCCTGTAATTTGGGGTCAACAATTAACTCGATTGATTCAATTCTGTTGGGAGTAATCACCTTAATCACTGTTGTAACTGTTGCATCAACAATTAGCCAGTTAACGTGATTCTGATCAACTCATTGGGATAATTTTCTTTCCTTGTTTTTGTTTTGTTAATTTTTCTTCAAATCAATCAACTGATTTTGACTTTTGGTAATTTAATGTTATGATTTTTACGAATTGCGATTTAATTTGGTCGCCATTTTGTTGCGGGTTTTCTGGTGATTTACTGATTCACTTGGAGAGGAAAATCAAAAATGAAATATTTGTTAAACATTTTTTTAATTGTCAATAGTTTTACTTTCAATTTATCTATGATAATTAACTGATTGTTGGTCACTCATCTGGATGTTTTCTTGTTACATTGATTGGATTGTTAATTGTTGGTCATTTTTACTTTCCTCATTAACAATTAGATTTATCATATCTATCTGATATTCATATTCATTGGACAATTAACTTGGAATCTAGAACTGTGATTATCATGTACAACAATTTAATCATTGGTGGAAATTGATTCAATCAAATTAACCGTTGATTGTTTCACACTCTAGTTAACTATTCATCGATGTCGATGATAAAATCATTCATTCAATTGAAAGCAATAAGAAAAACCTATCGAACTAATCAACTAAATCACCTTTCGTCATCATCATCTGATTAACAATTTATGCTCATCGTTAATTGTTGACATTTTCAACATGTTAATCAATTATGGCAAAATCAATCAATTGATTAGTTCAAATATCTGAATATCAATTTAATTAAGTAACTCAAATCGCCTCGATAATTTGAATTAAATGAACATCACTTGTATCTAATTAAATGTTGTATCGGCCTCTAATTAACTTCAACTAATCAACTCTCTGTTTATTAATCCAAGATTAACTTAATTGTAATTATTTACTTTAATTGTTATCATGATGATCTCAATTGTAATAATAAAATGCAATCACTTTGTCACCTTAATTGTTTACATTCAATATTGTTCAGTGGATAATTGAAATCTAAATTGTTTGATGGATTAATTAGTCAATAAATGTTGTTTATTTTCTTTAATTTTATTCTAAATCAACTAATCACTCAAACAATTTAAATTAATTGTGTTCTTTTCCTTTTTTCAATTTTCCCGGTTTTCTTTGTTTTCTTATCTGTTGTTTGATTTTTTCTCTGGGTTTTTGTTGTATTGGTTTTCCAATGGAAAGTTAAATTATTTTATTAATTGTGACACTTTTTTGTATAAATTTTTTAATTAAATTAATCATCTAATGGGTGTTGACTATGAATTGATTAGATTGTGAGTGTTAATTGTGTCGAAAGTTAAAAGATTAACTTGAAATAAGGAAAATTTCATCTGTTATTTGACAATTTTACTCAAGTGAAAACAATTGACAAAGTGACCCAATGATTTTAATCATTTACTTTCTTGACTTGGTCATTTCGTCTCCATATTAACAAACCAATTGATGGAAACTGATTAAATCGATTAAATTGTAAAAGAAAAACAAGATTATCTCTCTGATAGTTTCCTTTTTCTTCTCTAAAGCTTTTCATTTTCTTCTATTCTCTGTCAACATTTTCTTTTCTTTTCTTTTTTTCTATTCTTTTCTATTCTCTTTCCAATAGACAAAAACCTATGTGTTGATGTTTTTACTTTTCTCATTTCATTCGTTTGCTTGATTTTCTTTGTTCGAATTTTTTTCCCCACTCATCATCATGTCTATTTTATATTGTTTAATCAACATCGATGATATAAACTATAAGTTAACCTTAAATCTGAACGATGATCGGATTGTTGGTAATGAGGATGATCTTCGTAAAGCTTTGGCTTTGGACACTGAACCAGATTTCAAGAAATATGATTTCTCTTTGTCACATTTTATTTTCGAGGTAACAATCAATTTATCTTCTTAATTACTCTATCTTCTTCTCTGTTATCTATCAACTCATCTTGGAACTTCAGCTGATTCTTGTTATAATCTCTCTTTTACATGTAAACAATGAATTCTCTTTACATTTATCCTTTTCTTTGTTTCATTTCTGGTGAACTAAATTTTGTTTTCTTGTTCTTTTTTTTCTCAATAGATTTATGACAAATCAATAAGTGAATATGTTTCGATTGACAGTGAAACCGAAATTGAAAACATGTCAAAAATTCGGGTTAAAATTCTGGATCCAGATGTAATTTTACCTGAAGAAATTCCCAAACCTTTGAATGACAATGAATTAAGTTTCCTGGAATTAACTGATTTCAAAGATGATATTGAACTGGTTGAATTATATGCCCAATCTCATATTCCTGATGATGAGATAATTAAAATTGTTGATAATTCAGTTGTAACAGCTGAAAGCTTTGCAGTTTACAATATAAGGTAAGTGGATCATATTAATGGAATCGAAATTCACAAATTAATTATTCTTCTTTTCTCCATTTTCCCTTCCATTTAGAATCAAGAAACAATTGGTGAAATCGGTCATTAAATATCAGAACTATTTTAATACACCAGGAACTTATCACGATGCCATTTGGGAGGACATTTGTAATGATATTAAAGATAACATGGGACCCAAGGTGATCTCGTTGATCAGATTTCGAGCAAGGGAACTTGGTTTCACTAGAATATTTCCACAATTTGTCCAGAAAGAATTGGTCTCGTTAATCGGTCAATACAATCGTCTACTGAGAATGTGCCAGTGTTTAACTGCGCAATTAGCGGAAAGATTGTGGCCACTGTTCAGAATTTTCCATAAAACGCTGAGAATCGAGTACATTTATCCAGAACGAGGACCCAGTCTAAGGATAATGCAAAAGGAATTCGATGATGCCAAAAAAATTACTGTTCTCAATGATTAAGTTGATTGGTTTAGAATTTTCAAGTTCGAGGAGAAAAAAACAATTGACGATCCAATCGTCAAATTGTTCGATTAAAATTGAATGGCACTTATTTAAATTTCTTCATCCAGCTGATTGTAAAGAAAAAGATCCAAATTAATAGTGGATCATCTCTATTTTCATTAATTATCGACTCACTTTCAACTATTTAAACCGAATCTCACAATCACATTGGACTGTATTATTATTGTAAATTAATCAGCAATTTTCACCTTCATCTTCAGTTTGAAATAAATTTTTTCATCTACCCAACTGCTGCTTGATTATCCCAACCATTGTTTTAATTGTTAATCTGCTCCATTAATATTATTTCTCGATGATCTCATGTAATGTCAATCAACTTGATCCAAATGTTGAAACGATTAGTGACTCATCTCTATCTCTGTAACAATTATCTTTTTTAATCTTAATTGTAAATATCCACCAAAATGTCATGTTTTCCTTAACGATTCAATCATTTTCAATCCAAATTGATTATCCAATTCGTTGTAATTAATACAATAACAACCACTAATTAAGAATCCATCAGATTTATATAATTATCCATGTGGAGAAATTGATAAGCTAGAGATTAGAAAGAAAGAAGATAACAATTAGTGGAAAGATTAGAAAAAAATGATTCGTTTTTTTGTATTTTTTCCCTCAAAATGCGGAAGTTTTTCTACTGATTGTTAGCAATTAGAACCACTTATTAGAATGATCAAGTCAATGAACTAACCACAGAAAATGGACTTCCTTATATCGAGAAATTTTCTGTTTTCTTGACAATTTGATAGCAACAATTAGGTGCGAAAAAGTCCACAATTTGAACGATTAATTTTCGAGTAAAACTAAAAATGATTCAAGTGAATGTTGATTACATGAAACGTACTTGAAACGAGAACAAATTTGAACTTGACCGTATTTGGATTTGATTAATTTCTCTTGACACACTTTACGATGATTAACACTGGATCTTCTTGCTAGATATAGTAATTAAGAGTGTTTTAAAGAGAGAATCGAAAGATTATTAATAGTTTTGGGATAAATAACGAACAAAGTGGATTTGTCAATCAATTGAGAAAAAAAAAGATGAGCACCATTAAGCCTCAATACAAATACCCAATGGAAAGGCATTGATGACAATTAAACTCATTAATCAAAGTTTTGTTCCATTTGGTCTTCGAATCTATTTATTCGAAGCTAAAATTTATCACCACCACGAAGAGACAGAAAGAAAAGACAGACCAAAAAGAGAGAAAGTCCATTTTGTCCAAATCTATAAAAAAAAAGAAAAGAACATTAATCAAGACCAATACCAGCGGAATAAACTAATAGGCCTAAGAAAGACCCACTAATTAGTCTAACAATCGAATTGTACATAATTAAGATAAAACTGTACATACGGAAGAGACGGTCAACAACTGGAAAGGCCAGAATAAAGTCCAGTCCAGTCCAAAAATTGAAAGAAAAAAAGAAACGATGACCATTAAAAAAAAAGACCGAAATGTTAAACCGACAAAATGTTGACCAAAGACAAGAAAAGAGGAAAGAACAATTTTTCAAATCAATCAACTGTTCCAATAGAATACAATGGCCACCGGAAGCTACTGTTGACTCTTAAGGTGTTCAAATAGACACTTGATTAATTGAAAGTCGATAATTAATTGTAATTAATTGAAACAACCAGAAAAGTAAACAATTAACATTCAAACAAAAGGTGGACCAAAAATCCGTTAAAATTTGCGCTTTTTAAATCCAACGCCCTCTGTTGTCTGATTGGCTTAGAATAAGAAAGAACAAAAATTTTCTCTTTCTTTTCAATTGATTCACTTTTGTATATTTTTTATTTCTCACAATTAACTTTAATTGTGACAGTTAATTTATTACATTTATCGACCACACTTTAAATAATCTTAACTAATAACATCTTGCCTATTGGTTATTCTACATTAATTACATTGGATATTCGCTTTTTCTTTTTAATTTGTTTTCTTTCATCTTCTTCCACAACAACAACTTACACTATTCAATTCTCATCTCTTATTCATCATTTACCTTTACCAACATTTGTTTATACTATTATATTTTTTTTTGTTTTCGTTTTTCGTTTATCATTGATTGTTTTTTTTCTAATTGTGTTTTTATTGTAAATGAACCGAGAATATGAGCGACGTCTTCTACGGACTTTAAACAGTAAAAATACTATTGAAGTTCCGTCTAGTGATGGACAGAATCCGGTAAGTTGTGTGTCTCTTTAATACTCTTTGTTTTTTTTTCCAATTCTCTTGTGTTAATCATTAAGGTGATTATTTTCTGTTTTGTTTTTCTATCCAATTGTTTAGAATTTAAAATTATCTGTGTATTCATCTGTTTTTTTCTCTCCTGTTTAGTTTGAAATTCTATTCTAAATTTGGTATTGAAAGGGGTTCGATTGTTTCTTTTTTCCAACTGTTCAGATTTTCTAAATGTTTCATTCTTATTTTTTTGTTACCTTGTTTTCTTTTTTGCTATTATGATATAAATAAGTTTATTTTTCTTCTCCGCAACATGGTTTACCTTGATCCTTCTTGATTCTTATCTTATACTAATTAATGTAATCACTTGTTACATTTAATACGTAATAAGTACTGTTATTAGTTATTACTAATTTGATTTTCTTTTCTTTCTTTTCTTTATAGACTTCACCGAGGTCGCCTTTGGCCAATGAAAGATATATTAGTGATAGATATACACCTATCAGAGAATCACCCAACTGGAACATAAGGTTTACAATGATACAGGTAAATTAAGTGTTAATTGTTGTTGAGTTGTTAAGCCAATTCGTCAACCGAATTTGCTTTATCCGAATCTATTGTTTTTCCATGTTTTTCAATTTCTCTTTTTTTATCGTATTTTATAGCAACAAGAAGGTGTAAAGACTCCACAACCAAGGAAGGCTAAAGAAGCTTCAACCGATAACTGCAAAGACACAATAGCCTATCAATGCTTGCTTAAAAATGAACTTCTTGGAGCTGGAATCGAAGATATCAAAGAGCAAGTGGAAGAGAGACGAGTTTTCGCACCATTGACTACAAGAAATTTATTTACGGTAATTTGGATGTCGAAAAAAAACTTTCTTTTTCCTTCGTTCACTTGAATAATTATTCTAATATTCGTTATTTATCTTACCTTCTTAGTATCGTGTCCGAGACAGCCATAGTTTGGTCGAACCTTCATCTCCTTATTCACTTTCTCCAGTTAGTAGTAAAAGTCAGAAACTTCTTCGATCTCCAAGGAAAACAGCTCGAAAAATATCCAAAATACCATATAAAGTTCTAGACGCTCCCGAGCTTCATGACGATTTCTATCTCAATCTAGTTGACTGGTCTTCAACAAACATTTTAAGTGTTGGGCTTGGTACCTGTGTTTATCTATGGAGTGCATGTACATCACAAGTAACTCGTCTTTGTGATTTATCTTCCGACAACGATTCAGTTACATCAGTCTCATGGGCTGAAAGAGTAAGTTCTCATCGGATTACAAATTTTCCTAATCTATTTGAGTCAAGTTTCAATTTTAAATGAGTAAATTGTTACTAATGTGTTAATGTTTTATTTGATTATCTTTAGGGACACTCGGTTGCGGTTGGGACTCATAAGGGTTTGGTCCAAATTTGGGATGTTGTAGCCAACAAACGAATCAATGTTCTCGAAGGTCACACCGCCAGAGTAGGTGCTTTAGCCTGGAATGGTGATGTGTTATCGTCGGGAAGTCGCGATAGAAATATATTACAACGAGATGTACGAGATCCTCAAATTGTACCTAACCGAAGGCTGCAAGGTCATCGGCAAGAGGTTTGTGGTCTTAAATGGTCACCAGATAATCAACATTTAGCCTCCGGAGGGAATGATAATAAACTTTTCGTCTGGAATCTAAGCCATTTGACTCCGGTCCAAACTTACACTGAGCATGTAGCTGCTGTTAAAGCAATCGCTTGGTCACCTCATCATCATGGACTATTAGCAAGTGGAGGTGGAACAGCTGATCGACACATTAGATTCTGGAATACTCTTACGGGTCAACCCATGCAGTATGTTGATACAGGGTCTCAAGTTTGCAATTTAGCTTGGTCAAAACATTCATCTGAATTAGTTAGCACTCATGGTTACTCACAGAATCAAATTCTTGTCTGGAAATATCCTACATTAATGCAAGTTGCCAAACTATCCGGACATTCCTATCGAGTACTTTATCTAGTAAGTTAATTGGTGAAACAAATGGCAATTCAAAATTTTAATTGTTCCCTTATTCTTGTTTTTCTTCACTAGGCAATGTCTCCCGACGGTGAATCAATTGTGACAGGAGCGGGTGATGAGACACTCAGATTTTGGAATGTATTTAACAAGACGAGATCACATAAAGAACCAAAATCTCTGCTCAACCTGTTTTCAAGTATTCGTTGAAAATTTCTACTTCCAATTTCCTTCCACCCAATTTTCACCTTTCGAGAAAAAGAACAAAAAAACGGAAAAATCTAAACAAAACGCTTTCTATTACGTAACAAAAATCCTTATATAATTAAACGTAAATCACAAAATTAAAAGACCATCGGCCATTTAATTGCTAGAGGAAGTGAAAGAAAAAAATCCACTCGAGATTAAAGAGCCAAAACGAGAGCTTTTAACTCAATTAATTGAGTTTAACATCAAATTTGGTTAATTTAAAACAACATCTGATGAAAAAAGACAATTTAAATCAGTTAAATTAACCAAAAAATCTACAACAATCAGATGAGTCAAGCTTTTTTCTTTCTTTTTCTTTTAATCATAAATCCCATTCACTTGGAAAGACAATTGTTACAACTTGCCTTACAATTGATTATAATTTAAAAACAAAAGCTTTAAATAAAAAGTGACATCAACTGATTGTAACAATTAAGTTTATTCATTTAGCATTGTAAAAATTAGGAATCGCCATTGCAACGGTAAAAACAAACGTAGTTAACGTGTTGATTGCATCGGAAGTAATTAAATATAATCCCAAGAAACGTATTCCAGCTAATTGTTGATTAATTAAATCCATCAAAAGTAAAACCTGTAAATTGTGAGTAAATGATTAATAATCAATTGCAACCAATAATCAACAATCAGATTCTTACCTCTGATTTAAAGTAATCACTACGTTCAATCAAAGTTGACTTGTAAATATCTTCAACGACTAATTTAGGATAATTAACAAAACCAAATAAACATTGGACAAAAAAAGTGACCACAATTAACAATTGGATTGACCAAATAATATATTTAATCATTGAAATTAAATCACTATTTGAATAGAAAGCAACGTAAACAATTAACGTTGCTCTCGGAATTGTAGAGATGCAAATCATTGATACAAATCGTCGGAATCTTAAATCACACAAATCACTTAGAACAATTAACTGATAGTGATCATTTCTAAATCGTTGGAAATTTAAATCACTCGGATAAATTTGTTCCATTTGGATAACAATTAACTGATTTAATCTTTTATGTCCAATCTCAATGAGACAACCAGAGGTGAGAAAACCTCGGAATAAATTGTAATTAAGAATAACAATTAATAAGCTAACTGAATTATCCAAAATGTATATCAGGTAATTTAATTGTTCACTAAATATGTACATGTTAATTACTTTGAATAGCCAACCGGCTAAATCAATTAAAATGATGATTGTTGATTTAATTTGAACTTTCAAATTAGATGATTTTAATTGTTCAACGACAATTGGATCGGTTGAAATTTTTAATTGTGTCCAAATTGAATCAAATTGATTAACAAATGATTTCGATGGGTAGTTTAAACTCTCAGCAATTAAATAAATTATTACAATTTCCTCAATTGAAAAATCCATTATTTGACTAATTCCATTTGATTTATTAATCATTTCAATTGTAATTTGAAAATAATTAGTTAATCTGTAAATGAATGAAATTATAATTAAAACACAATAGAGATAATTAATTGGTGAATAGTTGAAAATCAATCGGTTAATTGTTGATTTCGTGATCAGCTCGTGTTTAATTGATGTTTGAATCTTAATTGCTGGGGATTTCACTAATTGTTCAGGATTAATTGTTGCTCGGTTTTTACTTTTTCTTAAACAAAACATTTTTAATTGTCACGATTACAAGGTGACAATTAATGACACAATTTTCTTGTCAACAATTAACTCAATAAAATGACGATCATTGGTCATAGTTTGATGACTGATTTGATTAATTTTTTTTCTAAGTCACTTAATCACTTAATCGATAATTTAATCCGATTCATCTGTTTTCTCAATAACATGAAAAATTATTGATTATCAATTCACTTTATTGTCAAAAATTCGATAGAAATCCAATGAATTAGTCAATGATCAAAATCTCATCAATCAGATCTAATTAGTTATTTAGAAAAAAATTTTCTCTTTTAATTAGTTTACTGATCAATTGATTTGGTTGGAAACTTTTTTCAACAAATGGAAAAGTTGACAAATCAACAAATTGAAGTTCGTTCACTTTGTTAGTTCCAATTCTTCCCAATAGATGGAGTCACTTTTCTTTGTTCTTTTCCCGCCAATGTTGACAAATCTTTAAATCTTTTCTTTATGTTACTTTAAACTCTTGGTTTTTAATTTTTACCTTTTAATTGATTGTATTTACTGCGAACTTTAATTAGTTTAATTGTTTTATTCTTTTTAATTTACATTTTCTAATTAACCATGGATGGATTTGATAACCCAGGTGTCTTTTTTAGTAACGTTTCCGGTGTTCAAGATGGAGAAGAAGGTAAACAAATGAATCTCGCTGGAATCAAAAGGAAATTCAAAGATTTTCTTAAACAATATCATGAAGGGAATATGATTTACAAATACAGGTAATTGTAAACAATTTGATTCTCTAATTGCTTTGGATTAACGTTTCTTAATGTTTAAAATTCTATTCTATTCTAGGGATCTGTTACGAAGGCAGTTTAATATTGGCCAATTTTGGGTTGAAATTGCTTTGGAAGATCTTTCCAGTTATGATGAAGATCTTGCTACCCAAGTGACTAAATATCCTATTGAAAGTCTACCTTTATTTGAAGAAGCGGCTAAAGAGGTTGGAGATGAGGTTACTCGTCCTCGACCTGCAGGTGAAGAGGAGGCTAAAGATTTTCAAGTTCTTATTACCTCTGAAGGTAATTGTGTTTCTCTGCGAGAACTTAAATCTGATTATATTTCTAAATTAGTAAGAGTCTCTGGTATTGTAATTGCTGCCTCTTCAATACGAGCTAAAGCTACTGAAGTTGCTATTCAATGTCGTGGTTGTCGAGATGTTGTTGCTAACATTCCTGTTCGTTCTGGTTTGGAAGGTTTCTTGATGCCTCGTAAATGTAATGGTGATCAAACTGGACGAACATTGAAATGTCCATTAGATCCTTATTTTATTATCCCCGATAAGTGTAAATGTATCGATTTTCAAACACTTAAACTACAAGAAGCACCAGAAGCAGTTCCCCAAGGTGAAATGCCTCGACATTTACAAGTTTACTGTGACAGGTATTTGTGTGAACGAGTTGTTCCTGGAAATCGAGTTACTCTTGTTGGTATTTACTCTATCAAAAAAATTGCTTCCATGAAAACCAATGATAGAAAAGCAAGTATTGGTGTTCGAAATCCTTACCTTCGAGTTGTCGGAATTCAAATTCAAAGTGAAAACTATGGTCACCGAGCAGTTATCCCTTATACTAGTGAAGAGGAGGAATATTTTATCAATTTGGCCGCGAGTTCAAATGTTTACGAAAGGATTGTTAAAAGTATCGCACCTTCAGTTTATGGATGTGAAGACATGAAGAAAGCGATTGCCTGTTTACTGTTCAGTGGATCGAGGAAACGTTTACCCGATGGACTGAATCGAAGAGGAGATATTAACGTTCTGTTCCTTGGTGATCCTGGTACAGCAAAGTCGCAACTTCTTAAATTTGTCGAGAAAGTTGCTCCGATTGCTGTTTACACTTCCGGAAAGGGAAGTTCAGCCGCTGGTTTAACCGCTTCGGTCACTAGAGATCCAACCACTAGGAATTTCATCATGGAAGGTGGGGCCATGGTTTTAGCCGATGGTGGTTGTGTTTGTATCGATGAGTTTGATAAAATGCGGGAAGACGATCGAGTGGCCATTCACGAAGCTATGGAACAACAAACGATCTCCATTGCAAAGGCCGGTATTACGACCACCTTGAATTCTAGATGTGCCGTTATGGCAGCGGCCAACAGTGTTTTCGGTCGGTGGGATGACACTAAAGCTGATCAGAATATTGAATTTATGCCCACAATTTTGGCTCGTTTTGATATGATTTTCGTGATTAAAGATGAACACAATGAAAGGAAAGACGCAACTTTAGCTAAACACGTTATGGATGTTCACATGAATGCTCAGACTACAATCGAGGATAATGTTGAAGGTGAATTAAGTTTGAACACTTTGAAAAAGTATATCAGTTATTGTCGAGCAAAATGTGGACCTCGTTTATCTGGACCAGCGGCGAAAAAGCTTGTCGATAGTTATGTTGCCATGAGAAATGGTGGTGATGATCCTGATGCAAGTCGACGATCAACTATTCCGATTACTGTTCGTCAATTGGAAGCCGTTGTTCGTATTTCGGAAGCGTTAGCAAAAATGGAATTGAAACCTTTTGTTGAAGATCGACACGTAGAAGAAGCCAAGAGACTTTTCAAAGTTTCGACTTTGAGAGCAGCATCGACCGGAGAATTGGCTGGTGCTGAAGGTTTCACCTCCGATGAAGATCATCAAACTTTAGTTAAAGTTGAGAAACAAATCAAAAAACGATTCCCTGTCGGTACTCAAATCTCCGAGGCATCGATTGTCCAAGATTTGGTACAAAAAGATATCTCAGAGAAAGTTGTTCATAAAGTCTTAAATTGTATGATCAGACGAGGTGAAATTTCGTACCGTGTATCACGTAAAATGTTATTCAGACTCAAGTAAACACGTTGCTCCTCATCCAATTAACCATCAAATGAACCAAAACAATCAACTTTTAATTGCTAACATTTTGTTTTCAATCCAAAAGAACCAAAAAAAAAAATGGTAAACAAAACCATTGAAAACATTGTCAAAATCTCACAAAATCCGTTACAATAAATAAAACAAAAAACATCCAATGTGTAAACAATAAAAAAAAACAAAGCCAACAGTTAATTACACAGGTATGTCTAGTTAATCACTTGGGAAAAACGGAAACAATCAAGGGCACAAGGGAACAACAATTAACAATTAACAAAACAATTAACGACAAAGAGAAACGATGACAACATTTGAATGAATTTGAAAATTTTCCAAAAAGGAAAAATCATTAACCAAACAATGAGAAGTATAAAAAATTCCAACAATTGAATCTTGAAGAATTTGATTAAATTGTAATGGAACAATTTAACAATTTTGTTAATTTAGTTGAGAAAAAGAAAAATGTTAGTTATGATGGAAGTCGAGAGATGGCGACTGTTGCCAATTCTTTTGGGTGTAAATCGAATCACGTGACATGATGACTAATATTTGTTACCTTCTTTTCCGTTGATGTTGAAGTTTCTTGGTTACAATTGAAGTAGAATTGAAACTTTTCGGATGTTTGTTTTTTTCTAATTGTGATTAATATTGATTGAATTACTTATTCCAATTGAATTTATTTAGTGATTTAACTTACTGGACATTTGTTGCCATCATCATGAGGAGACTTTTGTGTTTCTCCGTGACTCTAATTACCTGGTTAAGTTTAATTAACTGTGAGATCCATGGAAAGTTAACCATTTTTCCTGATGGAGAAAAAGCCAGAGCTGAGGCTCACAAGCCACTTTTAATTACCTGTTCAGGTACTAATGTAGAACCAGGTTACTTTTCTGACTTCCAATGGTTTAATAGAAACAATGAGCAAATATTAAACAATCCACGAATCAAATTATCTCCAGGCCAAGGATCACTTGGTTTGATTATCAATGATCCAGATATTGGAGATGGTGGTAATTACCGTTGTACTGCCATGTATCAGAATACAAAGCTTCTTAATGCCTCCATTGAGATTGTTATTTTCAAATCAATTACCTGGGATGATTGTCCGGAAGATCAGTTTTTAATTCTGGGACAACCTAATCAAAAGATTGTGTGTAAAGTTTCATCTCAACCAACATCAAAAATTAGCTGGGAAAAAGATTTCCAAGATTTGGATAAATCAAAATTCTCAATTACAAATGATGGTGTCATCGTAAAAGGATTGGTTTCTAATGATACTTCAGGTTCATTTAAAATAACAGCCTCCATTTTGGAACATGGTGTTCTTCGTACTCGAAATATTCGAGTTCAAGTTCTAGTTAAACCAATAATCACTGAATTTGATAAATATCGTGAGGTTGTTGAAGGTGAACGGACAACCTTTAATTGTCGTGCTTCGGGAACACCTTCACCTTTTTATTCCTTTATTGATAATCGTCGGAGAAATTTAACCCTTGAGAATGGGTTTACAGTGGATACAGTTGCTGGTAATCTTGTTATCGAATCGGTTAAAAAGGATACGGAAAATCAATCTATCACTTGTGAGGCTAAAAATATGGCGGGTGAAGTTTCACAGAAAATGGAGCTCAGAGTTTTAACCAAACCTGTGGTTTATCAGTTTGAAAATTTAACTTTTGCTGAATCTACTCGACAAGAGTGGAGTTGTAAGGTTCGAGGTGATCCGATTCCTAAAATTACAATAATGAAATGGAAAAGTGCTCAGGATGGTTATGATAAAGATCCATTGCCAAAAATTGATTCGCCTTATACATTTGAAACAATCAAACTTGGACCAAATGAGGTTGATTATCGGATGAAATTTACGAGTGTTTCTCGTAAAGATGATGGCCTCTATTATTGTCGAGCTACCAACAAGGCTGGAAATGCAGAGGTTTTAGGTCACATTACAGTTGAATTTCCGCCTGACCTCTCACAGACCAACACCCATGTTAAAACTTGGTCAAGTAATCCAGTCAATTTGACCTGTATTGCCGAGGCGATACCAAATGCTACCATTTCCTGGAGGTTCAACAACATTGATTTACGCCTGGAAAAGAGTGATAGTTACGCTTTTTATGATGGTAATGGAATCAGTTATCTAACCGTTAAGCCCAAAACGGCTAATTACATTTTTGGAACCTATGTTTGTGTCGCTGAGAATTTACGAGGAAAAAGATCAATCGACATTAAATTATCTGAAGCTCATCCACCAACCTCTCCAAATGTAAAGATAATTAAAAGCCGTCCAACTTCAATGGAATTTGAAATAAGTGATCTCGGTTCTGATCTACCGATAAGAAATTATCTTGTTAAATATTGGCGAGAATCTGAAGCTGATTCAGAGAAGCAAAAAGTTTGGCCCGCTTCAGGAAAAAACTATCGACTTGATGATTTAACACCAACAACACGATATCGATTTAGTTTCGCCTCACAAAATGATGTTGGAATCGGAGATTATTCAGCCTATCGAATTGAAACAACCCCAGACGAAAGTAAACCCGACAAACCGACCTTCCTTTTCGATGTAGTTGATGAGACCCGTCAATTAACAACCGATGGTTTTGTGAAAAGTGACTTTGGTGATCTTATCCATTTCCGTTGGAATCAAGCAGAAGACAATGGAAGAGCTATAACTCATTACATCATCAAATATCATCAAGTTCATAAATCTCAAGATGGTTATCTAATCATTGGTCAAGAATATCCGGAAATCCAAGTTAACAGTAAAGATCCCCTTCAATATACTCTACGTAATCTCTCACCAAACACTTTCTACAAGATTGAACTATCGGCAGTAAACTCCATAGGTACAAGTGACTCGAATCATATAATCTTCAAAACCTCAGCCACTGGTGAGTAATAAATCGAACCTCCTCCCCCAACCAGATCAATAAGAAACATTAAACTCTAATATGCATTAGTCATAACCATTTAAATCTCTATGGACATTAACCAAAAGTGATGTTTTTGTTTTGCAACTTTTACCCTCCAAAGTTAAGATAAACATTAACTCACCACCAAAAGTAAATTGATACACAATTAATGATTAATTATTGACCTTTTAATTATTTTCTCAATAGTAAGTGTAACAATCTCTTACCATTGACCCTACAGAGCGAGTGAGAGAGAGAGAGAGAGAGTCAGTTTCATAGTATTTTTAAAAGGTTTTACTTGTTGACAAGTTGAACTCATTTGTTTGCCAACAAACAATATCCTAGAAACTTGATGTTTTCATCTTGCTTTCTCCCTCGACTCACTCATTGAACCTTTTCTCCCCTTCATCTTTAAATACATAATATTTATTGTATCGATTTGAGGCCTTCCCTTGTCAATAATAGAGTAATGTTGATATCGAGTGTTGTGGATATGTCCTAAAAAGATTTATTGATTAGCATAATTATCTTTCATTTTCTTTTCTTTCTTCTTTCTCATCACTTTTATCGCCATCTTCATCAAAAGAAACAGACAGATGACATATTCTGATGATATGTAAATCTATTATCTTCCTCTAATCTTAATGACAGTTATGATTTTTGTCACACTTATATAATAATCAACTGAATATCTTGCACATTATATTGTCTTAATTATTAGATTCTTTCATCATCTATGATCATTGATGATGATTGTTATTATTTTACTTTTAAAGGTAAATAATCTTTGGCATTGGTTCAACATCAATTCCTCCAACCGTGTGACAAATGATTTAATTGGAATCTGTTGGAACTTATCAGCTGAAAAGTTCATTATCTTTTCTTGATGATTTCGTTTTTTTTTCATTTATCTCTCTCTCTCTCTCTCGCTCTTTCTTTCTAATTGTTGCTACATAGTTGTAACAATTAAGTGTATCAGAATTATCGTTAAATTGGATTACAATCATTAGAATCTTGTATTGCTTGTCAAGGGAATAACCATTATTATCATCATTATAATTGATTGTAAAATTTTTGATTATTGTCTGATGATTTGTTTTGCTTGATTAACAGTTGATCCTAAAGCTTAATTGTAATTAGAAATTAGATTGTGATCAACTTTGTTCTCTCTCTCTCTCTCTTTAAATTCCTAGTGATCAGTAGCTAAATTAGCTGATTCTTACAATTTAAAAGGCTCTAAATTATTTTTAGTAACAATTAATTAATATTTTACTTTTAATTGCCGTTAAATTGCCTTTCTCTTTATAAATACTAACCTCTTTTTTTTCAATTTACTAAATTGTAATTGTTCATTGTTGATAATGATACTGCTTGATTAGTTTTAGTACAATTAAATTCCCTGTTGATTCAATTGATTGTTTGAAATGCATTTGCAATTTGGATTATCTAATTTTCAAGATTAAACAACAGTTTGTTAATCAAGGTCTTACCAACAATCCTGTTTTTTTATATGATTAACCTTATTTATTTCAATCATATAACTTTGATTGGTTTGCATATTGATTGTTATATTGATTCAATCAACTTTATCAATCCATTGAATTATCAACCTATCCCTTTAATTATAAACTAAATTTTACTAAATCAAAATGGCTTCTAGCAATTAACTAATCATCAGACAACAGTTTTTACAGTTATCATATTCAAATTTGACCCTTGAAAGACAAACTGTGAAACCCGTCAAGTATTAATGTTATTAATCAAATTATATATTTGGACAGTTAGTTAATTTGATAATCACTAATCTTGATTAATCCTACTTTTTGTTGATTAAACAAATCAATTATCAAATAACAATCCTCATACTCAAATGAATAACAAAGTTAGCAATCAGCAATGATTAACAATCTTTAATTGATTGATTGTTTAATTCGTAGGTTGTTAATGATAACTTAACTTTTACTTAACCTGAAAGTTATCCAACTAATTATTATCATTAAACAATCATAATTATCTCATCAATTGCTCCATCATTATAATAATGATCTTTCACCATAATTACTTTTCCCAATTTAAACCTAAACAATTAGACGATTCTCTATGTTTCTTATTGGTATATCATCATTATCCCAAACTCTCTCAATTTGACTGAATAATTTTCTAAATTGTTGATATTTTCTCTAACTAATCAATTGTCTTTTCTCTCTGTCAATTTAGCCTCATCTCCGTCCGGATGGGGTCAAGACTTGGAGTATGATCCATCCACTTACAGCATGGGAGCTGCTCTCATCTCAGTTGCCATATCTCTCATCATAATCTTAATCGTAATGGATATAATATTTTATATCCGTTGTAAAGTAGGTGTATTATATTTCATCAAAAGCTTCATATGGCCAGAGACCTCTGTCAATAATCATAAGAAGGCCGATTTTCATCCTGGGTAAGTGATTAACTATAATATTGATTATAAATTCTCAAAATAATCTGTTTACAAGCGGAACAAATTATTAAATTGATCAACGGTTTTTCATTTCATAATAACGATAATGTTGATGATTAAACTTTATATATTTCTCATCTCAAGTAGCTTAATAGCTTAATAAATCATCAAACTAATCTATTGTTTTCTTTATGTATAATCATAAACAGCAACCTAGGATCCATATCGGAAGTCAAGTTATCATCGAGAAGTGAAATTGATAATCCGGCTTTTGAGTAAGAAGATATTTTCATTAATAACTTTATTTTTTATTCTATTATACAATTAATTTCTGATGAATAAGTTTTTTTTTCTTCAAATTCTTTTGACAAATTGATGAGGATGAATAAACGGAAGACATATTATCAATATCTCTTCCTCATCATTTTTAGCATCATTTTTTTAAATATCATGAAGACATAATTGATTCCGTACATGTATAATATATAAATTGTTAGTCTATTCAATTTGATTACTACTACTTCATCTCTTGGGTCACTATTAATACTTAATCACTATAATAATATTGTCCTCTAATCCAATAATCAAATCTAATTTGATAAGTTGAATCTCTTTTTTTTCATCATTTTGATTTTTGATGAAGATGATGTTGATTATGGTGATTCTATTCATAAATCTCTCTCTCTCTCTCTTTTCTCATCATCATTTCTCTAACCAATACTCTCTCTCTCTCTTCTTTATCCTCATCATCTCTATCATCTTCAAATCATCTTCCATCAGTTCTAATAACGGAAAGATTAGAAGTGATGAACTAACACCCATGATGTTGGTTACTGATTCAAGAGGGTGAGCTGTCACATATAACATTTGGGATGAAATCCGCTTCCTTTTTTATTGTTAATTTTCATGCTTCTAATCATTATTGTTATCACATCTTTTTCGTTGATTATTATTATTGTTTATCCAATGCTTGAAAAGCTATTACTCATAACCATACACAATTGCATCAGCTAACAAAACCCTGATTGCATTGTTAATCCTGTTGATTAACCGCTCATTTTATTCATTGTTTTTACCAATAATATCCTTATTCCTGTGTATGGATAAGGATGAAATCTCATCCTTATTGATGCACTTCCCATGAATCAATTTCACCTTTTCTTATGGCGATGTTACCTGTTTGCATTTGCTTGTTTTTTTAAATTTCTCAATCATTTCTATTCAGTTTCATTCAACTCACACATCCACACCTTATCCTGTAACCATGTCAATCCCTAATCCATATCGTCATAATCTTTGCAACTTAATAACTGTTGACTCTCTCTCTCTCTCTCTCTCTCTCTCTCTCTCTCTCTCTCTCTCTCTCTCTCTCTTGTTGCTTTCTCATCATCTAATTGTCATCATTGTTGACTTTGTTTTCTGTTATTATTTTCTACCTTTTTTTATATTTACTTCAACGCTTCAATTCATTTTATTGTTGTTTATTTTTTGCTATTATTATTTATCTCTTATTATTTTGGTTAATTTTGTTTCTGCTTCTCTCCCATAGCTATTGCATTGTAGTTTTTTTGTTGTTGCTTGTTTTTGCCTTAGCATTTTTTTATTACCATTCTCACTGATTGTTGTTTGCTTGCTTTTTAATTGCTTTTTTAAATGTTGAATGATGAGTGTTAATTGTTCTTACTTATTAATCTAATATTTCTTTTCTCTCTCTCTCTCTCTCTTTTGCCCAATTATCTAGGGATATCACTGATCGAATCAACAATCATCATAACCAACAACATCAACAACAATTACCAACTATCCGTAAACCCAAGGATAGTGCAGTCTAAAAATTAGACGAACACTCAATGTGTTTAATTGATTTTCATCAATAACAATTGACAACAATTTGAAAATTTGTTTCTTATTTTCAAAAGTGGAACTAGTTTTTTTTTGCTCTCTTGCAAAAAATATACATCATCTCTTTGTAGTCATCATCATCATCTTATCATCAACTTTACACCAAAGACTTTTTTGCCCTTTCTCTTGAACAGAAATATATTTAAATATATATTTTATATTTTGCTGCTATCATTCCCGATGCAAATTGAATCTCATGATAATATAATTTATATATATATTATTGAAATTTACTCACACTTTATAACAATATGATGATCACCATAATAATGATGCTACAGAGGGCAATGAGTCCCATTCAACACCACCTCCACCTCGGACAAACAAACATAAAGATGGAGATTAACATTTACATCCTGGTGTGTCCTCTCCCTTTAAACCATTGGTAGAAACCAAGGCACACCCCATAGCGTTAATAACATTAGTCCTCGTTTTTGTTACACTCTCCTCCCTCTCTCTCTCTCTCTCATCATCACCCTGACTATTTAATCACCCGACTCTATTGTATATGATAGAAAGAAGAGAGAGAGAGAGAGAGATAGAAATGGATATTATCATCATCTCTATCAGCAACATCAGCCTAAACTCATCATTGTCGCCATCTTATCATCATTTCCTTCATCATCTTCGAAGAAAAAAAAATATCAACTCGATCTACATCATTATGAGAAACAAAGTCAACGATTCATTTTCTAATACATTTAATTATAACAATTAACACAATGTACCTTACATTTCTAAACTAAAATTACTGTATTAACAGTGCTAATTTAGTTAACTGTCTTTACAATTAACTAACAAAATAGAAGCAAAAATAATTGAAATTACTTTTAAAGTCGCAACAATTTATCAGAAGGTTCAATCAACTCTCTCTGGTCGTTTCCATCATAATCAACTAACATCTCTGCCATTACAATTAATTTAATTGACTGACAATTGAACTGATTCAACTAAGAAATTAATTCATTCATTTTGATTGGTTTTCTTCTTGATAACGTTGATTATTTATTGGTTTTGTCACATGGTAAACACAATCAACCTCCAGCCACTCAATGATTATTTTATACTCTCTCACCAATGAACAATAATTCAGTCATCCCACCCCACCCACTCCACTTAACCTTTAAAAAAAACTTACTCTCTCATTGATGATCTTATGAACCACAACCAGTCAGAAATTGATTATTACATCATTATTACAATTCTCAGGATTAATCAACAAATCATCAATCAACCGCACTTACCTGATAATTTATCACCGATCTGTTTTTTTTACATGATAATATATTCAATCATCTTGAGAGTAACATCATCATCATCATCACCATCACCATGATCATTTCTGGAAGATGAGTATAAATAAAAAAAAGTGAATTTTGTGAGGACAAAATTGAAAGATGAAAACTGGTCACGGTTATGTAATTATCCATCCTCTCTCCAGGTAAATTGAATGAACCATAAGACAAGAGGATGAGAGAGGTAAAGATGAGGATGTAAGGATGAAAAATCTTATATAAGTAGCAAGAGCACTTTGAATGTAATCACCTCGTCCCTATGTATCCGCTCCAGTGGATTGAAAATATTCATGACAATTACTTACATTTGAAGCTTAAGAAATTAAAAGTTTACCTGAAAAAAGATACCTGATGAAGATAAACGTTCATTTATCATCTTTTCATCTTCTACCTTGACCATACAACCGGATAATCTTGTAAACTTTTATCATCCTCTCTCTCTCTCTCTTCCTCTGATTGTTAACTAACATTAATTTGTTTCTTAAATTGTTGGCAACCTTTTGGAAGCCATTGAAGCTTGATAATTATCTAAATCAATGTTAACTTGAACTTCCGTACAACAATTGAATGATGATATTATCATCATCATCATCATCTAAATCCTACCTCAAGATATTTGGTTACGGTAGTATTGATCATCTTTATTATTATCATCATCATTATTATTTGTGATTAGGAAATAAATCAGCTACTTGAAGACATATTAAATCAAGGAATTACTAAATTTCATTCATTGTTAATCATTGGCTTTCAATCTTGATTCGTGTCTTGATTTACCAAACCATGGATTAAATTGTTACCAGTAGTTGCCGAGTTAATTTATAATTAATATTTCATAATCATTGATTTATTTTTCAAAGTTTTCTCAACTTGATAGTAATCACAATTTAAATAGTATTCATGTTACAGCAATTAAATTGATTCTTAGCTTGATTGTTGGCTTTTTTATTTGCACTTTCTAAGGCGGTTAAGTGTCACAATCTGGTTCTTAATTTAGTTACATCTAATTTAGTTTCGGTTATTATAATTGTGCGTAAATTAATTGATAATTAACTAATTGTTTAGATTTTTTTTCGCGAATTTAATTGCTTCGGGATATTTTTATATTCGGTTGATTAACTTGAATAGAGTTTCGTTCGCGTCCTAATGACCTCAGGTCACTTCGAGAACTTGAATTCGAACTCATTAAGAGTACAAAGGCTTCGAATGATCAATTTTCTCCCTTCGAATTGACCAAAATTGTTTATCATTTGATTGTTTGGAAAATTACAATTAACTTGATTCTAAATTAGAGCAAAAATCTCATAGACTTACATTGTATCTAATATTAACTGTTTAATTTGTGACAATCAATTAATAGATTGAACAATCTTAATTTGGCCTTGAAGATCTGAATTGATTAATTTTAAGTTGAACAATCAACTGATGAAAATTATTTCTTCCTGTTCATCCTCATTTCAACGTCTTAATTATCATTAATTTAGTTCATTAATTGTTTCCGGGAATCAATTTAACAATAATTGACCATTCACATAGACATAAGTGAGTAGGCCAATTTGAATTGATTAAAATAACCATATGAATGATAAGTTAATTGTAAGGCTTTTAACCCTTAATTATTGATGTAATTAAAGTTGATACACACAATTTATTTAAATGTCAATTTAATTGTTGCAATTTAATTGATTCCCTTGCACTCTTTACTGTTTATATTTTAAAATTTTTATGACTCGTCACAATTAATTTATGGTTCATTAATCATCTATATTTCAAATTGCAATTAAATGTTGATTGTAAGGGAGAGACTGATTGTCCATCATCATCTGTTGTCTTAATTGCTTTCATACTTACCAATTAGTGGGATCATTAACTCAATCAGGAATATAACAAGAGCGAAAGTTAAACCAACGGCAAAGATTATCAAGGTTCGAGTGAGATATTTCAACGATAACGGGGTTAATATGATATTATTTTCATTTGTTTGGGCTTGGATACATTGGCCATATAGATTCCGAACACCGACTGAACTTAGGTCGATTCGTCTTAGAACATGGTTGTCGAAATTTGAAGTTTCGTAAGCTACTTGAGCGGCTTTGAGAACCGCTCGAGAAACTTTCGACTTCGTTGCTGAACTTATGACCATCAAGTAGAGTAAACGAGCGATCGGCCTTTTCGACAGATGAAGTGGACTTGCATTCACTTCCTCGGGTCCATCAAGTAAACAGGTCATTCCTTTGAGTCGATAGCCGAAGGCCACATTTGCGATGGTCACTCTACTACTGTTATTAACAAGTTCGATCATTTTTAACGGACTTGATTCGGCGGGTGTAATGATGTCCATTCGAGATGCGATATTCTCGTACAATGGGAGCTTCGAATCTTGAATTGGACGTCGACAGTAAAGAATGGCCAATGCCGTGGGTGTACATGAGTGCGTTAGAATATCTTGTAAGGTGTCAATCTGAAGGTAATAAGTTGATTGAATTAATCCGGTTTGGAATGAGGTTGTTATCAAGATGATTGAGAAAAAAGCGAACCATGAGAAATTAAGTCCAAAAAGTGAGACTTTACTGACCAAGGGTAATGATTTTCGACCGATCGCAATCTCGTACAATGTCCAGTTAGTGAGGGTCATTTTTCGTGACAATGAATAAAAGAGACGATTGGTTAACATTAAAAGTATCATAAACATGAAGCAGTAAAATATTATGGAGAGAATGACATTTGAATCTAATCGTTGATTGATTGCGATGAAATCATCTGATCGATAATCAATTCGCTTTGTTGGTCGATTGATTAGATGACACTGTTCCTCTTTCATTATTGAACCAATGGTCAAGTTGATTGGTAGAATCGGGAATTGGCCTGAAGTAAAAGTCTCAGCGAAATCAACTGAACCATTTTGAAGATAAGATAAAGATCCAGAACAGTGGCCTTGGTCATCGCAGAAATCATCGCCCCTCGGGCCCAAATCGACAAGATTAACATTAAATTTGGAAAGAAAAAAATAATAACGAGCTTTAACATAGGGAGCAAAAGAGCCTCCGATTGTTTTGTCCTCGTCGACATACAAATAAGGTTCGAGGTTGAGAAGACCAATGGTCAGTGGTAATTTCATGAGAACTGGAAAAGTCAAACAATCAACAAGTTTCCATCGACTGAATATCGACAATATAAGTTATCGCCTCGAATTTGACTCTTTAAATAAAAACTTTTGTTTCGAATTCAATTTTCATCTCTCTCAACCGACTGTCCATCGAAGTGACCAAAGCAACGGAGTGGACATGCCAAAGTCCATAAGGATATAACAACAGAGTATTAAATTGTTGTTAAAAAAACGAAATGATTAACAAAACAATTGTAAACTTTTTTACAATTTGATTAACATTAATGGTAATTTAATTGCTACTGATCAACAATTATTGACATTGATATGGTTAACATGTAATCGTGTCCATCATTATCAATTACGTGATGACCAATCTAATTATTAACTAACTGTAAATTTAATTCATTCAATAATCTAAACAATTGGTTAATGATTAACTGATTGTCTTATCCATCAAATATCAATTAAAGTTAAACACTTAACAATCATGCTAAGAATTTACAATTAATGATCTAACCAATTGAGATTATAATTTATTGTAAACAAAAATTATCCATTAAAAGCAAATGTTAATTTCTCATAAATTTAATTATCCATAAATTAGATTGAGGAACAATTAATAATCCTCTAAATGGATTAGCGTTGATCGAGAAACTTTCAGGTTAATCAACAGTCGCACTTTTATTATGATAATAATTGAAAATCTCTCAACAATCAATAATATCGATTGACAATCAGTTAAATTAATCGTGAGTTTATGATTAGAAATGAGATTAAAAGTTAACAATCAATTTAATCAAATATTAACTGGTCACAATTGAAGGACTAGGAAAAGATGAAAGAGTTGACCCCTTGACCATTGGTCTAAACCCTTTTGTTGTTGATTGTCCATTGTTAATCTAATCACCATTCGTAAACAATTAAAACCAAAGTGATTAAAATCATTTCATTAATCTTTTCAATTTGCGCGAAAAACTTAATTGTCACCTCAACATTTATCTCTTATTAGTTGTATTAATATTTTTACCGATCAATGAATTTTAAATAAACTTGACAATTGAAATATTGTTACATTTGAATGTAATTTTAAACATCATGTTTTAATCTAATTGTAAATAGATGAAGGAAAAACTGTTAACAACAATTAATGGACCCAAAAGATGAAAATGAAATGACTCTTTTTGGATAATTTAATGAACCATATCCAAAGGGAGGATTAGGAGGAGATGAATTGACAATAGTCAACGTGTGTTTATATGTTGTTATCATTTCCTTTTCCCTTTCGATTGTTACAATTTGATTGTTCGTGTCCATTATTCACCATCGACTTTATGACAATTTATATTTACGCATCTAGAACTCGGGTGGGAGGTTTACCCTCCCTCTCTCTCTTAGTGGTAGGCCCAACAAGCTATTGTCCACATTGACATTGATTCAACAACAAGGAGATAGAGAGAGAGACTTTCCCTTCAGAATTTTTTACTAATCAAACTTAATCACAATAATAACGAGAGAGCATAAATCCAATTCCCTAATCCACAATAATTACGAGATTGGACAATATCATTGTCACCATAATATGATAATAATACATGAAGTAATTGACAAGGGAAATGATGGCGAAGATGAAAAAATGATCAACAGGACCACTTTTCGCCTCACTTGGAGGCGAAACTGTCAACCAACAACAGTTAGAACTTTATTCTAATATTATATAACCGAATTTACATCCAATTCTGTACAATTCAAATTCGATTTTTGATTTTCTATCCAATCTCAATTCATCTTTCCAAAGCTCGATCGTCGTAATGTCCACTGGTCACTCTTGGTCATCTCATTGATTAGATGATATTTACTTTTGTTGGTAAATAATGATTATCATTATCATCGTTATAATGATTAATAATGACGATTTAATAATAATCCTGACCTTATATCGGTGACATGTTGATCTATTGATAATTGTAACTTGGTAGCTAATCATTAGGATTGTTAAGTTATCATTAATTTTGTTTTTGTTAACCAATCAAACTTGCTAATAATAATAATCCAACTAATCACAATTAGAACCGCAATTGTAACAGTTAATCAACATGAACAACAAGATGACTTGTTGATTATTATCATTCAGTTTTCTTGGTACTGGTCAACTCCAAGTTTAATTGTGATCTTTTTTTACTCATTTGATATCAAATTTTTGTCTTCAATCATTTAATTGTTGATTTAATGATAATGTGAAAAGTTAATTGTCAATTTAAATCTTGAATTTCTTTTTATGTAAACATTGAATTGATTTTTTTGCTTCTTCTGCTTATTATCATTTGGATGGAAATCAATCAAATGCTTAAATTGTTGGCGTTTCTTTTTTTTCTTACATAATCATGATTAAGATTTAATTTGAAAAGTTGGTTAATTGTGTTGATGTTTCAAGGATAGAATAAGATAATCAAGAGTATTAATTAATTGTCACATTTAAATTCACTTGTTGCTTTAAGATTTACAGGATTACCTTGGAAGTAGATTGAGTTTTTTTCTTCCTTTTTTTTGTGTTGACAATTTTTCGTAGCAATTAACTAACTAATTGCTGATTGTGATTCCAAAATGGGGATAATCACATACAAACACACTAATCTACGTCATTTTTGTCAATTTTAATTGCTGCTTCTTTTGGCATTTAGTTTAGATTAGTTTGTTTTTCTCTCGGTGAAAATTTTGGTTCCAGTTTTTTGTTGATTTTCATTGAAATGTGATCCTTGATGTTACAAGAAATCAAATTTATCCCTTTCACCATCAACAGATACTTTGTTTCAGAATGTAAACAATAACAATTAAATGGTGATAAATGAATTGATTACAATTATCACTTGTAAACATCGGGCTTATAATAACTTAATGGTTGTTAACTGTTACAATCATTACGAAGGGTAATTGACATGGTAATGAGAAATCAGAGTTATCAACACTCATTGGAAGATGAATCTTGGAATTTGTTGGATGATGATGATGATGATGCTTATTTAGCTTCGTCTTGACAGTAGTTGTAACATTCAAATTAATTCTAGTTAAACACAAGGTAAAAATTGTCAAGAAATTTAAGAGATGAGAAGGAGGATGAGAAGATGATGATTCTTAAAGTTGCTATGTTATAAATACTCATCAACGTTGGAAAAGTTTAGCTTCTTAAAATAGACAATGAATTATGAATATTTAAAGTGGTGGAAAAGTTGGTTAGAATAATTTTAAATTCTAAATTCGTATCAACGATTCTCGCTAATTAGATGATTTTTCCTTCAGCTTTTCGCAATTCACCTTTGGTTTAACTTCTTTTTTCATGGTAATTATGTTGATTCAGGTGATGATAATCATGGTGATGAACACTGGCTACCATGGGACACACACTAGTCTCTCTCTCTCTCATTTTTATATACACTGAATCAATTAGCTAAATAATTCATTGAAGTAAAATAATTAACCACCATGAAGTAACCTTTAAATAGGAAGGAAACTAATTAACTTGAGTTTCCTTTCTATATCTTTTCTTGGATCTTCTTCTCCTATTCTTATAATGGTCTTCATATTTATCATATTTCTTCATCTTCTTGAGCTTTTTCCTCTTTATCTCCGTTTTCTTGTTCATCAGTTTTCAATTTACTGATCATTGATGATCATCATGATGACTGTTGCAAAAATGAGAAAAAAAAGTAAACATAGAGTTAATAGTATGTAAATTAATTGTCTGTTGACTTTAGAAAAAAAAATTTACTCACCTTAATAATTTAAATAAGGTAATGCAACAAGATTACCTAATCATTTTTTCTGTTCAGAATCAATCAATTGGTGATCGTGATTCACCCTTTACAAGTTCAATTAATTTGAACATTTTCTAAACTCAGTTGTAGATAATTGCATCAATATTGATTGTTGGTCATCATCATTAGCACTTCTCCGGTCAATTCTTGACTGTATTCCCTTTAAGGTTGATCTTTTTTTATAATCAAAATCTCATCCGCCAACTCTCAATGTGTATCGAGATTATTAGTATTACAATTATTATCATCATGATTGTTATTATTTGAACAATCAGTTGATGGCCAATAAAGGAGCCAAGAAGAAGATGAGAGAAAGAGAGAGAGAGAAAAAAACAAATTTCCAATTTGTGATGAGGTTTAATTGTTGTTGCTGTTGAAAGACTAATTGACCTGGTTAAGAAGACGATCCGTGATTTTCCCTTTGATGGTCCATCATTTATATGTATATAATATTAGTATTTTCTCTTGGCCTTTCTCTATTAGATGTTGATCATATTGATGATGAAGAAATGATGAGAAGATGATCTAAAGAAAAGGAGAGAGAAATAAAAAGATTTCAGTTATAAGTGACCTGCACCAATTAAGCCAATCAACCAATGAAACTGGTTGGCTCTTTTAAGAAATGAATTGGTCTATTGTCATTAAATACAATTAACAAATTGTAACAAACAAAAGACTTTCTTTGGAAAAGTGATATCAGTTGACATACATTAAGATCCATCAACAGATGAAGGAAAAAAAAATCCAATCTAAAGATAGTGAGAGAAAGAGACAAGTTGATGTTAAATGTAATGTTTGATGTAAACATTTAGAGATTTGATCAACAGACAATTATAATCATCAATATTGATTAAAATAACAATACCTCGGCAAGAAGGTCAAGTTTAAAAGGGATCACATTGATATAATCTATTAATTTGAATTACATATTCTAAATAGAATTTTTTGTTTCTTCTATTCTCCTTACATGTTTTCTTTTCTCTTGTTACCAAAATGGATGTTCTTTTGTTTATCTTCTTGTATGGATCTGTAATTTAATATAGACAATAATCAAACGTTCAATCGATCAATTAATATAATCTTACCATTTAAAAGAAAAAATAACAGAAATCAAAAAGAAAATAAATGAGATAATTAACAATCAACTAATAATAACCGTTAATAGAAAAAGATAATGAGACAACAAAAAAAACAATCACCAAGGCCTAAAGATAAATCCAGACAAACATCAAGCTGCCAATCAGGTAACCAGGTAAGAAGAGATAAGATAAGAAAGTTAATCAATTAGAAATAATCAATGTGAACAAGAAATAAATTGTTTACTTACCATTTAATTAACAAACGTAATCACAATCAATTAATTACTTTCACATGAAGAGATTAACTAACATTTGGCTCCAATTTTTCTTCAAAATTCGAAAAACTAGTGACATCTATCGACCGATATTCTAACCATAATTCAAGAGTTTCGATTAATTAAGATAATCGAATGACCTTAATTAAGAGCAATTAATTATTCTATTAGATGAATAATCTTAGAACAATTTGAAGTGATTAATACAATAAATCAATAACATTGGAATTAGTGATGAAACATTTGATCAATTCCAATTTTTCCAATTGTTAAGACTAATTAATTATCTTAATTAGTTCAACCATCCAAATAATTGATGGAAAGGTTAATTCAATTGTTAATTATATTCTAATTTGATTTGATTTGATTGATTTTTTACTTTTACAATATTGATTAGAAGTGAGGGAATTAATTATGATCAATATTTTGGTGAATAATTTTTGATTGAAAAGAAGAATTTAAATTGTTGAATTGATCTAAATTTTTCTTCCATTAAAATGTTACAATTAAAATGAGAAAATGTTTTCAAAAAAGGAGAAAACAATTACGATTGGAAAACTAATAAGGAGATGATTAGTGGTTTTGTCGATCTCGCAAATCAGATGATCAACTTCGTGATTGGAATAATCAACTAATTGTTTGTTGAGAACGAAAAATCAGTTAATTATTAATGTTACTTAATTTTGTTTCTTTCACCATTACGATCAATTGAAATTCAACCAGAGTTTCCCAAAGGAATTACATTCATAAGATTCAAGAAGTAATTTCCATGAACATGGTTACAAGAAGATTATTCAATTTCCATAATTACTGAAACTGGGAATTAATCATCATCATCATCATCTCATCTTCCTCTTTCTCCTCTTTCTTTTCATCCTCTTTCTTTTCTCTCCTCTAAATAAGCAGAAAGTGTTTACCATTTGTTGGTTTGTCTCTCAATCCATGTAACCTTTTTTGTTGTTTTCTTTTCTTTTTCGCAATTAAATCAATTGAAACAAATTCTAATCATTAATCAAACTCTTTCCTTCACCATCTTAACCATTGATGTAACCATCAAATTCTGATTAAATTCTTTGACTGTGATAACAATTAATTCTGATCAATCATCATTCTCATCATTTCGGTTACATGATAACCTTTTGTTGTGGTTGTTGTTTTGGAGATTAAATTATCTCCAGTTAATCCGTCCGTTAATCTAGTTCATTTTTCTGTCTAATTGTCGATTAATTAAGTGTCCCCAGTGTTTGGAGAATCGAGTGACATCAAATCAATGGCTTTTTAATTCTTCCAATCGGAGAAACAATTGATTTCCAAATGAAATTGCATTTTCCATTTTGATTGGAAAAAAGAAGAAAAAAAAATTCTCTTCTCTATATCATCTTGATACATAATATATTCTAAATGAAAGTCATTCGAGTGATTCGTTCATTTGGTCATCTTGGTTGCCATTCACATCTATTTTCAAGACAATTACTAAATTGTGGACATAAGTTGATTTCTGTTAATCAATCTGCTTACTATAAGACTGGATCTTTTTTAACTGAGCCCAATGGGGTGAAGACTTTTGTTGATCTTCTTGGTTCTCGGGAACAGCAAATGTTGATGCAAGAATTGTCGAAACGTCGGGAATTGATCTTACCTGTAAACGGGGATTCTCAGCCCGAAAACAAAGTGATTCCACCGAATTTTAAACAAATGAGTCAAATTGCCTTCCATCAATCATTACCTTTCATTGGTTTCGGTTTTCTTGACAATGCAATCATGATATTGGCCGGTGAATATATTGATACAACTCTTGGAGTTACTTTAGGTAATATCATTTGTTTGCTTTTTTTTATATAAAAGTCTTTCATTTAATTGTTGACATTGTGGAATGATTTTGATTGTCAAAATTTACATGAATGAGAATTGAAGATGAGATTCTATTTTGTTTTCTCCTTCAATAATGTTAAATATATTGAATGATATGACCAGCAAGATGTACATTTGTTTGTGTACAAATGTGTTTATATATATTTACAATTAGTTGATTGTTGATTGTGGATTGTTTTCTCTTCCTTTTCTTTCATTTGTTGATTGTTCTCCAGGTATTTCAACCATGGCTGCTGCTGGACTTGGAAATGCTATTTCTGATGTTGCTGGAATAGGATCTGCCTGGTATGTTGAAACACTGGCCAATAAAATCGGTGTTGCTTATCCTAAATTAACTCCAGCTCAGACTGATATGATGCGAACTCGATTAAGCGTTCAAATTGGACGAGCGGTTGGTATTTTGATTGGTTGTATTCTTGGTATGTCTCCATTATTATTTTACTCCTCAAATGGTAATAACTCAAGAGAATCAAAGGAAAATCTTGACTCCACCAATCAAAAAGTAGAAGATAAACCAAATTAATGAGATGCAAAGTCACCAGAAGAAACTGTTGGATGTTCATGAAAGGAATCAAATTATTTTAAAATCATCTATTTGCAGCTTGTAATTATTTTAAACAAAATCTCATTTGCTGGATGAATATGAGAACGAAATTAATGAAACCAAAGACAAAACCAATCGCAAAGCATCAAAACACCAATTGAAATGATTTATTCCATCACTCGCCCAAATTTTACCGTTAATCAAGGTGACAATAGGCCATCCACCCAATACCTCATATGAAATTCCTTGGAGGATAATCATCATCTCATCATCATTTCCTTGTGAAAATTAATATTATAATTATTCTATATCGTAACAAATCAACATGCACATCAATTATTAACAATTAAGACCATCCGCTTACTGCGTCCAATTCATCGCCTGTTAATTAACCATTTCCACAATTAGACGTATCCTTTTATTGTATTAATTTGCTTTAATTTGGTTCACTTTTATTAATAGTTACGATTCCTCGTCTTCAGCTTCTTCCAGTACATTTCCTTTGTTCTTTAGAGCTAAAATAGGAGGAAAAAAAATTAGTATTATTATTAGCTGATCATTATAATTGTTATCATATCAAATTAATTCTCAATTTATTATTCATTCATTATTATTGTTGTCAAAATTATGATTATATTGGTTAGATTAGAAGGTATTAGATTAATGATACGAAAATCACATCTATGAGAGTGTATTAATTAATGTGTACTTATCATTATGCTAATTGTTATTACTATAAATGACTATCATCATCCTCATCAATCAATAATATGCATTTTTAACTCTTGACTTTCTCTATTGTATTTCAATGTCAAACTTACATTTAAAAGCGTCCGGATGTTGTTGATAGTATTTCTGATTAATAAATTTAGTTCTTTGATGAATATAATCTAAATCCTCTCTCATTTGTTTCAATACACGACCAAATCTGCGAATCTCTTTCATTGCCATCTCGTAACGAGCCGCTGAAAGGGCATTACAATTAACCAGCATTTCGTTTGTCTTTTCAAATCTCGCCAATCTAAAAGAAATAGGAAAAAGAAACGATAATTAAACGAAGTTCAAACGTCAATAGATGCCAATCTAATCATCAACTGATTCATTGAATTAATTAAAATACCGTTGAATCATTGTAAATAGAGTAGAGAGAAACCTTGAATTGTTAACATTAATTGTAATGTGATAAAATTGTGAAGAGAAAGAAAAATTTTCTATTACATTTGTACAACATGTTGAACTTGAGTTTTTGATCTAGTTAATTTTTCCTTATCTTTGTTAAGCAATTAAATGTTATCCAATCATAATGATGGTAATTATTACTACGGATACGTTGACAAAGTTAAATATCAAGACACTAATCAATGAGTGGGAGTAATTAAAATTACATCACTAAAGTGCTGAGGTGCAACCAGATAGATAAAAGAGGAAAGAGCAGATTAAGAGGAAATATCCACGTCTTTAGAAAATAAAAATCAGGGCCATGGTGAAAGTAATTAGAATAAAACATATTGTTACAATTTAATCTTATAGATTAACCATTTACCAGATTAAAGGGATAAAAAAAATGATTAAGGTGAAGAGCAAAAAGGAGAGAAATATAAAAGAATAACCTATCTCTCATTTAATGAACACTAAATGTTCATTAGCTAGAGAAATAATAAAATGATTTATTATAACCATAGAATAAAATTAATCAAAACCTAATTGTAGAATTTGGTAGTTAATTAAATGACAATAAAAAGATGAAAGTAAAGGACGAAGACAAAGATATTGAAGCGAATGAAAAAAACAAAATGTCTACTTACTGATGTCTTTGTACACGATTGATTTCATTTAAATCTCTTTGGTCAATTAGATTTAACAGTTTACCGATGAAATCTTTTTTTCCATCAGTTAATTGTTCACTGGATTGTTCTTGTGAATTTTTATCATCCGATGGCAAATCCATGATAATTAACTCACAATAAGAAATTAAATTAACAGTCACTTTTTAAAATCTCTTTTTTAGTGTTGACAAATTTGGAGAGAAAAGAAAATTGAAAAGAAGCGCCAAAAACAAATGGAATTAAAATATTCTTTTTGAGGAAAATTTTAATTGTGACAATTGGATTGCGAATTTTGGTGAATTAGTTGATTTTTTGGTCTATTTGTTTTTCTGCGAATTTTTTGTTTGTTTGTTTCGATTTTTTGTTTGTTTGTTTGTTGGACGGTAAATATAATGAACGAAAATATTTGATTCTCATTTAGATAAATTTATTAAATTAAGATTTTATTTTTAGCGTATGTGGATGAGAGAGTGTGTATAAGTGTTGGGGGAGAATTGCCGAACATAGAGAGACTTGGAACAAAAATTTTGTTAAGTCTTTTAAGTTGTTACATATGTTTTGTTTGTTTTACTGTAAATCTGTACTCTGCTGATTATTACTGTTATTGTTTTAACCCACCATCCATGATGAAAGCAAAAAATATCTAATTTAAAAGATGATTAGAAAACGAGTAAACCCTTAATTTCATCGTATAATACTAATACGAAAGCTCCACCGGTTCCTCTTAATACATTTGAAAAAGCTCCTCTGAAGAAAGCTTTTCCTCCCTCCGATTTGTAGATCTTTCCCCAACAATGGGCAGTGCTCTTGTATGCTCGTTCTGCAGGAGGTAAACCACTTTGCATCATCATTCGTCGACGAACAGTGTCAAATGGATAAGAAATTATACCAGAGACTGTAGTTACAGCTTGGGCAATAAGCCATGAGATGACAATTGGGGTCTTCTTTGGGTCAGGTAACATGCCCTTGGCAGTATCGAAGAAACCAAAGTAAGCAGCTCTAATTTATTGGAAACAAACAAAATAATTTTCATTAAAACAATTGATAATTAAAGGGGAAGAGAAAAAAGAAAGAGAGAGAAAAAGAAAGAAAAAAAACTTACCGGTAGATAATAATACCTTGTACAGAGACACCAAAACCTCTGTAAAGACCCAAGTAACCATCAGATTTAAAGGTCTTTCCAATACAATCAACCAATCCTTTGTATTGTCGAGCTTCATTACCTTTACCTACATCAGCAGCTAATCGAGTTCGAGCAAAGTCAAGTGGATACACAAAACATAAAGATGTGGCACCAGCAGCTCCACCCGAAGCTAAATTACCGGCAAAGTATCTCCAGAATTGTTTATTCTTGTCTACACCACCAAGGAAAACTTGCTTGTATTTATCTTTAAAAGCAAAGTTTAGAGCTTGAGTTGGAAAATATCGGATAACATTGGCCAAATTTCCTCTCCAGAAACTAATGAAACCTTGTTCCTTTGGAATTCGAATAGCGGCATCAACAATACCTACAAAATTTTTAAAACAAAATATTAAAACAAATAAATTAACATCAAGGAATTAATAAAATTGAAAGGAAAAAGTAAATCCCTTCATTTCTACATGAGGATAAAGAGTAAAAGCTAAGAGGAAAGAGCAACGTAATGGTCTTCTAATTACCAGCCCTAACAACCTCATATCATTTTATTCTAGTAACATCCTGTTATCATGCATCTACCTTGACGTAGACTCAACCAGTTATTGGAAAAGTCTGACAGTCACAACTATACGAATTATATAAAAATGATAAAATTTGAAAAAACTTACAAATTAACAGAGGTCAAATTAATAAATTAACAGATTATACAACAAATCAAATCTAATGATTATTAGAGTAAAAAATGAGGAGTGATACAACTCAAGGTCATAGTAACCTCAGTTTAACCTATTGATGAATCTACCCTTTGATCCAAATTGTAATGTTAAAAATAGCAAAATTTATCGACTAGAATATGGAATAATATCACAAAGGTTAAAAGCTTAAAAAGGTGAAGGTTATTCTTCAATGATAAGAACAGAATCAGAATTGTCTAGACAAGAGCAAGAGAGAAAAAGAAACACAAAGGGGACAAGAAGAAGAAAAAAAGAGATGACACGTATTAACAAAGAGAAAGCAAATAGATAAAATTATTTCTTAATTGTTAAAAAAAAGGTAAAAGAGAAGTTAATTAGAGTAACAATTAACTACTTACCCTTGTATCGTTGAGATTCAGCAATTTGTTTAGATGAATGTTGAACCTGAAGAAGAAGCTTAATTCTTTCAATTGGAGCTACAGCAGTTTTGGAAATGGCAGCAGAAATACCACCAGCCAAGAAATCCTTGGCGAATCCGGACATATCGAACGACATTGCGACTAATTGTTCTTTAATTGGACCTAAATTAACAATTAATGAGAAATTAGAAAAGGGAAAGAGCAAAAATGAAACCAATTGTTTCCTCTCTCAACAAACTCAAACTGAATAAATGTTAATTCAGTTAAAAGGAAGAGACTCACAGGAAGTTGATCGACAGCGAATTCTGGTGACAAGAAACGAAACTCAAATTCTAAATTCTATTTGATTTTTTGTTCTATTCTCTTTGTTGAATTGGGAAACAAATCTCAAGGTTTAACACTCGTTGGCTTAAATTCAAAGATAATTAACTAAACCTTGAATTAGCTCTTCATTTATTAATTTCTTATTCCGTTATCTTTACTCTGGAACAATTTTCATCTTTATCTTCATCTTTTTCATCTTCTATTATTTGTTAATCTTTCTTGGCTTTTCCATTTCTCATTTGGAGGATCCGCTTTTTTTTTCTCTTCCTTTTTGTTTCTCTCTTTTAATCTTAATGTTAACCAGATGATGTGATGTGACATGAATGGGTTATCTTGCCAAAAATTAGAAATGGTTCCCCTCAAGTTCATTGAGGATTGTTCCAATTATTCAAGAGTCATTCAAAGTTATACTCAATAGTAGGAATCAAATGTGTTACTTGTATTTATATATTTTTCTAGGTATCATTTGGAAATCAATGTTAATCATGGAACGAGTGAAGAGTAAAATATTTGCTCTCTTTTTTTCTCTAACTAAATGAAGGTAAACTCAATTAGGTGATGTTCTTAATATCAATGGTGAAAAGAACAAATTTACAGGTAAATATGAGAAGATAATCAGTGAATCATGGACTAAATATCACTTCAGTTGAACCAGTCGCTTTGGGAGCAAGAAATGTTCAAAATTACTACTTGATGGATTAACCGATTGCGGAAATGAAGTGATTGTTTCAAAGTGTCAAATTGGTTCAATTGTTTGCACCCTTAGGTTAGGGTAGGTTAGATTGGTTAACAATTGTAAGAATTAATTGTGTAACTTACTTGGTGTTTCTCTGCTAACCAAATATCTCGGATCGCATAAAATGTAGACCTTGGAATGTTGAAATACAAGATGATCTTATCTTCAGGTAAGTAATTCTCGTAAGCGGTAATAATTGACCTTCTCTTGGCACTTGTTATTAGCGAATAAGGTGATTGACAACTATGGTGACGAGTTAACAGGTTAAGAAAATGATCAACCATGATTAACTTGAACAGAATCAAATCAACAGTTGTAAAGAGTAAGTAGTTGTTACCACTTCTCTAGTTAAGAGTAGTTATCACTGGTTAAGAAAAGAAACACAATCAGATGATTTTGCTCTTTCCAACAGGAGAACCTCAACGGATACCAATTAATTGCTTGTTGGAACAATTTAAACAGTGGAGAAACAATTTAATCAAAGTTACTCTGTCTAAGAACGAAGTTGGAATAACATCTAATTGTTTGAACGCTACGGTTTTTATTTGTTTCTTTTCTACCAGTCAACATTTAATTGTTTCTTTTTCAAATTAATCCGATTGTAAACAATCCAGTAAATCCTGAGAAAAGAAACAATTAACAATCCAATGGCCAATCAACGATCTTAAATAAACAATGTCGACGTTTCTAGACATTGTTTTACTTTTTAAGATCTACTGGTAATTAGAGATTTAAGAATATGGGAAGTTCAAAGTGTTAATTACCTTTCGAAGTTTAAATTATCCCAGCCAATCAGAGATTCTCATTAAATAGAACAGTTTTTTTTCCTTCTCAAATCGAGTTAATTGTTCTCTTCATGGAATCACAATTGTTTTCAACTATTTACAAGGTAAAAAGATGATTATGATTATCTGATGATTAAATTTTGTAATTCGAGAAGTTGAAATGAAGGAAAAACATTACATTTAATTTCTGATCTTTTAGTTAATTTATTAAATATTATTTCACTTTTAAAGTATTTTGGATGTTTTTAAATAGTTGTGTATGTGTGTATAAGTTTAAGTGAATTGAAACATGGTAATTCTAAGAGAATAAACTTCCATAACTAATAAACAATGTTAAAGGTGAATTGGAATCTGATTTTAAAAGGTTAATTGTTTCGTTTCTTTATGTATGGTTTGCAATCTTTAAACGTTTTTCTTTCGGTTTAAAGCTGGAACACATATTCTTCTTTAATCTGCTGATTGTTACTATTAACCCACCATCCATGATGAAAGCAAAAAATACCTAATTTAAAAGATGATTAGAAAACGAGTAAACCCTTAATTTCATCGTATAATACTAATACGAAAGCTCCACCGGTTCCTCTTAATACATTTGAAAAAGCTCCTCTGAAGAAAGCTTTTCCTCCCTCCGATTTGTAGATCTTTCCCCAACAATGGGCAGTGCTCTTGTATGCTCGTTCTGCAGGAGGTAAACCACTTTGCATCATCATTCGTCGACGAACAGTGTCAAATGGATAAGAAATTATACCAGAGACTGTAGTTACAGCTTGGGCAATAAGCCATGAGATGACAATTGGGGTCTTCTTTGGGTCAGGTAACATGCCCTTGGCAGTATCGAAGAAACCAAAGTAAGCAGCTCTAATTTATTGGAAACAAACAAAATAATTTTCATTAAAACAATTGATAATTAAAGGGGAAGAGAAAAAGAAAGAAAGAGAGAGAGAGAGAGAGAGAGAAAGAGAGAGAAAAAGAAAAAAAGAAAAAAACTTACCGGTAGATAATAATACCTTGTACAGAGACACCAAAACCTCTGTAAAGACCCAAGTAACCATCAGATTTAAAGGTCTTTCCAATACAATCAACCAATCCTTTGTATTGTCGAGCTTCATTACCTTTACCTACATCAGCGGCTAATCGAGTTCGAGCAAAGTCAAGTGGATACACAAAACATAAAGATGTGGCACCAGCAGCTCCACCCGAAGCTAAATTACCGGCAAAGTATCTCCAGAATTGTTTATTCTTGTCTACACCACCAAGGAAAACTTGCTTGTATTTATCTTTAAAAGCAAAGTTTAGAGCTTGAGTTGGAAAATATCGGATAACATTGGCCAAATTTCCTCTCCAGAAACTAATGAAACCTTGTTCCTTTGGAATTCGAATAGCGGCATCAACAATACCTACAAAATTTTTAAAAAAAAAATATTAAAACAAATAAATTAACATCAATCAATTAATAAATAGTAAAATTGAAGTGAATTACAATTTCTTAACCCATTTGATACAACCTTAATTTGGGCATTACCCAAAATCTTGATACTCGGCAATTTAAATTTTTATCTAGGTTTAAATTTTCTTCCTTCTATTCTCTTTAATTCACCTGAAAACACTAAATTACCTAAAAATATTTACAATAAATATTTAATTCTAATTATGTAATATAAATATAGCTCAATAAAAAATTGACCATTCAAGGTCACAGTAACCTCCAATTTAACCTAGACAAAAGCAAAGAGATGGTGAATAAGCAGAGTGAAGGGATAATATTACCCAGCAACCAAAAAAAAAATAATTAACTAAGACTGTAATAATTAGAAGAGAAAGGGTCAGAGTAAAGGTCAAGTAACAATTAACTTACCCTTGTATCGTTGAGATTCAGCAATTTGTTTAGATGAATGCTGAACCTGAAGAAGAAGCTTAATTCTTTCAATTGGAGCTACAGCGGTTTTGGAAATGGCAGCAGAAATACCACCAGCCAAGAAATCCTTGGCGAATCCGGACATATCGAACGACATTGCGACTAATTAATTGAAATACCTAATTCACCGAGAAGAAAAAGGAAAAGGAAAATTAAATTACAACCGGAGAGAGTTGAATTTGACAAGACCAAATGATTAGGAACAATTTATTTTATTCAACAGAAAAAACCTCAACGTCTCTGTAAAGGTTAAGTGGCTCCATCTTATTAATAGAATAGAAAATCAGAAAAAGAGAACAAATTTTTGTTCGAATTGTTCACTTGGCTTGTTTTCTTCACCAAATAATTAACCAAGTTCTTACCTTTCGAAGACAACAAGATAATTAGATAAAAACAATTAGATTTAGTTAATTTAATTCTTGATTAAAAATTAATAATTAAAAATCAAGTTGAGTTGATTCAATCTCCATCTTTCGGTCAACAATTGAACAATTTTTTCTTCTACAAATAAGTGTCGCCATCTCGTAGAATCGATTGTCTATAAAAATCAAATTCGTTCACGATTAAGTTTTAATCTCAAACAATTAGTTAAGTTTATTGTTTAATTTGTATTTAATCAGCTTTATTTAAGTTTTAAAAGTTCGGTTTTGTTAAGGAAAATGCAATAAAATGAATAATTGTTCATGTAAATCTTTTAGAGTTCAAGGTAAGGTTCAGGTCTTTTGGTAGTCAAGCAAAAAAACAATTAAAATCATCAAAAATATCGGGAATATCAAACTACCAAGGTTAAAGGTAATAAAGTTTATCTTGAAGATCATCACTTGGTTTACTTTGGACATATTGACCCATAAGAAAGGCCAATTTATGAGCGTACTGGGGAAAAGAAGAGAGGAAAAAAATGAGATTAATTATTGATATCGATTGATAAAGTAATTAGATTTGGTTAATTTTCTTACCTGACACGGAGCAGGGACTCTAATTGTCGCTGGAAAGTTATAGTAAAGATGAGTTAATTTGTAGGATAATCTTTGAAGTTTATCTGGTCCAAGGCCACATTCGTCAATAAGTGAAATGTAATGTGTCGGGGTAACGGTTCCTTGGTGAACATGTTGAGATACCAAATAAAAGTCATAAAATTGTCGTCGGGTGACCGTGTGATCGATAACTGACCCAGGCGGTGGATTGGTCATGTTACGTCCAGATAAATGCATAAGTTTAACGTTGACTCGTTTTTGGACTACAACAAGAGTGATCTTTGGCATTTCTAATTTTAATTCTGGTAAAGACTCAATTAAACCTTTAATCGATTCACCCATTTGTGGAATCTCGTAATCACGAACTGTCGCTAAATCCCCATCACCAACACCATCACGATAGATGAAAATTTTGCCAGGCATATACTTATTAATATCCATGTATCTACGAATGGCAGCGACAATCGCACCTCCAAAAGTGTTGACAATTTCCTCACGTCGATTTTGAAAGTAACAACGGGAATACCATTGGGTCGCATTTTTATTCATCGATGAAACAACCCCAACAACTGAACGCGCTTTATTGGACGGATCGTGATAGGAATCAAGGCCAACGTACATGGTAGCCGCTAATGGCATTGCAACGGACCATAATTGACCACCTTGTTTACAAGCGATTTGCATGGCGATGTTGATGCAAACTGATCTAAATTTGTTTGGTGTTAAAGTGGCCACTCGAACCACTTGGGAAGGTATTCCCAGGTCAATGCAGCAAAGTTGTTTAATTGCCGCGTATCGATCCTCTCGTTGTGAAGATCCTGGAGTCATGACCACAATTAACTCAGCGCTTTTATCAACCTCTCTAAGTGTCTGTTTGTATGTGTTGGCGTGGTCATCTCGAAGTTCAGTTTTTCGAGGATTGTCAAAAGAGAAACCCAATTTTCGAGCAACTTGTTGTAACATTTTCAAAAATTCATCGGCTTTAGCTCGATCTCGAGCATTGTAAATGAAGTACCAACGTTTTATCGGTTTAGATGCCAAAATGACAGCGTCTTTAATTTTCATTCCCCATTCTGCTTTATCACCCGCTGAATGTTCAACACCATTACCAAAGGTCAGCTTTTCATATCCAAATTTACGAGCGTAAGTTTCAAATGGCCTGGCATCAATTTCCATACCCCAATCGGTGAGAATTTTTCTCGAGGCTTCACAAGAATTTGCATGCTGAATAAAATCAACTAATCGTTTATATTTAGCCTCAGGCGATATCTTCGTATGTGTAGCCAAATCTTTCATAACCCGATGGTCAGAACGAATATCATCAGTAAGTCCAGTTAAATATGACAACTCAGGTACCAAACAAATAAGAGGTGATTCCTCCTTTAGACAAAACAATTAAACAAAAAGAAACAGACATAATTAGAAATCTATTATTAATCAATCATAAATCAATGAGTCAAGGTAAGTTTATGATATCTGCTCATTAAATGACTTAATAGTAGAAGCAAAGTAAATTATGATTGGAGAGAAAAAGCTATTAGATTAAAGGTCATCGTGGTTAATTAATCTCAACAACAGAGATAATTAAGTCAGAAAGAGAAGAGAGAGAGAGAGAGAGAGAGAGAGAGAGAGAAGAGAGAGAGAGAGAGAGAGAGGATAACAATTAACTTCGTAAACAAAAGATATTGAAAGAAAACATTCTTGAGATCAAGTTGATTGTTATAATTAACTGATTGTAGAACGAGATACTTACGGTTTGATTTCGCCTTGGTTTTGGTCTATGGAGGAGTAAAGGTTGTTTTCCATCTTTGATATCGACGCCCCAATGTTGTCGGAAATAATCAATGAAAGTGATCTCTTGACCTTCTTTCATGGTGAATTTGGATGAAGGGGTTCGAGTAAAGTCAATGTCGTCGATTCGATAGGCACGGTTATTATATCGAGTTAGAACAATCGCTCCGACGAGTAACTTGTTTGCTCTTATAGCAAATTTCGAAGGATCGTCTTGGAAGAGTTCGTGTAACATTTCACGGGCCGTTTTCTTACGAAGAACCCGATGGGCAGTGTCCACGTTAAGCATAAGTCCACCATCGTACTCTTGGATCGCACAAACATAACCAGGCCAGACTTCTAGTTTATGGGCTGGAACATCAATCTTACCGGTGGGATTATAATGGTGCATGTTTAGTTCAACCAATTGCATCGCTCTCATCACCTTGTTGAATAGATTGTTGTAGAAATTAACTAATTCTTCAGTCGGAGGCACTTTAACATGAGTGATGGTTAGAATGACGGGAATTTCGACCGCTGGATTAACGGTGGAAATGATGCAAGGCTCTTCTTCCAATCTGTGAGGAAGGAAAAGATTAGTTCCAGTGAAGTTGGAAATAGTTCCAATCTTTTCTTGAACTTCAGGAGAATTTAGAATTTTTCTTCGCAAGGTTATTGAATCGATATTCGGCTCGAAGAAAACTGCGTACAGGTGAATTTTTTTCTTGGATTTCACATTAATCTTCATATAATTTACAGCGACTTTAAATTTCTCTCCATCCTGGCCAACAACTTTGTTCTCAATTGGTCTCAAAGCCGAAGGAACTGGTGGACCAGCGATGGATTCGGTTGTAGTTGAAGAGACCGAGGGAACTGGTGATCGAGATCCTCCTGATGCTGGTGAAGAATCACCCGTTTCACTTGCCGCCGAAGATTGAGCTAAACTTGACTTCGGACTTGATTTCGGACTTGATTTACTGCTGTCACTAGTCTGAGTCGATGAATCTTCACTTTCCGATGGTTCAGGAGATTGGGATCTCGGAGTATCAGGTGGAGTCTTTTTGATGAGAAATCTATTAAATTTACCACGAATTTTAATATTCCGTTCTGGACTATCACCTCGAGATCCAGACGGAGACGAAGGCGCAGCAGGGGAATTGGAACCATGTGAATCGGTGTCAGAAGCTGAAGCAACAGATTGTTGTTCCGATGGAGGGTTAGAGGCTTCTGACTGACCGGAAGCAGGAGTTGACACCTCGGAGTCCGAAGTAGATTCAACCTCTTGTTTGGAGGTCGATGCTTGGGGTGGACTTCCTAGTCCTTGTTTCGCCTCTTCCTCTTCTCGGGCTTGTCTTTGCTGCTCAATTTTCAGCCGCTGAAGTGTCTGAAGGAGTAACTGTTTGCCCCCTCGGCCACCGGGTTTTCCTCGTCCAGCCATAGATGAGAAATGACACTTAACGAATATAATCAAAGTCCGATGGTAGAAAAAAAATGGAATCAAAATGGAAAAACAGGCGAAATCAAAAGAGATAATATAAAATCCGAAAGTACGAAGATTAAAAATAAAGGTAATGTTAACAAGTTCAAAAAAAGCTAAAAATAAAATGCAAATTTAATCAAGTGAATCTATTTATAGAAAATCAGTGGTGCCATCTACAAAAAGATAACAAATAAAAACAATGATTGATGAGAGATAAAAACAATTAGCAACAATTAATCAATTGGCTGAGCCATTTTAAGCGTTTCCATTTGAGAAAAGTTTTGTTCTTGCTGGTCAGAAGTTGGTAGTTGATTGGATGGAAGTGGTAGATTAAATGGATTGGAGTTAATGTTTGACAAATCATGATTGAATAAAAAATTAAGAGGAAACATATTGGTGAAATTGTTGATTGGATTAAAAGTAGGAAATTTAGTTTGATTCAATTGATCAATGGTCACTTTTGCTGGTACCAATAAACCGGGAAGAATTGAATGAACTAAACCTGACCCATTGGCCAAAAATTGATTATAACCAGGAATTGCAAACCAGGCGACATTATCACGATCCATTTCATCATTGATTGTCTCATCGGGTGAATTGTTGAATATGTTGAAAATACTTGACCATAGTGAACCGGAAGACTTTGCATCGGTCATGTTGGGCCGAGAAAAGAGTAAAGTGGGTAAATCCGTGAAATCAACTATTCTAACTGCACTAGGCCAAGGTTCGGTTGGGGCTGATTCGGAAGGTGAACGATCAGAACGATGACTTGGTGGAAATAAACCGCCACCAACTCTTCCCCCTTGACCAAATCTATTTAATCCACTTGATGATCCAGTTAATCCAGCTAATTGCGCTAGAGTATCAAGTCCAAAAATACCAAGAGTAGCAGATGATTGATCAACAACCACTGAAAAGATAAAAAGAGTTGAAATAAACAATTTAAATTGATGAGACATAATTAACAAAATACAAAATAGAGTGTAAAAAGTAAGTGTATAACAGAAGTGGATTCAAGATTGTCTTGAGTAAACAGTAATCGTTAATCAAACACATCCATGGATTAAATAAGCAAAGAAACCACTCACCAATTAAGCTATTGCTTTTCCTACATGTTTACAGAGGGAGAGAGAGAGAGAGAGAGTAAAAAAAGAGGGAGAGAGAAATTAAATCACAATTGACCTTTGAAATGGTCAAAAAAAAAATATCCCATGGGGAGAAAAATTTTTCATCTCAATTTGTACTCCAATCCAGATAAAGTTGCAAGGGTGAATTAGCGAAATGGAGGTTAAAAATGAAGGAAAATCAGATGGGAATAGATTTCCCTTTGGTCAATCTCGTGATGAAAGAACAATCAGCAAAAAAAAAACCATTGACATTGGTCACAATCTATAAAAAAGAAAAGAACAAAAAATACAAAAGAGAACAAAAAATCACAAGAGAAAAGAAAATGATTGATAAAAAGAAGATGATGATTGGATGTTCAACTTTAAACAGAGATTAAGATGGAAATTCTTTCGATAACCTTGAAAATCACTACAATTCTACAAAAAAAACTGTTCACTAATTAATCTAATTGTTACATTAATTCTAATTAACAAAAGGTAAGTTAATTAATTACCACTAATTATGTAACTCTAATTATGTAACAAGAAAAGCGATCAAAATTAACCGGTTACTTTGCGTTGTCATGGTAACCAAATGAATCCAACCCAATTCATCTTGGTTACCGGTTGTTATTCAGTTGGAGTTTAGTCATCGTTCATTGCTGAACATTCAGTGTTTTATCTCGTAACTTTTATTTCTCAGAATTTTGTATAACTTTTTCTGAAATAACATTTCTTTCACTTTGTTGATTCTCTCAGAGAATTTTGTTTTCAACTCATCGAGGAACAAAAGTAAAAGAGAAGACTTTCAACATATTGTGTAGATAGAACCTTTTAAATTCGCTTCTTTTTGTTTGTTCTATTCTCTTTTTTGGTTTCTTTTGTTTTTTGTTCGAATTTCTTTTTTTTATTTGTGTCTTTTGTCTTTATCTTAATTTCTTTCGTTTTTTTTCTTCTTCGATGTCGGAAACAAATTTGGCTCAATCATCTCGATTTCAAGTTGCCAAAGTGACCGGTGGTGGTGGTGATCTTAAAAATGAAGATGGTCAACCTGGTGAGGAAATTGCTCTCAATGGTTACGATCATACAAATGGACATGATGCCGATTATGATGATAAATACAATCATGAAGATGATGATGATGAAGAATATGATGAGAATGGTGATCGTGTAACCTCTTCACCGACTCATTTTAATCATCAAAGTTCAGTGGATTATAACAACACCCATACAGTTTATGACACTAAAAATTTGAAAAGCTTTCGACATTATACCAGGGAAGCTCTACCAAGGGTCGACCATTACAGAGACATGAATTCGGTTCATGGACATATGACTCGGCCAACATTGGATGAACTTCATGGCTGTGAAATTTCATCATTTCATGATTCAACCAAGGTATCTAATCATTTAACCGCCTTAATTTTTTTACTTACTTTTCCCTTTCTTTTTAAAAAATTTCATCTCTTTTCATCACCGTGAGAAAAGTATCAACCCCAAAGGTGTGGTATTTTCATATAGATACACTTAATATCATTACTATCGATGTTAATAATTTCTTATTGATTATATTAACCATCCCAATGTTAATACATGTATTAATATTTATACTTTCATCTTTTACCTTTGATTCCGAAGAGAAAATCATTTTTTCTCTCTCTCTACATTAATCATCATCATCTACACATCATCACCATGGGTTAGGCAATTTAAATGTATCATTGGTTTCACATTGCATTTTAACCATTACATTTGAATTGAGAGAGAAATTAAATTCAAGTAATTTCCACTTTATCTCCCACAATTTCATCATCATCAGGATGGGTCTTGATAAGATGATGAGAAATCAATGTAATTGTAAATGATTCACATAGAGTTCAGGTCAACGACTACTAATCCATAGGTTAAGAATAAGAAGAAAAAAATTATTCTTTTACTAACATTAGATCTACGTGATGAATGATTTTCACAGTTTGTTAATATAATATTTATATTAAATCAACATGATTATGATGATGATGATAATCATCATTCTTGTGCTATTACTTTAAAAAAACCTTCAAGTGGGCAGTGAATAGTTGGTGATCATTATTTTCATTTCCATGGAAAATCAAACACCATGAAACTGTGTTTACTTTTCTCGTATTCAATGATTATGATGCTTATGATGATGACGATTTTTGAATAATTGTCTTTTCATGTTTATCAATTGTCTAGTAATTACTTAGAACCTAATATTTACTCTGATCACCAAAACCGATTGATGTTTAATCATGAACATAATATTCATCATAATGTTTCTCTCTCTCTCTCTCTCTCTCTCTCTCTCTCTCTCTCTCTCTCTCTCTCTCTTTATCTTTTCCGTTTCCGTTACACATTATTTTCTCAAAATAATACATTCTCAGGTTCAAGATCCTTAGCCAATCCAAAAATAGTAAACCTATGAATAGATTATTATTTCTAGTTAATTGTTGTCCTTATTTAACTGAATTAAGAGAGAAGCAATTTCACCAATCACTCGAACAGATTTCCTATCACTTCAAGAAAGCAATTAATTAATCTATTAATACATTATCATGTATCATTTGAATTGTCTCCTTTGCATTTTGTTTTCGTCGTTACCCTTAGGTTATTATTGTCAATTGATTGTAACAATTAAAAAGTAATGTAAAAACATTTTAAATCATTTTAATTACTCTTAATTGTTAATATAATCAATAATTTAGAGGCCTCGTTAACTCTTTAATATTTTCTCATCTTCCTATGCAAATAATTAATTTTCCTGTTGATTAATTTAGTTTATTAACTACTTGTTATTACAATTAACTTGTTGATGATGAGAATTTCTTGTTGATTTTAGTCAAAACTCGTTCTGTTTTTTTATAGTTATTCATCAATGATCATCATTAACCATCACCATCATTCAATTAACTTAATGATTTGTTTTACTTTCACTTGATTGTTGATTAAAATCTTAAATGATTCAAAAAAAGGTTAAGCTAATTGATAAATGGCAATGACTTGTATTGAGCTATTGAGTTGATTTTCCAGGTCTTCCCAGGCCATTGCCATTGATTGATTAGCTTGATAATGAACTTATAGCTTCTAATTTCATCTTAACTAATCACAATTAGTGCCTGATTTAAACCATAATAATTGTTAATTTGCTTACATCTGATTACAATAATCGAAACTTATGTTTAACTTTCTCTCTCAATCAATTATGTCTTTTCATCACTAATCATTAAATGATTGTATCTCTCACTAGTTAATCACCCATCACATCCTGATATTATTACAAAAACTTGTTTAACCTTGGCTAATTGTTATGATTAATAATTAACAATTTACTATCAAATTTCAACTCTCTAGTGAGGATTGTACTAGTAAAAATTGAAAGAAAACATTTCCATTCATTGTTTACTCAAACTTTCACATAAATCTTAATAGTAATTTTGGTTTCAGATCAATAAATTGTTAATCACTCGCAAAAGATAATCATGTTAAGATGATTATTTAATCATAATATTTTAAGTGTAAACATGGTTAATGTAAAGAAAATATGAAATTGGAAAAGGGAAAAAGCTTGAGAAAGCAAAAAAACCAATGGTAAAAAACTTATTCATTGAACATGAACCATTGTTTTGAAGGCCATTACGAACATTATCATGATTAAGATGATGAATATGATGATGAATATGATGAAGATAATAATTTTTTCTCTTTTTTCATCCTTCTATTCTAGCGGAAAGACCGGAAATCATTGATTTCACCGGATCCTGGAGAATCGGCTGTTAAATTTGGTTGGGTTAAAGGAGTTTTGGTTAGTTGATTGTTTCATTATCCAAATCATGATTAATAAACTTTTTCTTAATCGATTTGATCATCGTCAATGATTTTATTGTTGCGGTTTTATGACATTAAGGTTAAAAGTTTATTACCTGGACACTCATTCAATCACTAATAGTCACTGATTGACATTCATTCATCCACTATGATAATCTCTCTCTCTCTCTCTCTCTCTCTCTCTCTCTCTCTCTCTCTCTCTCTCTCTCTTCTCAGGTACGATGTCTAGTAAATATCTGGGGAGTTATGTTGTTTCTCCGTCTCTCATGGGTAAGTCTCGAAAATTGTTTCATGTTTTTGTTTACAATCATTAACAATTTCTCCATATTTCTAACATAATTAAATCTCTATGTTACCTCTTACCACGCACACACAATATTTAGATTCAATTTCCTTCCTCCCTGTATCTCTCTCACTTACTCACTCTCCTCCTCCCACTTCCACCTCTTTCTACCCTTTTCTCCATTAACTTTTTGGATTCAATTTTATCATTTTTTCCTCTGTCATTTATTGATTTAGGTTGTCTCTCAAGCAGGAATAGGTTATGCTAGTTTAATTGTCCTCACTGCCTCACTGGTCACTGTTATCACAACTCTTTCAATGTCCGCCATTTGCACCAATGGTGAAGTTCGTGGTGGTGGATCTTATTACATGATATCCCGTAGTTTAGGTCCAGAATTTGGCGGTTCCATTGGAGTTATATTTTCAATAGCAAATGCTGTAGCTGTTGCCATGTATGCAATTGGTTTTGCAGAAACAGTTTCAACCTTGTTAAAGGTAAATTTCATCTTATTCATAAATTTTCATCTTAATCACATTTCAATCAGCATGTGTACTACAAATTAATCAACAAATTCAATGTTATCCAGTCATCTGTTTGCGTAAGAAAACATTGAATGTTTATCATGACAATTTTGTTTATAAACAAAATTGTTGACAAATTGAGATGGGGGGATGACAGAAATTAACATTTACTCGTAAATTGTAAATTAAATCATCAGTGTCATTGATCAGTTGATCAAAATTAACATTAATAACGATCTCATTTCGTCCTAATGGCAATTTAAAGCATCAAACTTGTGACCGATAAGATTGAAACCTTGACTGAATTTGGCATCAAATTAGAGTAATTGATCAGCAAATTAACAGTTTAACGATAATCTATGTTTTGATTGTCATTATTATTATGGAAAAGTAAACAATATGAGCAATTACAATCACAATTACTCTCTTAACATGAGTGTCAACAATTAGCTTGACATTCATTTAAACTGTCAACGTACATGTATCATTTTTTTTACTTGATTTTTAATCAACTAGATTCAGACAAGTTCTTTCATCCCAGTCTGTCATTTAATTAATTATCTGTTATTTTTTTAATCATTTAGGACAATGAGATTATATTATTTGCTGATGATATAAACAATACCCGCTTGATTGGCTGTCTAACGGTTCTCGTTTTATTGGGCATCGCACTGATAGGTACAGAATGGGAAGCTAAGGTAATCAAATTTAATTATTAATTTAATTGTGCTACCAATTTATCTTACTATATAAATAGACCCAAATTTGTCTGCTATTCATCCTACTCGCGGCAATGGCCAATTTTGTCCTCGGATCATTTATCCCACCCGACGAGCAAAAACGTGAACGAGGATTTGTCGGCTATTCGAGTAAGTGACCACTTGATGTTAATTAAAATTAACCAGTAATTCATTAATTAAGTTTAATCTCTTCACTTTCAAGCATTGATTAGATTTATGCTCTTATTAGATACAATCTATTGATTGTGTTAATAATTAATTTATGGATTATTTTATTTGTTCAAATCCTACAATTTATGGTTAACCTTTTTATTACTTTTTTTTGCTTAATTATTTTGCAATAAGATTGCAACAAATTGATTGCAATCCTAGCAATTAGCTGAGACTATTAACTTTACTAATCACAATTAAGTTTATTGACCTAGTCCATCAACTTAAAACTTGATTGAGTTTTTGTCCTAAGCAACTTACATGTATAAGTTAATTATCATGGTACATGTAGTTTTAATTAATTCAATTTTTCTAACGCCTTAATTTTTGATAACTATTAGTATTGGGTAATTAAATTTGTAATTGTTATTCAAATTAGCTTATTGATTAACTTTTTGCAATTTTAAATGAGTGGATGAAAATTAAACTAATCACCATCTAAAGTAAATCAATCAATTACAAAAAATTAACTATTGTCATAGTTATAATTGTAATAATTGTCTTGATGATGTTTATGAAACTATTTCCATATATTGAGTTAATTGTTCCGTAAATTGCATCAGTTGATTTGTTTTTCTTTGTAAATTGTTAACAATTGACGTTTTCAAACAATTTATTTTGACTCTTAATCATTAGATATGAAGGTTAAAACCATATGATTCTGTTAATTGTAAAACACTTAAAGTATATCATATAAACGATGTGATTGTCTTTTAAGGTCATAAATTGTTACAATTAATCAACTGATCGAGCAATTGTTTCTTAAAAGTACCAATTAAATGTTGGTTAATGATAAATCGTTAAAAATCAATACTTGAACTCTAACTTAATTATTCTTGTAAACTAATTGATTTTCTAATTTGATTGTTGATCATCAGATGAACTGGTAATCAAAAACTTTGGTCCTGATTTTCGAGGTGAAACTTTCTTCTCAATATTTGCCATCTTCTTCCCGGCGGCAACTGGAATTCTTGCTGGTGCTAACATCTCTGGTGATCTTAAGGTAATAAATCAATTTCACTGAATAATTAGATGATAATTATTTCCCCATTTAATTGCGATTTAGGATCCCCAACAAGCTATTCCTCTTGGTACCATGTTAGGGATCGTCATAACATCAGCATCTTACCTTGGCTTTGCCTGGATCTTTGGTATAACAAGTGAACGGGAGGTTTTATCAGCCAATGGAACGGCAATTTTATTTGATGGTAAACCTCAAGGACTTCACCATAATTACAATATGATGGCACTTATATCTTTGTACAGTCCACTTATCACGGCGGGAACATGGGCTGCAGCGCTTTCCTCAGCTTTGGCAAGTTTAATCAGTGCACCAAAAGTTTTCCAAGCTCTTTGTAAAGACAGACTATTCCCTTTTATTCATTACTTTGGCAAAGGCCATGGTAAAAATAACGAACCTCGTCGTGGTTATATCTTAGCTTTTCTTATTGCCCTCGCTGGTTGTGCTCTTGGTGATCTAAACGTAATCGCACCAATCATTTCGAACTTTTTCCTATCAGCTTATTGTCTTATCAATTTTTCCTGTTTCCATGTTTCGTATGCTAAATCATTGGGTTTCCGACCTTCTTTCCGTTTCTACAATATGTGGATCTCACTGATCGGTGCGATTCTGTGTCTCGTAGTTATGTTTATCATCAATTGGTCTGCATCTCTGATCACCTTCATCTTATGCTTTGCTTTATATTTTGTGGTTCTCTACCGTAAACCAGGTAATTACAACTATTATAATCATCAGAATAAGTTTAATCCGACAAATCAAACAAAAAAATGATCAATATTATTAATAGACCATTTGAAAAGTATCAAGTGACAAAACTATCGTGTTGAATTACATCAAAATGGAAACCATGGTGAAGACAAATTACTCTGAACAGTGAAACTATTAATATAAAGATTAGAGTCATTAAATTGTTTTCGATTGTTGTTAAAGATTAAGACGATAATTTTGATCAAAGACGATCACAATTGTCTAATAATAATCGTTGTGAAAATAGTTGAGCTAAATTCAGTTCTCATAGACAATAGACTTTTTTGTTGTAAATTTATCTTGAACACGAGACTTTCTACCTTTAAAGTTTACTTCCCTGATCCTCGTCATTATCATCCTAATCATCACAGACAATCAATAAATTGTTGATTGAATGTCTATTAATATGTTACATGTTAATACTGACAGTTTTTGTCTTGTTTGTTGATATAATCTGTCGATTCTGTTAAAATATTTTGTTTTCCTTATTGTTATCATTGTAAATTGAACATTCTCTTTGATTTGATTATCTAATTTGATTCAATTAACATTCATTGATTATCTTGATTTGATTTAGATGTCAACTGGGGCTCATCAACTCAAGCAGCTACTTACAGATCAGCTCTTCAAACAGCCTACAAACTTAACCTTATTCCGAATCACATAAAAACTTATAGGTAATTGCAGATAATCAGTCGATCCAATTAAATAATAATTCTAATTGTTTGAATCTCTATTTTCAGGCCACAAATTTTAGTTCTAACTGGAAATGCTTATGCCCGACCTCCTCTTGTTGACTTCAGTTACCAAATAATCAAAGATATCGGACTTATGATCTGTGGTCATATTGTTCAGGTAATAACCAGGATGACAATGATTAATTGACTCGTAAATTAACTAGATTTAATTACTTGATGATTAGCCTCGATTGAATCAAAAATCACGGGAAAATTTAACACATCAAAGCAACGATTGGCTCTCGAAACGTAAAATCAAATCATTTTACACTTTGAGCGATGATACATCCTTTGTATCAGGAGCTAAATCAATGATCCAGGTAACATTTAATCAATCAAATTTCCCATAAAATATTTATTAACCAATCGATCATTTAATTACAATTTATATTAGTGCACGGGAATCGGAAAGCTAAGGCCAAATACTGTCATGCTTGGTTATAAAAACGATTGGCAAGACTGCAATAAACAAGAGTTATTTGAATACTTTTCTGTAATTCAGTAAGTTGAATGATTTTCTTTTTCTTGATTAACTAATTACAATTTAATCTTAATGATGATTTATTTTTCTCAGTGAGGCTTTCGATAAACACATGGCTTTATGTATTCTACGACTTGAGAAGGGATTAGATCATTCAAGATATGGAAGATTATCTCATGCTGTTGATAATAATATCGATGAAGATAAACCATTGAAAGCAATTAAAGTTGATAAGAAAATTAAGCCAAATGATGTTGAGAAAGGTGAAAGTTTACTCGCAGCCTATGATTCAGTTACATCTCAAAGTAAGTGAATCATGTTAAGAACACAATTTACTATTAAACAATTAATCATTGAAGGTTATGATGATCAATTGATTGAAATTTTGTTCCTCTTGTAGCCAACAGTGGCGATAGCTCGGACGATGAATCACCTTTGGCTACTAATTATGATGATCAGAAAGGTGATATTAAATCAGCTCTTTCTGGTGATCGGGATAATGATGAACAATCAGTTATTTCGAAAACTATCCTATCAACAATCAATCAATTCCAACGAAAACAGAAAAAGTCAACAATTGATGTTTGGTGGCTCTACGATGACGGTGGACTTACAATGTTGATGCCTTACATTTTATCCACTCGGAAACAATGGTTGGTTTTTTTTGTTTCTTCTTTGAATTGAAACTCAGGGAAAGAAAAAAAATCATTTCGAACAATAAAATCTATTGATTGAATTTAATTCAAAAGATATATCATCAAGATGACATTAGAATTATGGATCAATAGAGTTGATTGTTCTCATCAATAGTAATTTTTTTCTTTCTCTTCTTATGATTTTTTTTTCTTATTCTAATTGTTTTGATTTGATGTTTGTATTAATATTTTTTTGTAATTTCTTTTCTAGGTCTGGATGTAAACTTCGGGTTTTCGCATTAGCCAATAAAAAAGATGATCTTAATCAAGAACAGCGTAACATGGCTGCTCTTTTGAACAAATTTCGAATTGAATATTCTGATGTTACCGTTATATCGGATATTGTTCGTCCACCAGCAGAGAAAAATCGTCAAGCATTTAACGAGATGATCTCCAAATGGCGGACAAAAGATCTAGATGAAGAGCCGATAAAAATGAACGACTCTGGGAACGACGTTAGCAGCGGCGGGGACATTGATGGAATCAATGTTTCGATATCCGATTCTGAATATTTAGCCTTAAAAAACAAATCGTATCGTCATATTAGACTGAGAGAGCTTCTTGTTCAACATTCAATGGATGCATCTCTCATCGTTATGTAAGTAGTAGTATAATAACAATCAGTTGATTACAATTAACAAATTGACTTATTTTCATAGGACTCTTCCAATGCCTCGCAAGGGAACCTGTTCAGCCGCTCTTTATATGGCCTGGTTGGAAACACTAACAGCCGATATGCCGCCTTTCCTCTTAGTCCGAGGAAATCAAACAAGTGTCCTTACATTTTACTCTTAAGACTTAATTTTCATGTAATTGAAACTGAATTGAGAGTGGAAAAGGCTCAGATTCAGCTACCTGTAGACTCCTTTTGTTTCTCTGTTTACATTTTGTTTTTTTGTTCGTCATTTATTTTAGTCCTTTTCCCTCTTTCTCCTTCTCATCTTCCTTTTTTCTTCATCCAAGTATCTCCTCAATTCTTTGGCAAAGAGAGATACGTTTACTCTCTTTTATCTTCCATTCTGACTTTTATCATCATCATTTCTAATTTGAACTGGGCTTTTATTTTTTCTTCTTTATTTAACTTTCATAAATCTTTCATCTCTTTCTTATTAGTCATCTTTTCCCACCTTATCTCTTCCACATCATCCAAGTTAACCACCTACACACCAATGTTTTCAGAATGAACAAACTAATGGCCTGAAAAAGGAAACCACCCTCAATCAGGGCGATTATTGTAATAGAAAAACAAATGAACAGCTCGATGTGAACAATTTCCCACTCCTTTGCCTTATCATCCTGAAGATGATTCAATTATCATCAGAATGAGCCTTCCAAATCCAATTGGCCGTCGTCACCACCGTAAAAACCTTCCAATGATTCCGGAATCAATTTTCTTTTCTATTTTCTTCACGTATAACCAGATTTTCACCTTGACCATTAAGTGGACCAATTAACTCTGATTCGTAGGATAGAATAAGCTGATTAATATAAAATTTCAATTTTTTACTCTTTCTACAACCTTCTTATCATCATCACATCATCTTCTTCCCTCTTGTGGGTTAAATTTGGGGTTAAATTGACAATTTAATTAGCGATCAAAACAAAGGACAACAATTTCATCACCAAACTTGTTAACGCACCAAAATTAACTTATATCTTCATTATCAACGATACTCTTAATCAGTAGTAGATCTGATTTTATAATTAGATTATAATTATTATTATCTAAACGTAAATTAAGCTTTAATCATTGATTTGATTCTTCCTACTATTCAAAACAAACAATAACCACACTCAACTAATAATAACAAATTAAATGCATTCAATGAATCAGCATTTGTAAACAACAACAACAATTTAAATACGAAAATTTAGCGCGTAATCAATTGAACAATTAACAAATTATCTTTCAATTGTAATTGCAAATGATGCATATAAAAAGTTGACTGAAAATGATTAAAAAGATTTTCTTTATTCAAAATAGAAAAGAAAAAGTTGAATCATCGACAATCAGTTAATTGTTGATCATTTATCCTTCATTAAAGCTGCAATGTAAATCCAAACAGATAATAAATTACAAGGATAAGGATGAAGATAAACAGCCAAAGCAAAATCGACCTTTCGATCAGTAATCAAATGCAGTCCCGTCGCATAAACGGCCTCCGTTACCGCCTTCTCACTTGTATACGGCATATTCAATGGAAACCCGATCATCTAATTGAAACAATTAACAGTTAATTAGTTGTAAGAAAGTTGAAAGAATCTCTGATTACCTTATGAACAGTTAGAATATCTTGAAGCTCTTGAATTAAATCATTCTGTTGAAGTCTCCCGAGCTTTTTTTCCAACCTGTAGGGTTAATTGTTGATGGAAAAAGAGATTAAGTGATTAAGTTAACGATTTAAATTGTGGAATTACCTTGGAAGGATTTTGCGAATTTGTTGAATTGCAGTTCGATTGAAAAAAGTTCGAGATTTTTTCCTCCATTTCATTAAACTTTCACGAAGATTTTTCTCTAAATTGTTTTGTAATTGTTTTATGAATTCTTCGTCAATTGGTTCGTAATCAAGAATCTCGGACTGTGTAGGGATTAAGAAGATGGATTAAAATAAGGTGGAAATTGTTAATTTCTAATTAATTACTTGGATTGAAATCAGTCCTGGGCTGGGAAATTTACGATTGAATAAAGGTCTCCAACAACTGGATTTAGTTACATCATAAATCAATCGATTGGGATGATCTTGTTTCTGGATATTTGCATAGACCTGGATTAAGATTAAGAGATTAAAAGATTAGCTGTAAAAGGATTTTAATCTACTTACATTTTCGGAAGTGAATATGGTTCCAATTGCGTTGAGAGGAATGTAACTGTCACGAATATTATATTTCTCCCCTGAAATCGGGTTCCAAATGGACGGTTCTTGACCAGTGTATTCCCAGACGATTACATAAGCCGTTAATCCTTCCGGTATTCCAAATCCAAGGATAACTCCGGCTCTTTTGCCGAGATAGAGGAAATAGTTACACAATAAGATCGCGTGTTCCTCTTCATCGCCGATCAGCATTTCGAGAAACGAGTCACAAGGAATCCAAATGTCCTCAGTTCCAGGAAGTGCCAGATTATCAGGTATCGAAGGGATTAGTGATACAAATCGCGCTAATCGGTACATGGCCTCATCAGCGAGAGAGATGTTGGTTAATAGGCTTTCGGGAGGTTTAATTGGTCTAATATAACGAGTGATTAAGACGAATTGTGCTTCGAGGTCAATTGCGAATGCACGAATCGCTCTTGAAGGAAATTCCGAGCGACAAGTTAATTCCCACTTTCTACCATGAACTAATATCTTCTCAGGCTCTTTTGAGTCACACTGAACAATTGAAAGAAAGATAAATCAATTAATCGTTACGATTACTGAACTTTAATCAACTTACTTTGAGTGTTAATGGTTCTGGAAGTTGTAATGTCGGATCAATGGTTAGAAATAGTGTCAGGTAAGTGTTTGGTGCTGACGATGATTCCGAGGACGAAAGATGTTGATTCAATTTGTAGAAACGAGAATCGTACTCGTAGCCTAACAGAACGGGCGGAGTGTTCAATTTAAAGGTACCTTCGATTTTCGAGTTGAGATATAGAGTTGAAAATGGAATCTTTAATGACCCTAACCAGCGTCGTTCTAGTCGCTGGACTTGGAGCGAATCGGAGTCAATTGGAATCTCATCGAATAAATTTAGATAAACCCAATCGTTAATTGTTGTTAAACTTGAAGGACTAAAATCATCATTCGGTGCTCTAGATTTTCAAAGGCAAATTGTTGGTGATTAGTTGATTTTTAATTAGGAGTTTCAGTTAAATTATTAGAAACAAATCGATTATAAAATTGTTCATTGTTTAACCTACTTTAAATTTAATGAAAGTGTCTCATTCCAAGTTGGTTGAGCTCCGTAGGCAGTGTTGGTCCGGTCAATTTGCCGCTGGAAAACAACTTCGACAAATGGACTTACACGACTTTCGTAGGTCAAATCTAGACGATTGAAAGAGATTCATTAAGAATTGGATTTTAAATTGGATTAAATTTTCCTTATAAATCATTTCTTTCTAATTTAATGATCTATGATTTATGATTTAATGATTTAATGATTGATTTGATTCTAATTGAATTGGGATCGAATCGAATCGAATCAATTAAATTGGAATTGAATTAAAGGCCATTTGTTTACCTCCAAATTCAGAATTAACTTTGTTCTGAATTGTTGTCGGTGATTCGGCCAACTGTTGGTTCTCAATTCTAACGGGGACATTGAACGCGTGCATAATTGTTATGATCAGTTTGACTTGACCATTTCCGGCCAAAGGTCCAGAGATTTTCTTCCGCTCTTTTCGAGTTGGATGAAGAGGTCGACGGGAATGTGATGGCAAGAAAAAGTGGAATCCAAAGCTCCTGTGAAGGGAAAAGAAGAAACAATTAACTAATTGTAATTTCCATTTAGAGAAACTCTCAGATCATAACTTACAATCCATGAGAATCTGGTTCAGCGACGATATCGTCCCAAGTTCGAGGCCGGTCGATACAACCTTCCGATTGATTGACCAATTTACTTCGAATTTTAATCAAAATTTTGAGCGCTTTGTCTCGTTTTGCTTCAATTCCTTTCGACAGTCGAATCGATGAATCTTTAACTCCAATCGAATCATCGAATATAGTTAATGGTATTTCTCGTTCTAAAAGTGGAACTGAAAGTCCAGTGAATTTATCGTGTTTACTTGCTCGAAGTTGGATCAACTTGAATCGAGGATTATTTTCAATTTCTGATTCATCAACGAATTGAAAGCTTTTCATCAATAAGGTTGAACTTTTCATTCCATTAACGGACATTTGACCATTCGATTGGTCATTTTTCTTCATCAATTGTTCATATCGATTGATTGTTTTGAACATTTCAATATTATCGGGATCATTTGGGTCTAAAAGTAAAGAATTGGTCTTCTCCTTGATTCTGTTAATTTCATCGATCGACAGACAGTCTAACTTAACATCAATTTCCTTTGAAACTGTTTCCGGTGCCAAGATTGTCCCAGAATCATCAATTGACCAAGCGCAATTGTAAAACAATTGACCACAACAATCAGTGAAAAGCTGCTGCTCTTGGGATGTTAATTGTTGATCAGATTTTTGATTAACTTGAAAATTTTCCTCAATTAAGTTTAAAGTTTCTTCTTGAGGTAAAGTGACCGCATCAGGCCAAGGCAAGGAACCGCTGGTCAATCGGGTCACTTTTGCTCCTCCCTTTTTCTCCCACAAATGGAAGGTCATCTCTTTGGGCTCCTCCGTAAGGTCAACAGTGAATCTTTGATCCCAAGTGACCACAAAATTAGGATCGGGTTCTTGTTCAATTGTTTTACTACGATGGATCCCGTTCAATTTGATCTCAAGAAAATACTTCAATCGTTTCATTGTTGACCTGCGTTTCTGTTCATAGGCTGGACAATCAGGACCAGCTGATAGTTGATTGTCAAAGGTTAACTTTATCTCGGTGAACTTTGGCTCACCAGGTACGCGGCCATCTAATAGATAGGTTTGATCGGCGATTCGTTGTCTCAGTTCATCTTCACCCGTTGGCTTATCGGGTGGTTTTGGTTTCACATGTTCGATTGAACCTTTCGAATTGAGTCCATTTTCTTTTCCCATAACAATTATCTCATCGTTCGGACGCTCATCGTCTTGATCACTTTTTGGCGATCGTCGGTTTGACCTTTGCCAACTTTTCCATGACCTTAGATCACGTCGATAATCAGCTAATAACTTTTCATAAGTCTCTTTGATTATTGTCCATTGTGACTGAAAATCTTCATCGACTAAATTGTTCCAATTGATTTTCTCTTCTTCTTCGGACAATTGGTTTGCTTCTTCCTTGTAGGTCAGTTTAACGGTCGTCGAAGAAAACCTTGAATTCGCCTTTTCTCTGTCAACTCTTCCCACGTACTCAACAGTTCGAGTAAAATTGACCTGAAGGAAGAAAGTGCCACCCGACGAGAAGCAAATGTTTCACTTAATTGTCGACGATAATTGTTCAACCTGATCCATCGTTGGTTAGATTGCAGATCGACCTCAGATTGTGATCCGTGAACTGAATCAATTGATTCAGTGGTCGTATTGATTAGCGACACTTTGAGTGAGTTAATTTTACGATTTAACAGAGTAATTGTTTCGTCGTTAATCATTTGATCATATTTACGATATAATTTCAACAATTTAGAAGTCAAAAAGTTTTCATCTCCAAAAGCCCAGTGACCAGAAAACTGTATCGAGTTTAAATTGAATATTAGTCGGTACTTGATCGCTTTACCTTTTTTATGGGTCTTGATAAAGTCACTTTTGGACATTATCGGTTGAACGGAGTATAAATTGTCGTCAGTTAATGATGATGAATTGACAATTTTAATTGTATCAAATAAATTTATCCAAATGGTGAAATATTTCCAAAGGAAATCAAAGAGAGTTTGAAATTTCCCCTGGAACCAAGATAGGCCAGAATCGCGATAAAATCGTTGGTACAATTTGTTGATGTTTTTCTGTGACATCGTTTTAGGACCAGGATTACAATAGAGTCCATCGCCTCGAGGATTATAACCTTCACCTCGGCCGAATCGAACGTGATCAGGTACAGGATCGGTCGATGTTTCTATCAACAGCCGATCTTCAGTCTCCTTTCTAACGGAACGTGATCTTATTTCAACTTCGGCTCTTTCACATATGTGAAGATCTTCCGTCGATGCGAACAAATGTTTGACCAATAATTTACCGCTTCCAAAGTCTTCGTTCAGGTCATCTGAATCCTCGTCTTTCAATTCTTCCTCTTCTTGATCAACTTGATTCTGGCCATCGGGAATCGACGATGAAAGTGATCCCGTTGAAGGGTCAGTTGTAAGTATAGATTTTGTCTTGACCGATTCTGGTGATGATTTGAAAGAAGAAGTGAAAAAGTTGTAACTTTCATCGGGTGAAGGATAAACCAAATGATTAGCGGCCAATTTTGACCTTGGGTCAAGCAGAATGGCCAAAGATGTCTGCCAATCTTTACGACCCTTTAATCGTGATTCAATTAAATTGGTTAAATCATTAACATCGTCTGAATGTTTTCCAGAAAATGGACTTGATCTATCAACCGATTCTTTGACAGTCTTGATTCGTGATCTGATTCGAGTCCGAAAAGCGGCCGATATTGTCTGATCGAGCAACGGTGTCCCAGTCCGACTTCCGCCTCCAAATGTTGCAGTACTTGACCTTGAAGCTGTGGGCGAATCTCCGTCACCACTGATTGTTGAATGATGATCAATCCTAAGAGGTTCAATTGATTCAGTTTCATTGTAATAATAATCATCGGTAGATGATAATTTCTTGGTTGAATTGGTCACTTGCGCTTGTCGTCTTGGTGCCGATTTTGACCTGGAACTGGTGTAATCATTGGTTGGAATTGTTGGTAAATCGTCAATTTGATCGGTAAAATTTTCGATCTGAATTGAATCCTCATTGTTATCCAATTTATGGCGATTACTAAATATTGATTCCGAGTTTGATTCCTCTGAAAACATTGTCACCAAATGAATACATTCATCGGGTAAATTTGGAACAATAGAAAATACAATTTAATGGTTGATAAAAATACAATCAGAATTAAAAATAAATAGATTTGAGTAATCAACTATATTCCTTTTCAGATCTTGAAACTATTAATATTTTCTTGTGTATACAATTAAGATTTCAAGTTGTAACAACAAAAGTTGTCATGGTGACCTTTGTAAATGTTTTCCTTTCCTCAGATTGACATTTTCCTGATAAATTCAACGCAATTTAAGGTTAATCAACAGTTGGACCAATACTTTCAGCGGTACTCAGATCATTTGTATTGCTAAATTGATGAAGTAAAATCCAGACGACGATTTTATTGAGAAAACCACCAAAACTAAATTGTAGAGTGAAAATAATGTAAGCACAAAGAAAACCAACAACAACGTCGAGAATATGATGTCTTCCCAAGAATATTCTTGATAAACAAACCGAACCAGCCCATATCCAAACCAATAGTGATGAAAACGAATCGCTGTTTAATAAAAGGGCAACATAAATCGCTCTGGAAGCATGACCTGAGGGCATCGAGTGTTTATCCACCGAGGCGACAATCATTTGATCTTCTTGATTGGCATAACTTGGTCTACGTCTTCTAGTAAGAGCTTTAGTCACCGCAATGGTTATCAAATCGAGTAACAAACCAGCCAACAATTGGGCCAACAGTTTACTATTAGGCCAAATATAGATCGCAATGATTACCCCGACAAACCAAGGGATTCCGTGGCAGGACCACTCAAGGGCCGATAAAATGAACCGACAATTTTGTCCTTTGGGCCACAATTTAAACATTCGATAGCTCAACGAGATGTCAATAGATTTTAATCTCTCCATAATTGAAAGAATAATTTAAAAGTAACACAATAAAATTAAAACAAATCGTTCAAAAGAAGCAATCAATTGAAATTAAGACAAAACAATTGAAACAAAATCAAAAATGAAAAGAAAAATTTCAAATCAGATGTTCGGTTGCTAAGCAACCAGCGGATTCGGTTATTAAAATGTAAACAGAGTTTATTTTTTCAATTAACTGTCCCACTAATTTAATTGCTCCAGTTTGTTAATACTTTTAATTTTGATTCTTATTGATAAATTTAATTAGTTTTCTATTCTTCTAACTGTCTTGGTTGATGGATTCAAATCTGTAATCTATTACATCAAAATCCACCGGTAAGTTACTTTTGTTTTTGTCAATTTCTATTCCAAAAAAAAAGCTGAAAAAATTGTTCCTAGTTGATTGGATTAACTGTTATATTGTTGATTTTAATTGCAGGTGTGATCAGTGAACATTTATCAGTTAGTTGAGCTTTCAAGTTGCTTCCTGATTTTTAAATTGAGAGATTAATCGATGAGGTTAATCCTCTTGTAATTCTGTTCTGTTGTTAACCTTTAATTTGGTTGTTTTTTTTCTCGGTGATTAAGTTTACAGATTTGATCGTTGATTAAAATGCATTCGAATGTTAAATTGATTGTCTACCATTGTCTTGGAATCGTGCTTTCTACTGTGGCTTTATTCATTTTGAGTCCTATGGATAAAACGGCTTCTCCCGTTGAACGAACCTCATTAGTTGCTTGTTTCCTGTTAATCTTTGAACCAATTAAGGTTCTTGCTGTTGGATTTATTGGTTATAAAGGAAGAGAACGAGATAAATCACCATTGGCAGTTCTATGGGATAAGGTGAATTTCTGAATCAATTCAATGCAAACAGAGTAATAAGTTAATCCAATAAAAAGTTATTCTTTAATTTTCTTTTCTATTCTATTTCCAGAGTTATGTATCCAAGAACCTGAGTCATCTTGCCCTTAGCCTTTTGTGCTTAACAATAACCGTTACTTTTGTGATTCTATCATTAGGAGGACCATTGGTCAAGTAAAAGAATCTGTTAATATTTAATCCACTATATTTAACTAATAGAATTTACTTTTGTTTTTTTATATTCTAGTGACTTGGATCAGACCTTTTTCTTGGCTTTATCCATCACATTCATCTCTGTCTTACCAATATTGGTAACTGAATCTTCATCATCTTCATTATCTTTATCATCATTTTTAGTGAGAGTCATCAATTTCCTCTTCTCTTCATCAACTAAATTAAGTCAATGGGACTCTAGTTTTGCCATGAATCTTAAACTGATCTCGTTATTTTCCTGGTTTGGAGCTTTTCTCCTTAAATTAGATTGGATTGTACCTTGGAAAATTTATCCAATTACATCTTTAATGGCCTCTCTTTATGGTTACCTGGTCGCAAGTCTTGTTAATATTGTTCTCATCTCAGTTAGATTCTAATCAATATCATCTTAGAGTTGATAGTTAAACTATATTTTATCTTAATTTGATGCAACAATTATGATTATAAATTATCAACCAAAATGATAGACAAAAATGTGTAGGCCAAACCAAAATTGATCAATCATATTTTGGTAGTTTTTACACATTCATTCATCGAAATGTAGTAACTATTAATCCAATATTCTCATTGTCCCTCTTGATTGACAATCATAACAATCAACAACTAACACACTGTAAATGATGATAACAGCAGCAGCAATTAACGAACTCAAAGGAAAACAAAAATCAAACAAACCAACTGACCAACTCTAAAAGTAATCACGGAAAAGGAAGCAATAAATCAGCTAAGGAAAAAAGTGGATTAACAAACGTCCTTAACAATAATTATTGTTAATTGGTAATCAAATTGGATGACCACGCAACAATCAACAAATGATGAACACGGTACTGGTCATTTTATCATCGCCGACGCAATTTACCTTCAAACAAATTACAAAACAATCGAGATATGAAAGTCTATTAATTAAGCCAAATGATGGAGATGGTTAAAAGGGTCATTAATTAAGACTCTTGAAGGTAAATACATTTTTTTATTGGTCAATTATTGTGGTCAGTTAAGAGACTAGTACACAAATAGTATCTTCGATGGCCCTGTCTCCCTCTCTCACTTGCTCTTCCTCTGTCCATCATTTTTACCTGTCAGGTTAAAGTGAAAGTGGGCAAGGTAAGGGTGGACATTAGACCCTTTGGACGTCATAGACAAGAGATGAGGATGATAATGATGATGAGGATGATTAAAACGAATGCAGATTCTCCTGTTGAATCACTAAATAAGTTTTGCTTATATTAAGTTAATCAAACGTGAGAGTTGACACTTATTATCAATTGACCAACTTGACCAATCAAAAAATCAACAAAGTTTTTCTTTCGATCCCATTGTCAATACTAATTAGTTAATTTTTCTCTTTTTATATTCCTACTAAATTATCATCGCCTGTTAATTATGGTCAATCAAATTAAAACTATCACCTCGTGTTTACCATTTCTGTTGATCCTTCAAACTTGGTTTCTAGTAAATGTATCAGGTTAGTATAAAGTTTAATTATTTCAATTGAAAAATCAATAATATTTTAATTGATACCATTTACTGATCCATTGATTTGAAAAAATAGATGTTAATTGCTCATGTGATTTAATCAAATATTGACTTTTTCTCTCTTAATGTATTTACTCATTAATAATGGTAAATATTTTCTTTAATTTTTAATTGTTTCTTTAATTGTTGTTCTAATCCAGGCAATAAAGTACATCTATCGGATGGAGCACTGAAATTAATCATTAGGAGCTACGTTAATGATTTATTATCAAAGTATCAACCGGATGACAATTTAAAAGCTCACCTTCATCAGATGAGGTAAATATAATTGCGTTTCCACAATTAGTGATTAAATTTGATTAACTAGTTTCCCGATCCATTTCCAATTTCAGTAATCACGTTGCTAATCATCCGGCTTTGTACCAGAAACGTTTATACATCGGACCCGAAGCACCAACAGTTGATCCAGAATTGGTTAGTTTATTAATCAATATTCAATAATTGATTTTTTTTTCCTTAAATATTGCCAATTAATTGATCGGTTATTTATCTCATCCAGGAAGATGATCATTCGCGATCGATGATGAGTAAACGAAAAGTCCCTAAAGAGGAAAGTCCAACGGAGCAATTTCCCTCTGAGGAAATTTGTCCAACTAATCGTCAGTGGGAACAATTAAATAAGACTCACGATCTTTATGATAATGAAGTTGAAGTGATGCAAGAAGAGGGAATGACTCAATTCATTTATACTTATCGATGCTCCTCGAAAACAGGTAAATAAAACAAAAACATTTCGAAACAATTAACTGATTGTTTACCTTTTTTCAGCTTCATCTTGTGTCGGAATCTCACCTTTATACAACTCCGAGTGTACGGAGCGTAATGGTTGGGTTTATATGCTGTACAAGAAACCGGAGGACGAAGCACCTCAGTGGGGCTACGTGGCCGCTCCTCATCATTGTGCTTGTAAAATTCAGCCCAAAATTGAAGTAACTGTACCATCCAGTGAACGCTAATATCGTTGATCGTGTTGGTTGTCGCAAATCACATGCACTGATTACAATTAATTCCTGTTAAATTGCTTAAATCCTCATGTTCATCACTTGCTGTTTGATTTCCAACCAAATTAACTAAACATAATCATCGTCATCATTTCATTCATCTGATTTTAATCATCATAAGCAGTTGGGAAACAATTCCAACGACAATAATCAACAAATCAATATCTTAACAGTCCAACGTTTATTAAGCTCAATTTGGGCTCAATAATCATAATTGAACAATTTATGTGACAACCTAAAAGAAAGACCTAATTACCAAATCAACACAGACAATCAACAATCAATCAGAAATCACCAAAGTCTCAAAACGATGTATTAATAATAATAATTTTCTCATCTCTCTCTTTCTCTCTGACTTAATTGTAACAATCAAACAGAACTCTAAATACTATTATTTCTAATCAACAACATAATAATCAAATATGAAGATGTGATTAACAAATCAAATCGTAATTGTTAATCACTTTCATTTATAAATCAATCTAATTGCAATGAACAAAAACAAATTAAATGAAAATGCAATCAACAAATATTGAAATGATTGATAATTTTAATAACTGATTGTGATTAACTTTGATGATGTTTATTATCATTGAACTGGTATATTTATAAATGACAATTAAATGAGCTTGTGCTCAATTGTTGCCATGACAACGTGCTGAACTTGCTCAGCATTGAGGTTATTTGGGATGAAGATAATTTTAACTCCCACTGAGAAAACTGGGAGTGAGAGAGAGAGAGAGAGAGAGAGAGAGAGAGAGAGAGAGAGAGAGAAATAGACAAGAAGATAATTTATCTTTCAATTACTCTGTCTTTTCATCTGTCTACAGAAACCTTATCATCCTTTATCATGAAGATGATAAGTTTCATCATCAACTCAGTTGAACTTAAAGTAACGTCAATGTAACAAGAGGAGGAAAACCGGTAAACTGATTTGATTGTTTAGATTTATAACCAAACTTATCTTTTTAATTGTTTAAAGTTAAATCAGTTGTAATTAAATTTGTGCTCCTCATCAGTGAAAACAAATCATCGTTAAAATCAACAACAATTTCAGTGAGAAAAACAATTAGTGATCAACAATTAAATTTAATGTTTTCATTTGCAAGCAAAAGGTAAACATATGATTGAATTGTAATTTATTTTCTGATTTGTTTTAATTAAAATGTAATTGTAATCGTTATTTATAAAATGATTTCAATTAATTGTTATCAAATCCTTGGGATTATCAACTAATCAGCAATTTAAACGTTACAATCAAGAAGTAAAAACAAAGATACTAATTGATTATCTTTTTCCATTGATACAATTAGTTAACTATCTCACTGCCCAACAATTAAATTGGACCAATGACAATTTACTGTGACAATTTAAATGTTCAACTTGAACGATTGTAATTGTATAATCATGTTAATCAATTAATCTTTTGATTAATTATCGACAACAACTTTAATACGTCAACTCGTTAATCTGAATATCATAATAATAAAAGTTTGATTTACTAATAGTAAACAATAAGGAAAAAGATAATCAAAAAGCAACTAATCTAACATCTTCATCTTCATCCTCATCCTCCTCATCCTCATCATCCTCATCCTCATCATCTTTAGCATCCTCCTCTTGATCCTCATCTCAAAAATAAACAACCAATCAACTAGTGAAAATCATACAACCATAAATCATTTCAGTCTGGAATCGACTCACTAATATTACAATCATCAGATTTTAATACAAAACTCAACTTTTCATCCTTCCTCATCATCCTCATCATCATCACCATCATCATCAAAAACAACAATTGATTAATCTCGTTCTTGTAAATGGCAAAAATTGATTACAATTTAAAAGTGAACATCAACAAATCAAATTGTTAACCAACAAAAAGATTGACCCTCAAAAACAAACTGAACAATCAAATGAACTTTAAAACAGCAAAATCAACAATCTAACCAATTTAATAAATTAATTTCTCTCATTAAGTCAACAATCAAACGGAACAATTAAGAAAAAAGGCCTTAATTATCAGTTGGAAATCGATGAAACCAAAAAGGGATCTTTGAATCTTCGTTCGGGACAATACAATCATCGCCTTCGAGTGAGTGTTCAGTGTGTTTGTGATTCTCTGTGTTCTGCCAAATGACCACTTCAACTACGATTGACCAACACCATTGTGATTGTTAATTGTTGGTCGGCTTGGTCAGCCCACGATATGAATAATATCCATGTTTCTCAAGCGAGCGATGAGGTATTATAGAGTATGGATCTATTCTTGTAATTTAGCTTTATTCACTTCGACATTGGTGTTTATCATACTCTCTCTATGGATCGCCAGTGATTTTCACTTGTCGCTATTTCCAAGTGTCACCTTTTACCAGCCATCGTTCATCTATGCCTACATGGCGCTCACCCTTCAATCGGGTATCCTCCAGGTAAGAAGATCAATTAATTGCTCTCACAATTAACCTTCAAATTGTGAACCATTCGGTTCCTCGATTAACCCGGTTGGTCTTATAATTACATCTCGACTCATCCAAGGGTCAGTTCCTTATGAACAATCAATCAATTGGTCAAATTGAAACATTTCCCTTTGACTAATTGTCTCAATTTAAATGAATTAACTGTAAATTGTTTCAATATAATTTATATGGTTTGATGATTTACTATTACATTGATTTGGTTTCTCTATCATTGACTTTTTTTATTTGATTGTTGACTGAAAGCAATCAAGTTAAACAATTTGTTTGATACATTTACTTGATTAATTGATGACATTTTAAATTGTTATTATTATTATCATTGGTTAATTGGGATTGAATTGATTATTGTTGGCTTTAAACCAAATTCATTGATTTAATAACAAATTAAAAGTTTTACTCTTTGATTGTGATCAACAATTCATTAATCATACTTTTCATCATCATGTTGAAAATAGTTATCATCAGTTAATCATGATGATAATCAGCATTATTTTCAATTCCAATGTTGTCTAAATTTTGTCAATTTGCCATTGAATTTATTTTTAATCAACGACAATTAGCTAATCATTGACAAATATTTTTTCCTTGGAAAAATTTATTTTCCCCAATAATCACATAAGAATAACTTTTAATTCAATTGCCGATTATTAATCTACTATATTAACAGTTAATTGTTTACAATAATCTTACATTGTAGTTAACTAAATGATTTGTTATTTTCCAATCCTCATGAGAGGTTAATTGTAACAATCAACATTGGAAAGGGTTGAAAATTATACCAACATGATCACTATCACCACAATTAGATGATTATTATTACTTGTAAAGCTATTATTAAATTGCTATCATTAACTAAATTGATTGTATAACCTTAATTGTAAATGTTATCTTTACTCTCAATGGTAATTAGTTAATTGTTACACATTGAGCTTATGTTTTATTATGTATCATTAAATATCAACTGTAATATTATATTGTGATTACTTTTGATTGTTAGGATTGAAAAAAAACTTCACAACTCAGATCATAACAATCAATTGATTGGCGATGATGAAAAACCTAAAAATAAATCAATCAGCAATCAATAAATTGCTATTATTAGTTTTCTAACATGAAACAATCAAATGTTACCCTTTGATTGGTGAATGTTAAACTGATATTAATGATTGTTGTTGATTGGTAATGATTAAGATAATCATGTAACTGAATAAGAACCATGTTAATCTTAAATTGTTGGTGAAAGTTGTTAAATTGTTTGAATTGATTTGTTGCTAATTAGAAAAAAATTTTTGCTCGATAATCACAATGAGTTTTTTTTTATCGTTGTTCTTATGCCAGGATTAGTTGATCATATTTTTTGTTTTCTTTCAACTTTTCATCCTCATCTTCTTCCTGTAATCTCATCTTCATCCTCATCCTCATCATCACCATCTTCATCTTCATCTTCATCCTGAGGATGAGAATTCAGGATGAGGCAAGAAGAGAATAGAAAAAAATAATATTCTTTTTGTTTTATTTTCTTTCTCTCTCTCCAAAAGTAAAACGATCTTCGTTCATGAGGAAACAGAGAAGAAGATGAGGAAGAGAAGACAAAGAAGACTAATATAGATTGTATAGTAATTCATCTTTCTCTGGGTCATCAGACATCCTCCTCCATCATCATCATCATCATCATCATCTTCATCACCATGACTCTTATCCACACCTTTCTCCTTCCTCCAAACCATAGATCAACCCAAAGTGACTTGCACCGTCTCTCCCACCTTCAAATTGACATGATAACTATTCCTGTCCCTCCTTTCATCATCACCATCCTCATCCTCATCCTCATCATCCTAATCCTCATCTTCACCTTTTTAGCATCTTTCCACTCCCCCACCACCAGCAATGTCTTTAAATGTTTAAGAAAAAAACATTTTCCTCTCCACGATCAAGATGAACCAAAATGATGATTCTAAAAAAAGGTGACATTTACCTTTGTATATGTTTACTATTCCAGGATGATGAATGATAAACAGATCAATATCTCCATCATCTTCATCCTCATCCTCATCATCATCATATTATCATCTTTCAATACGTTTCATCCTTATAAAATGCTTAAGGTGGGAATTGAGATGCAGAAATATATAAATATGAAATGATGAAACTCAATACTTTGCAAATCAATATCATCAAATCATTTCCATTGCTTATATTTAATAAAATCTAAATTGTTTTCAATTTGATTGTAACAATTTAGACATATTGATTGTTGATGATTTCGTTTTAAATTTTGCATTAAATTATTGACTTTTCTTTTGGCTATTAACAGTTATAATTATAATATAAAACTAATGATTAGTTTAATAACAGTTGAATATTAATTACGAGACAATAATAATATGTAATTAGGTTAATTGTTTTTACGTTCACTTTTAATTGTGATAATTTATTTCATCTTATAATGAATTCACTTAAATTATTAACATTTTTCTTGTAATATAATTATCAAGGTTAATTGTGACCAAAAATAAATATCTAATTGTTATAATTAACTGGAATATATAATTAAAAGATATCACTTATCTTGCTAATCAATGAGATATTTATTTTCTTATATTGATTCAATTAGATTGTTAATTAAACACTTATATTATTATTTGTACTAACAATCAACCTTTAATTAAGTTGTCAAGGGTAACCAGACAATTTGATTATCAATTAACTGATTATTTCAGCTTAAAATTAACCCAAATTTAAATTGTTTCTCAAAGTGCTAATCAAATTAAAAGTAAATCAATAAGAGTAAGAAAAAGTGATGAGATGAGAATCAAATTAACTAACAATCTAAAATTGACAGAATATGAGAATGAAAGTTATAACAATTAATAGAAATGGTCAAGAATCAAGATGAGGGTCAAGAGATGAAGATGACCAATGGTAATCAATGGATAGTCGATGGTCAAATGGTTAATCATCAAGTCACGAGTCGTTAACAATCAGCAGAAATAAAGTTAAATCAAACTTATTGTTTACTTTTTTTCTCATTGATATTTTCACCATCTTCGTCCATTAATATCAAATGTTTATCCTTTTTCATATTAAAACTAACAGAATGTAACTTATCATCATCATCATCATCATCATCATCATGATCATCATCATGGTTCCAGGAAAATGATAATAGATCCTGAAAAGAAAAGGAAGAAAAAAAAATTGTATAGATATAAAAATGAACTTCTATTGGTCATCTCATTGTAAAGGGTCAGTTACTAATATCTATTAGATTATTGATGCTGGAAAGATGAGGATGAAGATGAGGATGATGATAATGATGAAGAATAAATTTTTGGACCATCTGAAGATTTATCATCACCATGCAAAGCCATCAGTCATCCCTGATGAGTTAACATTCATGATACTGATTTTTTTCCCATGAAAAAGGATAAAAGTTAAGAGATTGACTTTTCCACTTTTTCCTCTTCTTCCTTCATCACTTTGACCATTGCCCAGTATATTTTTATGGTCACATCTACACACAGATTAAACTGATAGAACTTTTTTCTCTCTTCCTTTTCATCCTCATCATCTTCAGTTTAATATCAACATTGATCAACAATAACCAACAACCTTCAACTCTTGATGACAGTTAACCGTTTGAATGGTAACCCATTATTTTTATATTCAGTCTGTGACTTTTTTTTACTTCATATTGATAACAGTTCCCTTGGAGACTCTGATAATCAATGATGATGACGTTGGATGATGATAATAATAGTAAATGATGAGGAAGATGATGGAAGATGATAATCAAATTTGTAACTTTGTTAACGTTTGCAAAAGATGCTAATACTTTGCAATCCCATTATAATTTACTATTCAATAAGTTCACATGATTGGATTTTTTTTCTTCCTTTTTCTTATTCAATTATTAACCAATTAAATTGTGAATGTAACAATTAACTGTTTACCTGTTGTCGGGCATTAATCAATAAATTCATTGTTGAGAAGAAGAAGAAAAAAAAAGTTAACAATCAATAATCAAATGTAATGAGAAGAGGGATTAAGATTAAGATTTGGTGACGGGAAAAATGATTATAAAGGTGAGAAGATGATGAGGAAGACAAAGGTTAAGAAGATGAAGATGAGCAGGAGGATGAATAGAAAATAAATCCTTCATCATTTGTTTGAACCTTCAGGGAGTGAATTCAGGGAACGATATATAATCTGTTATGTTGAATGAGATTAAAATTGTCTCTGGAACATTTTATTACCTTTAGATTAGGTTTTAATTAGCTTATTGATTGTCATTCTTACCTTGACAATCAGGTATTTTTTTAAGCCTCGACTCATATGAAGTTACCTTTACCTGAGACTTTTATTGATCCCGTTTAAGAATTGAACCGAAATTTCAATTACGATTAACCTTTGATGCAAAAGTAGTGATTGAAATTCAGATTAACCAGTTAATTAATTTTACTATCGAAATTGTCTATTCAATTGTGAATTTTTCTGTTGGTTTTCAGGAGATTTTCATGATTAGATGAATTCTTATTCCATCTGAGTTGATAATCACTTTTTTCTTCTGTTTATTCAGTGGACAGAATTGGAATTAGAATTGGAATAGTTTCTCATCTAATTGTTTACACTTTTTTTTCTTCTTTTTTTGTTTGGGTGTGGGTAAGAAAATCTCTCTCTCGGTGTGCAAGAGAAAGAGAGAGAAAATTGATCTGAAAGTTCTGACAGAATTGAGGTTAATCGAAATTCAGTTGAGGAGCAACTTTAACCTTTATCATTTTTATCAATCATTTTTAGAACTTTTCAGTTCGAAGAGAAAAATGAAACCAGAATACGAAAAGAGAGACAAGTGAAACCTAGAAAGTTGTTTGTCTAAAATTTCGTGGTTCCTATGATTTCGTTATCATCATGTTGATGATAATCATGATGATCATGATGATGAGCATAATCTC